TGTCGCTCGAGGAGCTCGCGCTGCTCCCGCTGTGCGGCCTCCCGGCGCACCGCGCCGTGCGCACCTTCGCCGACGCGCTCGCCCCGCGGCCCGGGCGCGGCCGCGAGCGCCCCCGCGCGCTCATCCTCATGGGCCACGACGGCCCCGGCGCGATGGCGCTCCAGATGCTCGGCCGCAAGCGCGCGCACGTGTGTGTGCAGGTGCCCGAGTCCGCCGTGCGCGAGGCCGACGTGCAGGGGCCGGAGGACGGCCACGGCGCGCAGGAGGACGGCCATAACGCGCAGGAGCAGGAGGGCCGCCCCTCGTCGGAGGCGCGCGCGTTCGGCAGGCGCGCGGCGGTCGAGGCGCGCCTGCGCGCGTGGGGCGCGGAGGAGGTGTGTGTCGGTGACCCGCTGAGCGTGCTGGAGCGCTTCGTGGACGAGGGCCGCGCGTTCGACGCGGTGCTTGACACCGTGGGCGGCGTGTGCGTGTGGGAGGCCGCGCAGCGGCTGCTGTCGACCGTCCCGTCCGCGCCGGCGACCCAGTCGGCGCCGACGCTCTCCGGCACGTTCGCTGCATCAGAGGACGCGAACCACCACGACGAACGCGAGGCGCCACAGAAGAAGACGCAGACGTCGTACGCGCAGTTCACGACGCTCGTCGGCGACACGCCGTCGCGGCCCGTCCCGAAGGCGCAGGACAACCTGCGCTCCGGGCTGCGCTCGCTGCGGCGCGCGATGTCGACGAGCTCGCCGTCGAAGGGCAGCGCGTCGGGGTCGGGGTCGTCTGGGCGCGTGTTCGGCACGGGCGGGAAGGCGAAGGCGAAGCGCGCGGTGGGCTACACGTGGATCAGCGTCGCGGTGGACATGGACGAGGGCGAGGACGTGCGCGACTCGCTCGGCGCGGTCGTGGGCATGGTCGAGGAGGGCCGGGTGCGCCCGTGGCTCGGGAGCGCGGAGGACGGGGGCGAGGAGCGGGTCGTGCCGTTCGAGGACGCGCCGGAGGTGTTCCGCCGCGGCGCGGAGGGCCCCGTGGGCGTGCTGAAGGACGGGGGGACGTGTGCTGTCAAGATCGGCGCGTACTGAGCGCCCCGCTGTCTGCATCTCTGTCCCAGGGTTGGTTGGTTGGTTTCCGCGCTGGTTTCTCGTGCGCATGTGCATGGAATGGAGCTGTCGATTTGTCTTTCCTTCTCTCCTTCTCCCTTTTTCCCCTCCTCATTTCTATTCACTTCCCTTCTCTTCTCACTCACATCTCTGTCTCCCCCTGATGACCGTCGTCTCGCCGTGGCCGGCGCAGAGCCGCCGCGGCGCGCACGATACCCACTCACGCCTACACCTATTCCTCTACGCTTCATCGGTCCATGTGCATCCTTCTCCCCTCCGCATTCGATTCGCGCCTCTGCAATAATCATTATGTTCCCGTGCACATCTGAAGTTTGTCACCGGTTTCACTTGACTTATACCCTTGCTACTTCAATCATCCGCTTCATTGGTCCACGATATATAGACAGTCGGCAATAGACAGTGCGGAACGGAACGGCTACAAGGAGTATCTTTAATCACACATGTATGTTTATATACCGGTTCGTGCCCCAGGGCAGAGCAATTACAGGATGCGAGATGTTTTTGCAGCGCGACTAGAATAACTGCTTGAAGTCATACGCCTCGCCCGCGCCATGCGTCGCAGGCGCCGCCGCCACCGAGGCTTTTTTCGAAGACACATTGGCAACCTTGCCCGGCGTGCTCGCAGGCGTCTTCTTCAACGCGGATTTTGTCTCCTTGACTTGCTTGCCTGGAGGAGTGGGCTTCGCTTTTGACTTTGCGGATGCTGCCGTTGGAGACGCGACACCACCTGCCTTAGCGCGCGGCCTCGCACCCGCCGCAGAGCGCGCCTGCTTCGTGCTCTTGGGCTCAGGCGCAAAGGCCACCTTTTTTGCTGGACGAGCAGCGGGGGCCTTCACGCCGCGTTTCCGCTTGCCGCGCGGAGGCGATGGCTCCTTCTCATCGTCCCCGCCTTCGTCGCTGCCTTCGCCTTCCTCGTCGTCCTCGCTCTCCTCTTCACCGAGGTCTATAGAGACGTCTCCTGCAAGCTCATCCTCATCCTCATTTTCGTCCTCGTTATCGCTTTCGTCTCCGCCGTCGGCCGAGCCAGCCCAGGAAGCGTCTAAAGCGACTTTCCTGATTTCCGGCTCACCGGCATCGAGCTTGACGACGCCGGTGCCCTTGCGCAACTCTTTGCGCGTCGACAAGCGCGATAGGAGTTCCTCGTCCTTTGTGTATGCGTCCGCAAAGGCGGGGTCGGATGTGGATGTAGGCGTGGTCGACAGGGGCACGGTGTAGCGGGGGAACTTGCCAGTGCTCCAGTCGCGCAGGACGATCCGAGACGCCCCTGCGAGGTCGAGGGTGCCGCCCTGAGTGCGGGGTACATTGTAAGCGCTTCGTCGCTCATCAGAGGAGCGCAATCAATACTATACCTTTTTAATGAGTCCGTTCGAACGCGCAACTCCTGAGAGGAATGCATTCGCATCGCCGTCGGCGAAGGCAGGAAGGTTGTAGAACAACATTAAATCCTCCTTGTTCGCGCGCGAGACCAACTCCGCGACTGGAAAATGCTCAGTAGGGTCCACAATGGTGCAACATCCGACGATACTCACGAACGGATGCCGGATCTTTGAGTCGCTCGATGCGTCCCCTGCTCCTCGTGAGGATGTCCCGTGCCCGCGATCGTTCTCTGACCCCCGGGGATTCATCTACAGCTTGCCATGCGAGGCCTGGTGTGTCAATCAAGCGAACCTGCTTCCCGTCGACATCCAACGACACCTCTTGTGGATATATCGTTGTGGTCGGGCCATCTGGCGATGAAGACGACAGCTTGTACGTGGGCAATGCGGCCTTCCCCAACAACGAATTAACGAATGAGCTCTTGCCAACCTGCAACGCGGAGTTATCAATTGGGAAGGTACGACATGGAGTTGATAAATGAGGCACGTACGTTCGCGACACCGACAACTGCAACTACCAGTGGTGCCTCGCCCTCCTTTTCCTGTGCCCATCGACGTAGACACGCAAGGACGGAGTCACATCCCCATGCGTCGTCTGCACATTCCCTGCCTTTGCCTTTGCCCGACGGTTCGAGAGAAGAGGGAAGAAAGGCCGAAGCCGAACGGAACAACACGGTAGGGCGTTGCGCTCGAAGCGTCGTAGCCCATGATGACACTGCTTCCCTTGGGCAAGCATCTATAGGACATATTCAGCATACTCGCCTTGCAAAGGCGCGGTGTAATAGACGCACCAGTCCTATTGAGTACGAGCAAAATCTTCTTCTCCTTAGACGCTTCTTCGATGTGTGCGCTCCTGCAGCGCAGCGGATCTCGGGCATCCAACACCTGGATGACGACGTCCGCTAAGTCAAGGACGGCCTTCAGGTTGGGCAGATCGCGGTTGAGTAAGACAGGAATATCCTCTTCGACACCAGCTGCTTCAGCGATAGGCGCTTTCGTTTGAGAACCAGCTGTCTCCCGTGTGCCGGCATTAAGTGAGCGCACACCGTCAAAAGCTGCTTCAGAACCGGAGCCCTCGGCATCGTCGTCTCCGGTGAGCTGCCCTCTCGCTGCTTTCTTTTCCTTCCTACGCTGCTTTTCTTCCGAGGCCTGACATATGGTAATGTGAACGTGACGAATTGTATGAAGAGGATCTGCTACGCACCCGCCGCCGCTCCTCCGCTACTTCTGCGAGAATCTGGTCCTTGTAAGGGAAGTTGTTGGGAATCCCAGGATCTTTTGGGTTGTCTGAGGATCAGTATATCCAGTCAGTAAATGATACAACTGGTCGATAAAAGTGTACGCACTTGTCTTCCACTGCTGGTCCTTCTTTGACTCCTTCTTCCTTTTCTTTCTAGTCTCCGAGACTTTGTGCTTGATTTTCTCGCGCTGGTTAGTTGTTCCCCGCCTGCTTGTCTCTGGCGACCGCTGTTAGCCCGATGTAGAAAGTAGTAGCGTGTGTGCGTACTTTTGCGAATGCGCGGCATGGTGGTGTATAGAGAATGCTCTCAGCCAATCCATTTTCGAGGAGCCGAAATTCTGTGACTCTCACGACAATTACCAAAACAGGACCGATCTCAGAGCTGTAAAAACTTGACATTTCGTCGACATTCCCACATTCCCCTGAGCATTGCGCAAATACTTTCTCAATGCAAAACTGATACCACAAGCACGAATGCACAACAAGCAACATACACAAGGAAAAAAGTCCTATTTTTGTTCTATATACAAGGAGTACGATACGCCGAACGAACCACACCGCACCCGCAGTTGTCATCCCTTGTACACATCAGTAGTCCCCACGTAAACATCCCCCAACGAGCTGCATCCTACCCACTGCAACGCCGACGCGCGGAGTACGCCTACTTGTGAGCCACCGACGGCGCCCAGAGAATGATCTCTTGAGCTCTATGCTGAGGACCCCGCCACTCAGGGCCTCTTCCAATCGTTGAATTGATAATATCTGCGTTTGATGCCAGGGACGAACGACCTAATGCCACTTCGGGCGGACAATGGTAGGCGCCTCACGAACCTTGAGATCGAATATTCCCTAGTTGAGCGAGACAATGGGTGTCTTCCACCAGATTCCTGCCTCCTGTCAGTACAATACATCGCCACACATCATTACCAAGGTCCAAAGGCTGTGTATGTTTACTCCGACTTCCGTGATTGCTGGCCTTATCTGGGACAACAGCGCCGCCATTATTCATTGAAGCGCCTTGCTTGTACTTGCAGCTTGCAACTATTCAACGTAGTCGTAGAAGAGACAGCGGACAAGCGACATTACAGGAATATTCGAGGCGTACGAAAGCAAACTTGACACGTTGATTTTCTTTTTGTGCTATTGAGAATGGAGGAAGGCATGTCCAGAGGGAGGGAAGCAATACTTGAGGAAAATTGAGGCAACTCTGTGGGACCTTGCGAGAAGAGACCACTGCGATGCTTCAGAACTTGAACCTTCTGCCTTCGCACTTGGCCTGCCTGTGGGCCGCCCTTTACAAGAAACAACCCACTTTAAAGAACCGATGCACCAATCCCCGGTATCTTTACCAGCGCGGCGGCTCTCCGTTGGGAGGCAGTGCGCTGGAGGATGGGGCATCGTAGTCCCGGGCCCTTGTCGGGCTGCTGCCTCTGGGAGGGCTTCTGGAGTAGCTCCTGCGTCTTCTATAGTCCGGGGAGTAACGGCGCGGAGGCGGGCTACGACGGTCACGCCAGTCACGGTTGTCTCTGCCATACGTGTCACGATCCCTGTCATCACGGCGGTAGGGGTCACGTTCTCGGCGGTCGCGAGGCTCATCAGGTCGCTCATACCTGTCGTCGCGATGGCCAGGATAGGTATCCCTCCCACGGCGGCGACGATGACCCATGTATTCACCAGGGGTAGGAGCATGAGGGCGGTCCGTCACGGAGTAGTCGACTCGGATACGACGGCCGTTGAGGTCCTGAAAAAGGGTTCATCTTCAGGGGCAACGCGGATTTGATGTTCACATACCACTCCATTCAATTCCTTAATGCATCGACCAGCCTCATCCGTAGTGGACATGGTGATGAAGCCGAACCCACGGGAACGGTCAGACTGACCATCCAGATTAGACAGACGCCATATGCAAGAAAAACGCCACAAGCAGCTCACCCTCTGATCATATACAATGACCACTTTTTCGACACGGCCATAGCGACTAAACTCGTCATCGAGGTCTCGCTCCGTAGTACGGATGCTCAAGCCGAACACTCCCAACACGTTAGAGGGATTGGGCGCCTGCTTCGCAAGGTAAGCACAGCCACGCATATTCAGGAAAGATAAAAATCAACAAACAATGGGAGCATGCGGAGGCCTCCGCGGTGGCGGAGGAGATCGACGATAGCTCGAACCCCTTACCGCTGGGCTGCGAGAGCGGGAGCGGCCACGCGGTGGTGGAAGGTCGCGGTCGCGCGGGTCTGGCCCTGGAGCCGGCGGCGGCGGCTCACTGTAGGCCTCAGTGTAAGGGTCAACGGGAGGTGCACCAGAGTCTCCGTACTAGAATGACATTCGAATGAGACAGTCAGTATGTACAGCTCCTATTCCAGTCGCGACGCCAGCAGCGGTATGACGACGCGTACGCACCATGGTGGTTCGGTTTTGCAGGGTGTTTGGCGCTATTTGCGAGTGGCATGCTCTTGGCCTACAATTCAAGCTCCGCGAGCCGGATCGAATCTTATCAGAGGTCGTGTACAGTTCCTCAGCCACCACCGCCACCCGTCGTCGTGCGTCGTCTACCCGACAGAGCAAACCGCCGCAAGAGCAGGAGCAAGATGGTGAGGCCATGATTCCGTTCAATGTCGGCGTTGTTTATGCTCATTTTGCCCCTTGAACGTAGGGCATCGACATCAAAAACCACCACGTCAAGAAGGGCCAGCGCACTGCGCCCAAGAGCGAGGATCCGTATTTGCTCTTGCTCGTCAAGGTATGACATCAAGGACTTATCGCACAGAATTGAGTATGACCGAATTGCGCTAGCTGTATCGTTTCCTTGCCAGGCGTACGGACTCGGCCTTCAACAAGGTCGGTGGTTACTTGTGCACAAGCGCGGTCATTCACTCTGATTCTGACTTCGCACAATCTTCTAGGCCATCCTCCACCGTCTCTTCCTCTCGAAGACAAACCGCCCGCCTATCTCCCTTTCGCGCATCGTCAAGGAGACCCAGAATGCGTCTGACCGTGATTCCCAGGTGATTGTCACGATCGGCACAGTCACTGACGACGTGCGCCTGCTCGAGGTGCCCAAGCTGTCGATTGCTGCCCTGCGCTTCACTGCCGCGGCCAAGGAGCGCATCCTCAAGGCCGGCGGCGAGGTTCTCACCCTCGATCAGCTTGCCCTGCGTGCGCCCACGGGCGCAAACACCATTTTGCTCCGCGGCAAGCGCAACACGCGTGAGGCCGTCAAGCACTTTGGAATGGGTCCCCACAAGCATAAGAGGCCCTACACCACTTCCAAGGGCCGCAAAGTCCGTGTTCGCCCTAGATGCGTTCGTGCTGTTTACTTACAGGGCCTTGCACATACAGTTCGAGCGGGGTCGTGGTCGCCGAAAGTCGCGCGGCTTCAAGGTCTAAGCAACACCTGCTGCCGCAAAAGCGACTTGCCGTCGATGGATGTCCTGGGTTGGGCAGTATGCTATGCTCCTGGTGGTTGGCCTGGGATATGTACCTGTACTACATGCCTTACATTCAAAAGGGTGACCATCTCACGATTCATATGTTTATCTTTGCATCCTCTATACAATGCGTATGGCCATCCCTTATGTTCGTTTCGCGGCAGTATCTCGTCATCAAAAAGGCCCGAAAATTTGCAACTTGAACCCTAACTGAGCCTAGGCTGATGGGGTGTCGTTGCCGGAGCTCATAACATCTGAGAGCTTATGTCAGGTTCACGAAACATAACGGACATGACGACTTTAATAAGTAGACTCACCTCAGGCGCCTTGCTTGTGTGCAGATCGAGAAACTGCTGGGATCTCAAATTGCTCAGCTGGCACAAGTGATGAGGCTGAAGGCCTATCGCTCGACAAAACCGGAAGGATATTGGCTATGGCCATACGGTGAGCTCTGAAGTGAAAGCTATTATTTTACGTACATTGATCCACGGGATAGAGCATGATCGCACTCGATGATGCAGTTGCTTTAGTATCGTCCTCTGGGTCGCTATCGCCATCTATCTCAGGAATCCGGGCCCGAATGGCATTGGTCGTTTTCTGTCGTAAGGTCAGCGCACACATCAGTGATTTGAACGGCTGGCGTACAAGTAAGTCTGCATGAACAGCCTTGAGGTCGTCTACGATTCTTTGCACTTTTTGCTTCAGCTCGTTCAAGCCCAGGACGGCTGGTGTATATTGATGTGCAATCTGGCCAATTTTATCGGATTCGACGAGACGCTGCTCGCCTTTGGTCAGATGATGGCTCATCCTGACATTGTGTTTCTGGTATCAGTCGCAGCATATCACGAGGTAATACTTTGTCGCACCTCCGGAGTTTCTTCGTCAATCCTTCGAAATAACCGGGCTGTCCGCGTTCAATCTTTTCACGCTCATGCGGCTGGACTTTCTGAACAAATTTCTCAATTTTTCGGATGAACTCCCTTGTACTTGCGAGCTGAGTCGACAGTGAGCTACTGTTCAAAAGTTGCGCGCCAACGAGAGCTGTCCCCAGAATGTTTGTCCCGGTGCTAATGATGCGCTGGACTAGGGTAATAACATCCGAAGACATAACCTGTCAGACCATGATTATTGAGTCACGTCGGAGAGCGCGACCGTCACCGAAGACATTTACCAGATAAAGTATCCAGGAAGACAAAGAACAGAGAGGGGAAAAGGATGTCAGCCAGGCAAGGCCATAGCGCGTGAATTTATTAGGTCCAAGGGCGCTGTGTACACCTACAGCACGGGCTTCTAGTCAGTATAGTGCTTACATTCTGTTTCAGGGCAAGGAGACGAAAACTCAGGGTGACGCTAGCGTCTCCGAAGTTCGGTCCTGAACCCGGTTCTGAACCGCGAACCGGCTGAACCGAACCTAGGTTCAGGTTCGGTCAGGTTCAGGTTCGGGCATTGGGGCAGCAGGTTCGGTTCTCGGTTCACGAGCTGCCCATGGGACCTTGAACCTGGTTTGAACCTGGACCGAACCGAGAACCGAGTATGCTTTACATTCCCTCAATGTCCACAATCCTGACGCACAGCAGCGCGAGAGACACCAGCAACGGAGACAGCGCCAACACATCGTGCAGTAGTAGCACGCTCTCCGTGTCCACAGAGTGTGCTCCCAGCGCACGATACGGCCGTCAATCCATGCCTACACGTGATTTCATGAGGCGCTTCTCCAGCTGGAGCGCTGCGAGTACGAGCAGCTCTGCCATCTCCCGTGCGTGGCTCTGCAGGAGCACGGGCGCGGGCTTTAGGAGTTGCGGGAGCACGAGCGACTTCTAGCCACCCAGCCGAGGTCTGCCAGCGCCACACACAGGTTGAATGCATGGATCGGGTGCTCCCATATGCGATTGAGCACCCAGCGGCCAGGGCCCATCCAGAGTCCCATATCGCCCACGGTGAGTGTAGCTGCCGGTCACTTGAGGACCACAGGATGTAGGAGTCCATATAGGGGTGGCGAAACAAAGTGAGACAGCAACACAGGGAGGCGGCTCGCTGTGAACGACAGCATCAGGGAATAAGTACGAGGCTGTGAGAATAGGAGCACTCACGACTCATCGTCGAACCCTGCTGAATAAAACAGGCGACTGTGATCACCTCAACCACTCAGCGGAGAGGCTCCTCGTCCTGTGGTAAAGTACATTTCATTCCCATTCAATAGCGGTTCGAACCTGGACCGAACCTGGACCGGACCTGCTGAAATCGTTCGGCAGGTTCGGTCCAGGTTCAGGTTCGGTCCGACACCATCATCAGAGGTTCAGGTTCAGGTTCAGAGCCTAGGGGGCCCAAACCTGGACCGAACTGAACTTCGGAGACCCTAGGTGATGCAACAATCACGCTGGTGTTCTGCTGTTATTGACCCGATGAAGTGTTATCAAGGAGGCAACAAGGGAAGGAATATAATGAGCACTGCGATCTTCGTCTGATCAAAGCAGTAAGGATGTGCGTATAATGGTGGCACAAGTTAAACACATTGTCCAATCGAGGCGATCCAATTTCCTAATATGATGTTTACACATTATGATGACTTGTGGGTCCGTGTCAAAGTGCGGTCACATGCTGTTCAGTATTCCCACTGATCTCCTCCCGGGTGGCCCCTCGAACCATCAACATTCGACTACCTCACACAACCTATCGCATACGCATGTCTGGCAACAAATCCTTGTCAGATGCTGAGCAATTGGATGAAATTGACAAGCTTTATGCGACACTGGATAACAATGAAGAACCTTGGAGAGATAGACAGCGCTTCCTGGAACATTGCGGATATATGCTCAGACCAAGGTACCATCCAGGCTGGGTTCCCTCTTGGAGGAGCACCAGAAAGGACCCAATTTTATGCAAAGATGGTACATTCTTGCCAGTAGGTCATGACATTTCAGTCTAGGTGGACTGTCACTTACCAACAATGATGCTAGTTTTGACAACATCTCATTGATGCCACCAGAATATCAGATGGGCTGCTTGTCTACCTGAAGAGAGTGAGGACTGGGGACGAGGAGTCCCATATTGCTTGCATGCTATCTGTCACGAGTTGACACGGCATCTAGCCGTCTTTTTAATTTTTTCCTTTTCGCAGGCTCGAACCCGCGACCTCTGTACTATACGCCTGAAACAGACATTTCCTTATCTACTGTACGATCAGATTAGATGGGCGGCAGTGCGCGGCACAGCTCGGGCCACGCTGACACAGCTGCTCTGACTCACTGGCCCCCGGGGCTGTGTCAGCATGCTGTGCACAGACCAGCTGCACACGGACCAATGCGCACAGCCTGCCCTTATCTTCTTCTGTATATAAGCCGGCCTCTGCTGCCCTAGGGACCTCAGTTTTGACCTCTTGTCCCTAGGTCAGTAAGCTCCCTTTGTATCTTTTCCTTACTTCACTAACTAATACATTATCTTGTCCCTAGCCTTAGGTTTGAGCATTGCTCACCATTGCTTCGGTGAGACCCAGTCAAATGCCCCCAGCCTTCACATTTGTTTGTCCTCTGTTGCTTGACCTCAAGTTGCGACATTAGGTTGAAACTCCCCTCGCTGCCAGCATTCACACACAACTCCCACTCACTTCACACTTCCTATAGGTTGGGTGGTGCGCACCCTTACTATACTTAGGTAGCCTACGATACATCACCATCACTCGGGGAACGAACTCTTCGGTATCTGCACTTTAGTGGGTGATACTTGTCCTCACAGATGTGTGGCCTTGGTTCCTGCTGCATACTAGCCAAAAGCAGTATTGGGCCCCACATGAACTGCGAACCTCAGTGTTATCTCGGGTGCTGTAGGTGTAAGCTAGCTAGTACAGCCTTTCGTAGCACGCGCACCTCCCCTTCCTTCCCCCACCATCGTGGCTGACGAATTCTTCGACTGCTCTTGACTCGAGCACACATTCGACACCCAGGAGCAGATCGACATCTCCTGCGACGACCCAGAGGACGACGGATCCAAGGCTCCGTTCTTCATCTGTGATCGGCAACCATGCCCTAATCGCACTCCACAGTCCATCACTACTGACAAAGGATGCTACATACCAATCAGACGAGTCCAACACCCCCATGGCCCCGCTCTTCGATACGCTGGCACGTTGAGGTCTACCTCTCGCCACGTCACTCCCATTCCGTCTCAACCCGCCTCCCCATCTACCCGCATTCCCCAACCTGTCACCAGCACAGGTCAAGCGCGAGGAGATCCCGATCTCCCTCAAAGAGTTGAGGCAGTCGCACAGCCTACAGCGACCCCTCAAGCAATCCCCCAGTCCTCCTTGGGGCCGCGGTTGGAAAGGAACCCAAAGCCTGAGCCCCATGACAGTCCAGCGGTTACTTGGGCCAGCTCGTTGTCAGCAGTCTTCTCCTCGACTCCAGTCCCTGTCGTACATCACCCCGCCACCAGACTTCCTCCGTCGCCTCCACCACTGTCGCCGCCGCGAGGCCGCTCGAGCACTCGCTCCTCCCAAAGTTCGCCCAGCAGACAGTCACAACAGCCGCCTTCACCTGCGGGCAGTCCTCCATCCCCCTCATCGCCGGTAATGTCATCCCCAGTGTCCCCTCCTGACAAGGAGACACTGAAACTCCTGCTCCCCCTGCAATACAATGGAAAAACCATCATCGAGTGCGATCAGTTCCTATCCCAGCTCCACATATACTGGCTGGTTAACACATTGTTGACAACCATTGAGCTCAAAGTACAGGTTGCTCTGAGCCTCCTTGATGGCGACACTTGTACCTGGGCCACTCCATTCTTTGCCCAGCTCGTATCAGTGCAGCTAGGTGTCCAAGGAGTCACAACCCCTTTTGCCAATGAGGCAGCCTTTGCTGCCGCGCTCAAAGCCCGCTTCGGCAACCTCGACGATGAAGCTGCAGCCCAGGTGGAACTGGCAAAGCTCTGCACAGACAAGTCAGTCCACAAAAAACGCACCGCTGCAGAATTCTCCGTGCTGTTCAAGGGTCCGGCGGATCGTTCTGGGTATGGAGACCTGGAACTCCGTGGCAAGTACCTGAGCAGCATCCCCTCCCGTGTCTACCGCAAAATCGAGCTCAAAATGTTCACCACGTGGGAAGATGCTGACAAGCATGCCACAGAAGTCGAGCAAATACTCGACATTAGCCAGGCCTGTCAGCCCGAGTTAAACAATTTCTTCTCGGCTCGAGGAGGTGGATGAGGTGGAGCACACGGTGGTGCGCCCAGGTCGCATGGAGTGTCGGCCAGCATCAACACTGCCATCGGAAAAGGAGACTTTCCCGGCAGTTGCTTCGGCTGTGGGAAGCAAGGGTACCGCCGCTTCGAGTGCCCCAATTGTAAGGACAAGCCTTACACCAAACACGCTGATGCGCGGGCTACGGTTGCCTCGGGTTCCACCCAGGCCGCGACAAGTGCCCCTGTCATGACATCACCCTCGGCAACTATAAGTGCTGCTTCAGCGAGTCCAGAGAAATCTGAGACGCTGGCGGCCTTAATGGCACAGGTGAAGTCGATGCGTGAGGAGTTGGAGCACTATCGGGCGATGAAGGAGGAATCTTTTTGATCCAGTCTGTGCTTCATGCCGCACACGTCGGACCTCATAATAACAATCTGTACAATGTATTGGCAACCGCAAATGTGTACGAATTAGACCACGGGTCTCAGCATTTTCACATTCCGGTGCGCCTCAAAGGAAAAAGACGGCTAGATGCCGTGTCAACTCGTGACACTATCGGCCCCATCACTGCGCGATGATCCATGAAATCACTGTGTGTCTATCCTAGACATCTTCCAGGATGATGAAGACGAAAGCATTTTGTATATGGTGATGCCTTTCCTTCAGCTCATTGACTCTCCTCCATTCGAGATCCCTCAAGAGGTTACCGAGCTCGTTGACCAACTATTGGAAGTAAGTGCTACCTGTTGGTCCGATACCCAGGACAAGATTGAAATCACTTCAAAGGGACTCGTGTTTCTTCATGAGCAAGGGGTGGCACATCAGTGAGTCAGACTGTTTACCAGGCGTGTATTTCTGGCTAATCTATGGCATCCTGCAGTGATTGTGCATACAAGAACATAATGATGGATGCATCTGCTATGTATCCTCGGGGATTCCATCCCATACGGGAAAATCTTCTTCCCAACACGCAAACGGCTGCTCCTCATTACTCACGCATCGATGTACCAGTGAAATACTATTATGTTGACTTTGGGATATCCAGCCATATCCCCCCGGATGCCGAGAACAGACTAGTCGTTGGAGTTGCCAGTAGAGACCAGGAGGTTCCCAAGCTCTCACGGCGCAAGAAACCATATGATCCATTCAAGGTCGACATCTTCATGATTGGCAACCTCTTCTGTCACTACTTCCATGATGTGCATACTTTCTGCTGTTCTTGCCACTCTTTCACATCCACATCCAATGCAGGTTTTCTCTAACGTGGAGTTTCTCGAGCCTCTGATAGTATCGATGATGAGGCATGATCCTGCATTGAGGCCTAGTGCGGATGAGGCTCTTGCTCAGTGGAAGAGCATAAGGCCAGTGTTCGGCGGGTTTCCAGTGAGATGGAGGCTGATACCCCGAGGTGCATTATGGCCAAAGCACCTCTTCCTGGGCATCGTTGGTTTGCTCAGCACAATCATCCATGCTATGTACTGGCTCACAACATTCGGGATTAGTATGCAAGGTTAGACAACCTCATTGATATACTGCTTAGTGACGGGGATTCTTTGTGGAATGTTCGCAATTTCTGGATTTTGACACTGCATGTATGCTCGGCATGTCATTGATTTTCCACCCTGTTGCATGAACTCTATTTTGTGTTCACCCTTCCGAGCTGCTTCAGGGTGACATTTGTGGCTGTGTGATGTTTACAGCCTTGTGCTATGCTGAAGCTGTCCAAAGTCGTTGTACTGAGTAGAGGACCAAGCTTGCTTAGATTACCCGCCTTGCAGGTCCATAATCTCTCATACGTAGGCTCGGGGTGTTAGTAAAACTCGATGTTTATCGTTGACTCTTCGGGCCGTGAGTCGCTCTGGAAGTTTGTGTCAACTTGTCAATATAATACCAGGTTATTCACGAAGCGAGCTAGGATTTTGCGCGCGGCAGCACAGTGCGTGCTCACAATGTGGACCACACTCCCAGCTGCCTCGAAGTGATCCCGTCACAATTGATAAGGAGTGTTTGATGTCACAATTACTACAACAAGCCTGTCTCGCTCCTACCTTGCGCGCAGTCTGTTGGGCTGGCAACCACATCAAGCAGGCATGGTCAACCATTGGGAGCTCTACTACAACTCATGGAAAGCCAGTAAGAGCCTATCATTAGGTGGCATCAGTTGAGTGTTGGGGATGTCGGCTACCCCGTATGGCATGTAACTGAGCAAATTGGTTCCGCATAGTCAAAGATCGAAATTTGAAGTGCAATCATTTATGAATATGTCTTTGCTCATCAGACTGTGTGTATTTACAAAAACAATTGTTGTGGAATTGTTGTGGAATTGAAGGCCATGCAAGCTTCAATGTTCCCAGGAAGTCACACTATCAGCAACACCGCAAAGGTTCTGTACATGCATCTGTTGAAACACGTGGTCAGGAATGAGCTTGCAAGCTCGGGCGCAATAATAGCTGGGAGCAGGAGGCCCCTCATAGTGTATAACGATCGCTCATGATGTATGTGTGATATGCGATTGTCCCTTACAGACATTGCTATGCCCGTGGACAAATGTGCTCACCAACCGTTTACCCCATTCCTCCTGCAGCATCAGCATGCAAAGATGTCAGTGACAGATACAGGTTGATGTTCAGGAGCCCAAGTTCATTCTGGAGGTCATCAACCTACCATGACCTCAACAATGTAGTGGCCCCCACCGGGGTGCAAGTGGGCATTAACCAGAGTCAATTAGATTTTAGCACATCAGGAAAGTCAGGATTTTATAAGTGACTAAGCGCACTGAGGAAAGGGTCTCAGTCATCTCAGTCATCTCAGTCAGTCACACAAGCCCAGTGTCCCAGCAGGAGCCCAGGATAAAGCAATTGTCAAAATGAGGAATCAAACCCCCGCACCCCAACAACTCTGATCACTAGACTGCCTTCGTACAGCACTTCAACCATTTCACCAAGAGGACATATTTTGAAGTATGTATTTTGATTTGTATATACTATTATTTACCTTAAGCCAGTTGTAGTATCTCAAGCGACTTGTATCTTCCAAGCACCTCACCTTCTCCATTACCACCATCCGATCTGCTGTCACCAAGTTCCACATCCATGTTACTTTGATCAATGACGTGTGTGAACACTCAATGCCAGCCTTACAGTAGCAGATGTATTGGCCAGGAAAGCTCACGGGATGTAGATGATGAGTCGGACAACTTGGACCTCCAAAGGCATAGTAGTATTGCGGTAAGTACTCAACAATTTAATCAGCTGGACTCATCTTCACTAATAACAGGTCAAACATAGGTTCTTGCTGTGGTGCTCAGGCCAGTTTTGACCCAGGTGTCGACTTTATGAGGATACAGTTGACACGATTACCTTGTGATGGGGACCTGGTGCTGTATGTATTGTTTCAAGCTCGTTGTGCTGGGCACGCTATGTGATGTCGACCATGAAGCACGGCAAGAGGGGTGTAGGAGGCTTGCGCATGAAGGATCAGCACATTCCGTGTATGATACACCTAGCAGTGAGTTGGAGGATGGAGATTGATCATCTACAGACAGTATTTTATTTCTGTAGCATAGATCCTGCACTGTGTTCCATTTGTGTCACTTTATAGACTAAATTGCTAATGTTTACAATGTAATTTGCTATTCCTGAGATGTACTGAGATGACTGAGCCCGGCTGAGGCTGCTAACACAAATTGATTGATGAAAATAAAGAGCATAAAATTCAGGTTCTAATAGACTAGCAAACAAAGGTGAACTAAGGTGAACTAATTGACCATAAGCCTTCTGACAGCACTGAAACAGCTGATCTCAGTCCATTAGGTGATTTCCGGTGTTCCTGATGTGTGAGTGGAGTAATATAGAAGACATACCTCTGGCACATGTGAGTTGTGTGTGCATCTAAGATCTTCTTTGCATTGAGCAAACAGCGTGAGTCGGATGATTTGATTGACTTGCATACTGGCACTGTTTCAAAAGTATTTACCGCCGACTTTGCCTAATCATCGTCAATGTCACAAGTTGACACGGCGTCTAGCCGTTTTTTAATTTTTTCCTTTCTGCGGGCTCAAACCCGCGACCTCTGTACCATACGCTTGAACAGACAAGTCTCGTTGTCATATTACTTTCTCCTGTAGATAAGATTAGATAGGATGGCAGTGCATGGCACAGCTCGGGCTCCGCTGACACAGCTGCTCTGACTCACCAGCCCCCAGGGCTGCGTCAGCAGACTGTGCATGGACCAGCTGCGCATGGACCAGTGCGCACAGCCTGCCCTTACCTTCCCCTGTATATAAACCGGCCTCTGCTGCCCTAGGGACCTCAGTTTTGACCTCTTGTCCCTAGGTCAGTAAGCTCCTTTGTATCCTTTACTTACCTTCACTAACTAATACATTTACTTGTCCCTAGCCTTAGGTTTGAGCTTTGCTCACCATTGCTTCGGTGAGACTCAGTTGAACGCCCCCAGCCTTCATGTTTGTTTGTTCACTGTTGCTTGACCCCAAATTACGACATTAGGTCGAAACTCCCCCTCGCTGCCGGCATTCACATGCAAACTCATTCATTCACTTCCGACAGGTCGCTTAGGGAACGAACCTTCAACACCTGCACTTCAGTGGGCAGTGTTTGTCCTCACGGACATGTGGCTTAGGTTCCTGCTGCATACTAGTCAAAAGCAGTACTGGGCCCCACATGAACTGCAAACCTCAGTGTTATCTTGGGTGCCATAGGTGTAAGCTAGCTAGTATGACCTTTCATAGCACGCGCACCTCCCCTTCCTTCCCCCATCACCGTGGCAGACGAATTCTTCGACTGCTCTCGACTTAAGCATGTGTTCGACATCCAAGAACAGCTCGATGTCTCGTGGGACCCAGTCTTCCTTCTTCATCTGTGACTGACAGCCATGTTCTAATTGCACCCCACGATCCATCACTACTGAAGAAGGACACTACATGCCAATCAGGTGGGTCCAGCACCCCAAAGGTCCTGCTCTTCAATATGCTGGCACATCGAGATCTACCTCTCGCCACATCACTCCCGTCCCGTCCCAACCCGCATCCCTGGGCACCCGCATTCCCCAACCTGTCACCAGTACAGGTCAAAGAGGAGGAGATCCCAATCTCCCTCGAGGAACTGAGGCAGTCGCACAGCCTACAGCGACCCCTCAAGCAATCCCCCAGTCCTCCTTGGGGCCACAGTTGGAAGGGATCCTGAAGTCTGAGCCTCGTGATGATCCAGCAGTTACTTGGGCCAGCTCATTGTCAGCAGTTCCCTCCACGACTCCAGTCCCTGTCATACATCACCCCACCACCGGACTTCCTCCGTCACCTCCACCGCCGTCGCCGCTGCAAGGCCACTCAAGCACTCACTCCTCCCGAAGTTCGCCCAGCAGACAATCACAACCACCAACTCTGCCCCCAGGCTGTCCTCCATCCCCCCCGGCAGTAATGTCGACCCCCACCCTCACTCCTCGTGACACGCTTCTTGTGCGGGGTGAAAGGGTACACCAGCATGGATGAAGACAAAGTACAAGTAATGATCCAAAACTGCATGTGGAACCAGAAGATGATAGAGCTCATCGGTAGACTAACATGCTCCCACTCCCACCTCCACTTGCTCACACCCGAAGACGCAGCCTGAGTTATAATCAGCTCGCTAGAAGTACATATCCCCCGGACCAAAGAGGTAGGTGGTGTCAAAGTGCCGACAGCCAACATCTACATAGACTCGCCAACAGAGGAGAGCGAGCACTGGCTAGAGTGGAGAAATGCAGTCCAGAAAACTGACTTCACCTCAATCAGCATTGGCTGGGGCAGGGGCGTGCCAGTACTTCCATGTGTCAGATGCCAAGGAGCGGACCACCCGTGTGGCCTCTGCCCATTCACCACAACACCTGGATGGCGGGACCCACCCAACAGGGATCTACTCCAAGCCCATGAACACGACAGGCCCGGCATATCGCAGCATGCAACCAGAATGAGGGGCGGGAGACCGAAAGGCTCCAGACATGGTGGCAGCGTGTCGAGAGGAAATGGGAGCAACTGCAGGCGTGGCTTCTAAGGACAATATCTAATACTGCATGAGCTTCCCACTACTACTTAATGACTGCTATGTAGTTCACAAACATGAATGACATACTTGCCCCTCTCACCCAATAAACCTCCCAACACAAGTGTGCTCAGACGCATGTGAGCTGGAGGAAAAACACAACAGAGTGTTTTAATGGCCCAAATATACTCTTCGATCTCTCGATGGAGGAAAGCCATTAAGAAGAATGCCTATCAAGTGCCACAAGGCACACAACTGGAGGCCTATTCAGGCCTTGGCCAGCCGGGCAGAGATGCTGAAGCGGTGGGGAACAACACCGGACCTGTCCAAGCAGACTGGCGGACCAGTACTGACTGCATACACCACCCATGGAAGCCAGGGCATGGCTCCCCCTCCAACACATTGTTGTACATCGGGTAGGGTACAGCAACAGGGAAATCTTCATCACATAAACCCCCCCCCCCCCACGGTCATTTTGTCTGGCAATGGTAAAACTGCTCACGTGCCCCAAGAGACGGACACTTCACCTGTCAGTGGACATCTCCAGGAAGGGTGCATTGAAAATGATGACAGGACGATGCACGGAGACCCCAGCACCCATGAGGGTCCGCAATGCAAGGGACACCGTGACACCGAACCCATCCCACCAGTATATGCTCTCCCGAGGACGAGTGAGACAGAAGGGAACAATGACACGAACTCAAGGCGAGAAAACACCACAACCCCTATGACCCGAGGTGGAAAGAAGGGAAAGGGACACCAGCATGACAATGCAAAGACTACACACAACTGGAAGATTAAAAAGAACACGAGAGCGTCACTAAGAGTGGCATCTCTCAATGTCAGAGGAGCCGGATATCACTCCACGGCACACTTTGAAAAATGGTCCAGCATAAATCAACTCATGAGAGAACAATGCATAGGAGTCTTGTGCATCCAGGAATCTCACCTCACAGATTAACTAGTACAACAGATACATGCTGGCCCCATAGGCCGATGCCTGCAAATCCACCATTCAGAAGGCACAACAAGCAGTGCAGGCATGGCATGCATAATTAACAAACATATGATGAATGCAAAAGGCATTGAGGAACAGGAAATCATCCCAGGAAGAGCAATATTACTGACCTTACCATGGCACAATGACAAAGTCGTCACCATACTCAACATATATGCACCAAATAACCCCAAAGACAACACTGACTCCTGGAGATCACTAAAAACCACCTGGGAAGAGACAAGCCCCCCAAAGCCCAACCTTCTCCTAGGCGACTTCAATCTGGTCAAAGATGCTCTCGACCGACTCCTGAGCCACAGAGACAACAAGGATGCCATCACCATGCTACAAGACTTCTGCAAAAGTATAAATCTCACAGATGGATGGTGCACAACCTACCCTACAGACAGGAGGTATTCTCTCCTCCACAAGCAATCAGGCAGCCAGTCCCATATAGATAGGATATATGCGACACCACAAGTAAACGAGACTGCACTGTCCTGGGACATAATGGACAGCCTAGTAAACACTGATCACAAGATGGTAACAACTACCATCATTGACCAAGAAACACCATACATAGGGAAAGGCCGCTGGACAATGCCCCTCTTCCTACTGGGGTGTCACAGCTTCATAGATGAAATCACAGAGAAAGGCATCGAACTAGAACAAAACATCAAAAAATGCGAACACAGCAGAACCAATGAGACCAACCTGCAAACACTCTTTAAAGCATTCAAAAACGAAATTATGCAGATTGCAAAGGTGAAAGCACGCACAATGACCTGCAAGCTGGATAGAGACATTGGCGCTCTACAAAATGATCTACAAAAGGCCCTAGAAGACCCGACCATCGATAACGACACCAAGAAAAGGGAAGCTGCTGCACTTTTGCAAGAATGACTAAACAACAAAATGAGACAGAGAGGGATGAAAGCCAGACATGCAACGACAGCACATTACAAGCTCAAAGCTGAGATATCAAGTAAATTCTGGTTTGCAACTAACAAGGACAAAACACCACAAGACATTATATACTCACTAGTGTTGGAGGAATCTGATGCAAAAGGCGAACCAGTGACGAACCGCTCTGACAAGATGGCCAAACTGGCATGAGACTACCATGACAAACTGCAGACGGTGGACATCCACGAAGGCTCAACCCCGGAAATGAGAAAGAACCAGATAGATGATGCGCTATGCGCCATAGAAACACGCCTCCCGCAATGCCATGCTGATGACCTAGGGGCATTACTGTGAGATGAAGACACTGAGGCAGCCCTAACAGCAGCGCTGAATGGAAGTTCAACAGGAAGAAACGGCCTACCATACGAATTATGGGAGCTCCTAAAAGCAAGACACACCTCGGCCACAAAGAGAAAATCTAACAAAGGAAGGAAATGCGAGCACCTGGAAGCCTGCCACGGGATGGCAGGCAACACTCGTAGTCGATTTCAGACTGGAAGAGAACTGAGCAGAAAGCAATGCCGAATTGTCTTTGTACACTAGTGTAAGAGAGAAGGATCTTTGAAAAAGGGTAGAGGAGAGATGGTGGTTTGTAACGAAAAAAGGGTCCCTGTTCGATGTGTGCACATGCGCGAAGACAACCCTGCGGAACCAAACAACTTGACAGGTGCGCAAACACATGATGCCGAAGCTCGATCTGGATGTAGTGGTAAGCCCAGGCTTACACCCTCCTGGGGTGTATTGAAAAAGCAATCAGGTCGGAGGTAGCAGATCATGAACAGTGACAGCACAAGTAGCAAGGAAAAGCAACTCAGCCCAACCAGCCGCTGCGAACGGGTACGTTAAAAAACCCTGGTGGGGAAAAAGCTACCGAGGCTTTGGCTCCCCCTGTTCCCATGCCTCCTAGTGATCCAACGCCGCGCAGTCATCCAGTTCAGAACGTGGCAGCCACAAATCATGTTTGGGGCCATAGCCGACCCAGCGCACAAGGTATTGCCACCCGCGTCCACGTCAACGGGCATCAATTATGTCGTTGATCAGGTATTCTTCCAATCCGTCTGCAGTCACAATAGGACCAGGTTGTGTGCGCTTGCGGGAAGGAAAAAGGGAAGTGTCATTCGCAATGAAGGGATGCAGCTCAGAGGCGTGAAAGGTCGGGAAGAGTTTGGAATGTGGGGGGAGATCGAGGGTGTAGGAAAAAGTCCCTGGGTGAGCAATTAGTATGGTGTAAGGTCCATCGTAACGTGGAAAAAACTTGGCCATGTGACGCTCGCCCTTCCAGTGGTATTCGTGATGGTGGTGTATTGTGGACAACATCACCTTGTCCCCCACATTGTACGGTATCTCAGGACTGTGTTTCGCATTGGCCGCATGCACCTGTTGGACTCTAGTGGCGAGCAGGTTGTCACGGGCCTTGGCAACATCATCGTGGAGTTGGTTGATGATGGCGCGTGCAATGTCGATGTCACTCTCATTGGACACTGTACAGGGCATTGTCGTGAGAGGAGGAATGATGCACGGTGCGCGCCCAAAGTGCAGATGGAAGCTGCTGAAGCCAGTGGACGCGTTCACGGTGTTCATGATATCGAAACGCACACGTGGTAAAGCATGAACCCATCTGAGCTGATTGCACTGTACATGATACCAAATACACTGATTGATTGTCTTGTTAGAGCGTTCGCTGGCCCCATCTGTCTCAGGGTGGTAGGCCGTGGAGAGTTTGAGCTTCACCCCGGTGAGCGCGTAAAGAGCTGTCCAAAAACGGGAGACAAAGAGTTTGTTGTGGTCGGAGATGATCTCAGTGGGAAGCCCGTTTTCGCAGTACCAATGATTGAAGAAGAGCACAGCGAGGTCCTTTGCCATGACATCTGTCCTGGTCGGGATGATACAGATGTCAGAGTGAAGACAATCAGTGATTGTTAGGATACAGTCATAGCCTTCATCCAGCGGCAATGGACCAATGAAGTCCATCACAATTGAGTCGCCACGGGCGTCAGGAACAGGTAGCAGATGCAGAGGACTGACTGTTTTTGTGGTACGCGATTTGTTGCGCTGACAGTCAGCGCAGGCGGGTACATAGGCTGTCTCCAGATCACAACACATGTTTGGCCAATAGTACGCATCACATAGGTTGGCGTAACTCTTATCTGCACCAAAATGCCCTGCAGTGTCATGCGCGAGACGGAACAGCTGCTCATGGACGTCGCCCACGCGAGTAATCAACAAACGAGACCCCATATACCAGAGGCCGTTGACACATTGAAGCCCAGGCATGGACGCACCATTGGTGATAACCTTCTGGCAGAACACATCTTCAGTATACCCTGCCCGAATGATGTCAAGGATCTGAGGGTCCGTTGTGATGGAGAGGATGGCAGCCACTGGGGTGGGTGGCAATTCATCTGCAAAGGTGGCCGGTGGTAGTCTAGAAAGGGCATCCGCAACTGTGTTGTCCTCGCCCTTTATATAGACAATCTCCAGCTCGTATTGAGAAAGGAATTCTTGCCATCATAGTTGTCTCCGGGATAGATCTTTCTGTGTCTGGAAGTTCTCTAAGGTTCGGTGATTGGTAAACACTTTGAATGGTGTGCCGAGCAGGTCAAATTGCCATTTCTTCAATGCCCGGATGATTGCAAGGAGTTCCTTCTCATGCACGGGATAATTGAGTTCCGCACCTTTCAGTTGCATGGAATCAAATGTGACCGGACATGCTGTCTCCCAGGAAAGACCAAAGGAGAGGCAGGCACCCGTGCGCCAGTTGCTGGCATTGCAAGTGACAAAAATTTGATTGGGCCCAGGTTTGTCATGATTGATCACCATTAGACACTCCTGGCTGACAACAAGGGCCTTGACCACCTCAAATGCAACTTGATGTTCTGTATTCCAAGGAGGGAAGCTTTTGTTCGCTTCCTTTGTAGTCAGGGGTGTGAGGATGTGTGTGTAGTCAGCCAGCTGCAGGAGAAAAGCAGCCATATAGCGCACAAGTCCGAGGAATGAAAGGACATCTTTTGCGTTGCGAGGGACAGGCCAGTCAAGGATCCGGTCGACTTTGGAGGAATGAGCTTCAATCCCACGCACGGATATGCGATGGCCAAGGAAATCAAGCTTGTAGATGAAAAATTCACATTTTTTCGGGTTGCAGTAGAGCTTTGCAGCACGCAAAGCCTGCAGAATGAGACGGACGTGCTCCTGATGCTCTTCCACTGAGTTCGACCAGATAACGATATCGTTGAGATAGACATGACAGATATGACCAATGTGCTCCCACAATGCCACCATAACACGGTGCTGGTGAATTGCCGGCGCATTGTGCAATCCCATTGGCATCACAAGCCACTCATATAGTCCGAGAGGTGTAGATACAGCTGTGAGATGCATGTCATCGGGGTGTACCCGAGTTTGAAAGAACGAATTCATCATGTCCATTTTGCTCCAAATTTTGCCTTTGCCACAGTTGATGAGGATATCATCTACCCGAGGCAGCGAGTGCGAGTCGATGATGGTGTTGCTGTTTTGAAAATGGTAATCATTTACCCAATGCGGGAGGGCAGTAGGGTCCACCTTCGGCATGAGGAACACTGGTGATGTGTGTTCAGAATTTGAGGGCCAAATCTGCCCTGCAGTGAGATGTTCCTGTACCAGGGTTGACCAAGCTTCCTTGTACTTTTGCGGTGTACTATATGACCGTGTCGCGATACGTTTACTAGCATCTTTCAGCTGGATGCGGCAGTACATGTCTGAGGGTAAGTCATTGGCATGGGGAATTGGCTCAAACACGTCACGGAACTCCGCCTTCAGTGCATCACCAAGTTGTGTGAGTTGTTCTTGTGCAGTGAGCTCTTCAACCTGCTCTCGCACTAACCCCACAATGTCGAGGTCATGCATTGGCTCAGCCTTTTTGTTGACAAAGTCATGTTGGTCCCACAGTTGATCTTTCAGTTCGGTCATCATGGATGTATGATTGTGAACAATGGACTTTATCTGTTCTTGAAGTCTGGGACGTGGTACTACAGGGGGAGACGGCAGCTGCGGATGGAGGAGATCAAACATGGAAGCTTTGGCTACAACAGAATGGGCAGCGTGATCAATGACAATCTCATTACGGACAAGGAAAGGAAAACCGAGAATGATGGGGAAACAAAGTCCAGGGGCGATAATTGCATGAACAGAATGCGCCTGCCAGCCAAACAATGGATCGGAACACTGCAAATGAATGTATTCAGCTAGCTCAACAACAACCTTTTGGCCTTCATTCTTCATCGCCAATTTAACACATTCTGGATGAGGCAGATGACAATGACAGAGACCCAATTTGTCCATGCAGTCTTCACGAATCAGAACTGCGTGAGACCCATTGTCAATAAGGGCCTGTAATGGAATCGTAGCTAGATCTCCCCGGACAACACAGGTCCAGACAAGGTGAGGCACCCATAAATCGCCCTTGGGCGTGTCTGCATCCACACGAATGGCAGCTATTATGTGGTGCGGAACATGAGCAAGCAGAGTGCTCACCTCTTCCTCATCCTCCAGCTCGCCATCGTCGCTGAGAACGGGGTCATCAAACTCGAACAAGGAGAACAGCTCTGCAGAGAGACCCAGCACTGTGGCAACCAGTGCGGTGACAACATGGTCATCAGACCTTCCCTCATTGTCAGAAGTAACATTCTCGATGCTCACCACCGATGCCACGGATGCAACCGGGGCAGCCGTGGCCTTAGGTTGGACGCGTCGAGCACAATCTACGTCTGCTTGTGTGAGGGTGTGATAAATGGTAGGGTCCGGGAACCCATTGGGGCACATATTTGAACAATGATTGACAAAGAATCATCGACATTTGAGACAACCATTGTTGTCTAACAGCAGCTTGTATCGTTGGCCGCTGAGGGACCTGCATGGCAGTCTGCAGGAGTGGAAACAGTTGCGGAGGTAGGCAAGTTATTTTTGCGAGATGGATTCCCAAGAGGATTGATGCGATGCAACTGTTTGTGGGTGTTGCACGCAATCCTCTCGAATTCCTTCAATTCTGAGCGGTGTTTAGTGTCGAGGGCGACAACGAGTTTGTGCCATTCGACAAAGTCCACGTGCATGCTGATAACTTTATAAGTCGATAAGATGCTGTCGCCAGAGTATCTATGCACCAGCCCCTCATTCATTCCGCCTTCCAGACACTGCCAGATCGCTTCTTGCAATAGATGTGAGGGTGTATCATGGAGTAGATCATTCTGAGCCTGTAGTCTGTTGGAGAAATCCCAGAAACTTTCATATTCCCCTTGTGTGAGCATGTGGATACGATGGCGTGTATCCTGCTCCCATTGACTGTCAAGATAATTCTGTTGTAATTCAGCGATGAAGTCTCCAAATGCAAGTGCTGAAATGCACTCTCATCCCGCAGTGATCCAGTCACGGATATGCAGGTCATGGATACCGGCTAGGATATGCCGTGTCTGCTTGTCTGCCGATACATCCTTTTGCTCAAAGAAATCTTGACAAGTGTCGGCAAATTTACAGACGACCTGAGGCGTCAGTCATCCTGGCTGCAGCAACGGCACCTTCGAAGGGGCATCGTGTTTGACACTTGCTTCACCAGATTGCGACATGATGTGTGGCGGGTGATGGGGTGGAATGAAATGGGAGGATGAGGAGGAAGATACAGAGTCAGACACTGGGGAAGATGTTCAATTATTTTGGTTGCCTACGAGAGCACCATCCGATGCCATGGAGGAGACTGAAGTGAGTTCGGTACTAGATTCAGCAACTATATGTGCCTGTTCGGTGTCTGCAACCCTAGTTTCGGTGACTATATGTGTGGATCCGGCGGTCAAGAGTGATTCGTCATGTAAGGACGATGTCAGCTCGCCTTTTGGATCCTGACGCGCACGCTGCAGTCATGTGCGTGGCACAGGGATGGTCTTGAGACCTGATGACGGCAGCATGACAGCGGACAGTGGGGATGCGGATATTGGCAGGCAAAGGACGGTACGGGGACGATGGATGGCATGGTGTGGTCGGCAATGGCTTCGGTTACAGTTATGTCGAGAGATGTCTACAGCATGGCACCATTAAGATGACCCGTAGGCCACAAATGACAAGAACGGCTTGCCTTTGTGCAGCGGTTCAAAAAAAAGTGGAAGCCTGCCACAGGATGGCAGGCAACACTCGTAGTCGATTTCAGACTGGAAGAGAACCGAGCAGAAAGCAATGCTGAATTGTCTTTGTACACTAGTGTAAGAGAGAAGGATCTTTGAAAAAGGGTAGAGGAGAGATGGTGGTTTGTAACGAAAAAAGGGTTCCTGTTCGATGTGTGCACATGCGCGAAGACAACCCTGTGGAACCAAACAACTTGACAGGTGCGCAAACACATGATGCCGAAGCTCAATCTGAATGTAGTGGTAAGCCCAGGCTTACAGCGCCCAGTGCAAAACCAGAAACAAATCAACATGTTTGACTGTATACAAACACTTACCAAAGTATTCAATGATATCGAAGCCCACGGAGTCGTCCCAGAAACCAACTTTGCGGACGGTTGGATGTGCCCAATCTACAAGAAAAAGGATTGAAAGAAGGTAAAGAATTACCACCCAATTACACTGCTAAATGCTGACTACAAACTATTCATGAAAGCACTAGCCCTACGCCTGGCGAATGCCGTGAGCAGAATAGTTCACCACAACCAAGGAGGCTTCCTTTCAAACAGAAGCATCCTGGACCAAGTGAGGCTGTCCAAAATGATGATCGAGTATGCCAAGACCCAGGAGGTGAACGGGGAAATAGTGGTCCTCGACCAGGAAAAGGCCTATGACAAAATAGACCATGAGTACTTGTGGGCAACGTTGAGCAGACTGAATATACCCACCTCATTTATAGCGACAATCAAATCCCTGTATGCATTGGCCTGGACCTCTGTAGTAATAAATGGAGTCCAAAGCTCAGTATTCAGAGTGACAAGAGAGGTCCAACAAGGAGACCCACTCTCATGCCTGCCATTTATCCTGACAATAGAACCCCTGGCATGCATGCTGTGGGCCTCCACGCTAGAGGGATTCAACATACCAGGTATAGAGGAAAGGCTGATAACAACCCTCTTTGCAGACGACACCACGGTCTATCTCTCAGAGTTTGATTCATTCGAGAACCTGGAAAGCATCCTATGCCAGTGGTGCACGGGCTCCAGGGCCTGATTCAATGTCGATAAAACAGAAATCATACCAATCGGCCCCAAAACCTATAGAGACCAGGTGCTCACAAACAGATCCCTAACGACTGACATGACCCACAACCTAACAATGAGACCAATACCCAATGGAATACACATTGCAAGCAATGGCAAAGCCATAAGAATCCTGGGAGCATGGCTTGGCAACAACATCGATCAAGCCACACCATGTTCGACCAAAGTGGATGCAGACACACAACAGAATGTGTTCCTCCAGACATGGAGGATGGGCTTACACAACGGCTCCCAACTCCCCACCGCAATCCAAACGATGCTCAAAATGGCAAAAGAATATAACATCACATTCTCTACATGCAAACTCTCCCTACCACTTAAACAAAGACTCCCAATATGGTACCATATGGGCACTGAGAACAGTCTGAATCTGATGAACAACTCTCCGCAAGGATGTTGCCTGAGAAAACACCATGGAGTAAAAACAGTGGGAGATATCCAAGACATAGCAAATAAAATGAAACCGGTCCCAATGACACAGAAGCCACACCACATGAGAAAGAACTGTGCATGCACCTCATGCAAATTGGACAGGACCTGAGGATGCAAAAACCTGAACGCGTGCTATGAGGCCATGGGCAAGATCATGGCAACCCTGTACAAAAAATGGTCACTGAGCGACCAACCCTCCCCCAACGGACTGTCCCTAATGCCAGGAAGAAAGATGGTGAACATGGATGCACAAAACAACAACAAACCTATCATCTTTGACCCATCAGTCATACTGGACGGCCCCATAGTGGATGGTTTCCGAGTGTTCATTGATGCAGACACAGTCTGTGTGAACCTGGCAATACAGGAAGGACGTGCCCCAGGCATATTGATCCAAGATGAAGCCATCACAGCGTACACAGATGGCTCCTGCCTGAACAATGGAAGCGAGTTAGCACAGGTAGGCTGCGGAGTGTATTTCTACCCCCCCACCCTCCCTTCCATAGTGAAAAGAGTACCTGGGTGACATGGCACAAACAACACCGGGGAGATTGCAGTGGTTGTGGTCACAGGGCAAACCGCCCCCCCTTTTGCACCCCTGGAACTTGTCAGCGACTCCCAATATGTCATGGACGGACTCACAATACACCTCAGGATCTGGGAAGATAGAGGATGGATAGGTGTTGCAAATGCAGCCTTCTTCCAAGCTGCGGCCTATCAACTGCGATGAAGATCAGCAGTAACCACAATACAATGGGTGAAAGGACATGATGGAACAATTGGAAATGAAATGGCTGGGGAAGGAGCAAGGAAGGACACTGAAGACAACATTGACCTCACTGTTCCCCCAGAATACAGAGTATCTGGCACCAAACTTAGCAAACTCACTCAGTCACTCACTTACAAAGGCATCAGGTTGGCAATGAATGTACCCCCCCGACAGGCCACAGAAGAGCGAATGCACAAGGCCCGGACAGCAGCAAAAGACTTGACAGGAAGCCTCCCCACACAGGAGGCAGTGTGGAAGTCACTACACCACAAAAACTTCTCCCATCTGATTACAGAATTCCTGTGGAAACTGATGCATAACACGCAAAAATGCGGCGCCTTCTGGCTGAAAATCCCCGAACATGAGGAAAGAGTGGAATGTCCCGCCTGCAAACAAATGGAATCCATGGAGCACATACTCATCACCTGCAACACCCCCGGCCGCAAACAGATCTGGGACATGTGCGAAGCGATGTGGAGGAAGAAATTCCCCGAATGGGAACCACCGTCACTGGGAGCTATCCTGAGCTACAGCCTCCCTGACTTCAAATCCAATGACAATCGCCCAAGACAAGGGGTGAACTGACTGTACAGAATATTGCTATCAGAGTCAGCATATCTTATCTGGAAGATATGATGTGAACGGGTTATTGAGCAAGGAGAGGACCCCACCAAGTGGCACACTCCAGGGGAAATTGAACGACAATGGCTATGAGCCATCAACACATAACTGGAAATGGATAAGATTATGACTCAGGAATGATACAGACAGCAAGTGCTGAGCCAATCATTAGTACTAAGTACATGGAGCGGTGTCCTCCAAGATAAAGCTGCCCTCCCAGACAACTAGATCCCCTTACATCAGGTTTTAGTGGGTATTGCCCCCGCAGAATGTATGGCCAAGCCAGACACGTGACCACAGGGGCCAGAGTCCCACACTACCTGGCAACCCTAGGTGTGCGTAAATGCATTTTGCCTTGGTTCAGATTTGATGGGTGGGATCCCCATCATCTTAAGTTGGAGTCGGAAGGTGTGACCAAGTTGCATTGTCCCATCTCTTTGCTTCCGCCAAAAATAATAATAATAATAATAATAATAATAATAGTCCTTGCCTCTGTGGCGTGCTATGGGACTTAGTTGCTCATTGGGCATCTCTTCTAGCCATCACACAGCTTGATGAGCCTCTGACAGGGGGCCTGAGTCTCAATCCTCAGGGTAGAAGTGCAGTAGTGGCTGCACTCTAGGGTTAGCCATTTCCTATTGGCACACTAGCGTGAGTCTCATAGGCAACAGGGGGTGAGGGGAGAAAGCAATGGAATACCTGAGCTATGATCTGCACGAGGTTATTGACTGTGTAATTGTGCCTGAAAGCGCCTTTGTATTGAATGCTGTGGATGCCACACATGCATTGCAGTGCTGAATTCAAAGTCTGCATCAAGTGCACAGAAGGGATGTTGTCAACCCTGTTAACCTTGAGCAACCATAAAAAGAGGTTGAGCTGCCACTGTGAGAACACAGAGCGGGGTAGGTGCATGAGGACATCTAGTGTACAGGTCTATGTGACGGTCAGAAGGTGTATGAGGGCTAGCTAGCAGCAATCATACCACGCGGTCGAGCCACGGGAACCAGTGCTGTGAGGTTGCCAAGTGGTCTTGGGTGCGGGCACATGTGAGTCCTGGCAGATTTCCAGACATGCTACTGTCATAGGCCACTGAATGAGGTGAATATCAGTATGTTGAGACTGGAGGGAATAGGCATACCGGAGGGCATGTTGAACTCAGCATCATGGTGCATGAGATCCTCATCATTGTCCGAGCACTCATTGAGCTCTTCTTCAGAACTGAGGCTGACCGAGTCGAGGCCATCTAATAGAGCACGCGAGAGGTCGGACAGACATTGGTCAGTGATCGACAGGGGGAGTTCAGTGTCAGTGAGAGTGGCGAACAAGCCCCAGTCAAAGGGCAGGGGAGATGGAGGAGGGATATGTGGGGATGAGTGTATGTTGTTATCTTGCTCACCATCTGTGGGTGAGAGGAATGAGTGCAACAGCAGGCGCAGGCTGGTGTTGATCTGGGCAAGTTCTGGCTCATGGTCTGGCATCCACACAGGGGGTTTAGGCGGGTGGTCTGCAGGTGTGATGAGTCTTCGTCATATGTGCTCGAGGTTGGTTTGATGGATCATTGTTTGCTCGTGGGCTGCCAGATGCCATTCCTAGCGAGGTCTATGGTCTTGGTATGGCCTGCAATGCCACAAGGTGTGGCCCTTAGAATCATGTCCTGCAGGCTCCCAATCTGGAATGTGTCAGTGCGATTGCAGCATATAGAGGTGTAGTTTGGCACCCACGGTCAGATTTGGGCATGGCCACTTGACATGGGGCAAATTGAGTGCTGAGACAGCAAGCTGGGTGTGACACGTGGTGGGCTTAAACACGGGTCACATGACTGTGCAAAAATTCAGCACAGGGCGGACTGTCAGGCGGGTTCAACTGGGGCAGACTGTGGGGTGGACCGACGTGCATCAATATGATTTTGCGCTGAGATTAGCCCCAGGTGGAGTGTAGCACAAAATATATTTTAGGTTCTGATGCATTGCATGGGGTCGGACCTCAGTCTATCTGAGTCTGAGTAGGGACAATGCCTATTCGAAATGCATCCCCTGTCACGTGACCTGGACGTGTGGAAAAAGTGGACATGACATGCTCGTTGTGCCCTGGCTACTGGTACAGTGGCCATAAAATCAGGATAATATATGTGTAGACTGTCATGTACATAAGGAGTGTATATGTACTATTATAGAGCTATTTACAGTGTGTGTGATGAGCAATTAGGTCAGGCATGAGATGAGCCATCTGCAGTGGGGGAGCATAGACTATGTACGAGATGTTCATGTGAGAGATCGACCTCTGAGATGCGCTACTGTAGCTGGAGTCGATGATTGGTCTGTAGAATTTTAATCAGCCCTCCAATTGACTGAGTGTTGCCCATCTTTGCATCAGTTTACTGATGAGAAGCAAGAAGTAGTACTATGCACCTGAAGGGTTTTTTACTCTTCCGAGCCTTGTCTCTTTACTATTTTACACCCTGAGAGACCACTTCACACCATCTAACATGTTCTGCAAGTTCCTCCAAGACACCCACTTCCATTATGCTCAAGCTTAGACAACATGTTGGGCTGTTCTTCCAAAGGACTGAGGTACAATTGCCTGAGCATCTGATGAGTACTGTGTTAGAGAGGGGTGCCGAAACATTTGTCTTTCCGTTCTATTCCTTGTATTACTAGCGCCCATACTGGCGCCTGTCTTAGCACTCACCTGCAGGTTGAACATTATGTAGCTTACATAATGGGGTCCGTGCGCACTTTGTACCCGGTATCGTGCCACTACGTTTCTTTCTTTACTAAACACAACCACACAGACATGATGGTCCGTGCATAGCCGGTACTTGTATAAATAGTTGTACCATTAGTCGGTCGAACCCTAAGTTCGACCTGGTTATTCATTCAAGTCTCTGCTCCTCTTCGCTTGGGGTAGTGGTCATTCTCGACTTCCTCGCTTGATCTTCAGGACGACGCATTGTCCATAAGCCCTCGCTCGTTGTCTATGAGTCAGGCATCGATATAGGAGTATAGACCATTGTAACAAAAGGTCGAACTTTCTAAGCTACGTTCCTAGTTTTACCTAGTCGAACATCTCATCCACCATCACGTCGAACAACGCAGTCAACCCAGTTCCTTTGGGACTACCAGCCCTCGCAGGATCACCGCTCCTCCAGTACGACCGAGCAGATCACTGCTTCATCACCTCCACAAAGAGGGCTCCCATATACCCTCGAGGCGGCACCTGGTGTCGTGCTACCGGTCCAAACCTGCAGGTCATCGCCCACCAAGAACTCGTTAGCTACTACCAGAGACACCCACCCGCTCATCCAGAAGACGTATTCACCATCCTACGGATCGACGTCGAACCTACACAAACAGCAGAAAGCGTGCAGTCACCCATCAACGAACAACCACTCGAACTCCCTGAAGTTCAGTATGTTCCCATCTAAATCCCAGACATTGAACTACCACCAGCCCCACCCGCACCAACCAATGCACCGGTTGAAGTCCCTATGGCAACATTCACTCAAGCAGACATCGATCAGCGCATCGCTGTCGCCCTCGCAGCATACCAATCCCAACAGTCAACTGCCAACCGACCCCTTCGCCTCGACATCCCCGCTCCCGAACCTTTCAGTGGAAAGGCAGAGGACCTCAGACGCTTCATCCAATGCATCCTCTCCTACTTTGTCACCACCAACAACACCTGACTCAGCGATGAAGCAAAGATCGCCTTCACTGTAGCGCTGATGAGGAAGGATCTGGGGAAAACATGGGCGGACGTGTATTATGAAAAGTCGGCAGGGGGAGTCCAGGTCTATTCCACTTGGGCAGACTTCGTTGCCACTCTAGAAGAGGTGTTCCCTGAGCACGGAACGCGAATCAAGGCACATCAAATCCTGATGAAACTGCCTGAATGACAGAAGGATAGGAAGACGGTGCTCTCCCTCGGTAACTACGTCACCCGCTTCGAGCAGCTAGCATCAAAGGCTCAGCTCAAGGACGCTGAGGTCAATGGCACCAACCGCGTCGAGAACGACTACCACACTCTCCATGCCAACTTCGTCAAAGGACTCCCGAAGGAGCTGTATTTTGCGCTCGCAACAAGGGTCACTAGAGATCAACCCAACACCATGAAGGCCTGGTACAACGAAGTTCGAAACACCGATGCAGCTAAGCAGGGGGCTCTCATCGTCACAGACACCAGGGACTATGGCGAACCAATGGATATCGACGCCGCTGCCATCGCATCAACCTTCGCCTCCACATCAGGAGGAAGGAAATGGGAACTAGGAGCCGCTCTCAACGAGGCCAATCGGAAGCTCCACAGGGACGGGAACCTGTGCTTCTACTGCCACATCAAGGGTCACAGCGCCAAGGATTGCCGAAAGAAAGCGGCTGCACGACAAGGAGGTGGGAGGCCGAACCAGGGAGGATCTGGGAAGGACGACTTCCGTGCCAGAATCAAGGCACTCTCCGCTGATGAGAAGCAGGAGCTGTACGAAGAACTCACAATGGAGGATTTTTGAAGGGGCAGGGTGAGCCGACGCAACCACTGCCTGTATCCGTTTCACTGTCCCGTGTAATTCTAGTAGTCCGAAATGAATGCGCTCTGCACATTCTGATTACTGTGGGACGAAAAGATGTCGAGGTGCGCGCTTTCATCGATAGCGGCGCAACTGGAATCTTCATCAGCCCGAGATTCGTCCGGGAACATCGACTTCGGACAGAACCTCTTCCCCGACCCATCCCCGTCTTCAACATGGATGGAACACCGAACAAAGAAGCACTCATCACGCGAAGAGCTCTCTTATCTTACAAGATAAGCGGAGAACCCCGATTCGTCAAAGCCTACGTCACCAGCATCGGCAAGGAAGACATCATCTTCGGCCATACCTGGCTCAAGCTCGAAAACCCCAAGATAGACTGGAAAACCGGACGAGTTGAGCTAAACCACCGGTGGACGAAAGACGAGACAAGGGCCTGGAAGATGGACCTGTACCAAAGGCGAGTGGCTCGGCTAGAACTGAAGAAGGCCGTAACTACCCCACTCCCAGAACCAATGGAGGATGAATTCGTCGTCATCTCCCCCTCGGAACACGCAACCCTCCCCGAACAAAAGACTAGTAGCACAGCAGGATATGACATCTCTGCTGCGCATCAACTCATCATCCCTGCCCGACGACGAGGCCTGGTTGGCACCGATCTTATCATGGCTATCCCCGAAGGACACTATGGAAGAATCGTACCTCGATCCAGCCTAGCACTAAAGGAAATCAATGTTGCTGCAGGAGTAATCGACTCCGATTACCGAGGCAAGGTCTCAGTCCTACTGGTCAACAACTTCGACCTCCCATTCACTGTCAAAGTCAGCGACTGAGTTGCTCAGCTCATCCTTGAAAGGATAAGCACCCCACCAGTAACTATAACCGACTGCATCGACGAAACTGAACGTGGGAAGGATGGGTTTGGGTCAACGGGTATTGCGTCCATCGAAGAACAAGCGGAGGACATCGACGACAATGAGTTCATCATTTCCTACTTATCAGGAACACCAATGATCACCAAGTACGAGAAACAGGAATCCCTAGCAGTAAGGGATGTTCCACTCAAGGAGCAACTTCCTGAACTCTCATCCGGCTACAAACGACTCCACAACGGTATGATCTGGAAGATCCACCACGACATTAGGCGAGTCACAACATCCACCGAACTTGCGGCCTCGAATGCCCAAGGCAAGACAGAAAAAACGCTACCACAGATGATACCGTCCTACCTACACGATCTCCTCCCCATCTTCAACAAAGGCACCGCTGCGCGACTTCCAGACCACACCGAATATGACCACGAAATCAACCTCAAGGAGGGCTTCGCGGACATAAAGCAACAGGTCTATCCGCTCAACCCACAGCAACAAAAGGAACTCGACAACTTCCTTGAGGAGAACCTGAGTAAAGGGTACATTCGCCCTTCGAAATCCCCGTTGGCGAGTCCATTCTTCTTTGTTGGTAAAAAAGACGGTTCACTACGTCCCTGTCAAGACTACCGGCTGCTCAACGAGAACACGGTCAAGGATCGGTACCCGCTCCCGCTTATATCGGACCTCCTCGACAAGTTGAAGCACACCAAGGTGTTCACGAAGATGGACCTCCGCGCCGGATACAACAATGTCCGAATCAAGAAAGGGGACGAATGGAAGGCAGCGTTCATCGTACCCAGAACTGATGGCAAACCGCCGCAGCTGTATGAACCAACGGTGATGTTCTTTGGGCTGTGCAATTCCCCCGCTACGTTCCAACGGATGATGAACACAATATTCGCAGACATGCTTCAAGAAGGCTGGCTCTGCATCTACATGGATGACATCCTGATCTTTTCCCAGGACAAGGCAGAACACGAGGAACGAACTCGACATGTTATTGAACGACTTCGACAACACGACCTCTACCTCAAACCGGAGAAATGCGCCTTCGACATCACCGAAGTCGAATTCCTTGGCATGATCATCCGCCCAGGAGAAATCGCAATGGACCCTGTCAAACTAGCTGGCATTGCAGACTGGCCGGTGCCGTCCAACCTCAGGCAAGTACGTGCCTTCGTTGGATTTGGAAACTTTTACCGCCGGTTTATCAAAGGCTTCTCGGACAAAGCACAACCGCTGGTTGCTCTCACCCGGAAGGACGTCGCTTGGACCTGGGGATCTGACCAACAGAAAGCCTTTGAAACCCTCAAAAAGGTGTTCCTAGAAGAACCAGTACTACGCATGCCAGATCCCGACCGACTCTTCGCTACCGAAACCGATGCCTCAAAGTTTGCAACAGGAGCGGTACTACGCCAACGCGATGACAACGGTGACTGGCATCCTTGCGGATACCTCTCTCAAAGCTTCAATGCGACAGAGAGAAACTATGACATCTATGACAGGGAATTATATGCGGTTATCCGCGCACTAGATGAGTGGAGGCACTACCTCATCGGCAGCCCATACCCAGTGACGATTTTCAGCGACCACAAGAACCTCACATATTGGAAACAAGCCAAAGACATGAACCAACGACAAGCACGCTGGGCGAGTAAACTGACTGAGTTTGACTTCCGCCTGGTACACGTCCCTGGTACCCAAATGGTGCAGAGCGACGCTCTCTCCCGCCGACCCGACCATGACGACGGTTCTAATGACAACACCGATGTCGTTATGCTCCCACCGGAAGTATGGGTTGCTGCCATCGACATCGACACCCACGACACCATCCTTTCCTTTAAGGACGACCCAATAATGAAGGAAGGCCTCACTGCGGCGCGCACTGGAGGAACACCACGCACTGGAACAGACTGGTCCATCGATGATGACCTCCTCTTATACCAGGATCGGGTCTATGTACCCCCAGATGAGTCTCTTTGCAAACGTCTTGTCTCCCTCTATCATGACCTCCCCTCCGCAGGACACCCCGGTGTTCAGAAAACCCTCCTCGGCTTGCACCGTGACTACTGGTGGCCAAGCATGGCCCAGTTTGTTGCCCGCTATGTTAACGGCTGTGGCATCTGCCAGCAAATGAAGGTTAACACGCATCCAGCCCGACCGCCCATCACCCCCATCCGACCCCACGCAAATGCCAAACCCTTCAGCACATTCTCGTGTGATTATATCACTGACTTGCCACTGTCCAACGGCTTTGATTCCATTTTGGTCGTAGTAGACCACGACCTTACGAAGGGGGTAATTTTCATCCCATGCAACAAAACAATTGATGCTCTTGGGATGGCAGACGCAATGTACCGAGAAGTCTACAAGTGGTTTGGACTCCCAGACAAGATCATCAGCGACCAAGGACCGCAATTTGCATCCAAAGTCTTCCAAGAACTTTGCAAAATGACTGGGGTTCAATCAGCCATGAGTACGGCATTCCATCCGCAAACCGACGGCGAGACAGAACGAGTAAACCAAGAGCTGGAGATCTACCTCCGCTGCTTCACTACCAATGATCCAGATAAGTGGGCTGACCATCTTCACACCGCGCAATTTGCTCACAACTCCCGCGAGCATTCCACGACAAAGACGTCCCCATTCAAACTCATGATGGGATACGAACCTCGCGGAATACCCACCGCACACCCCGGATCAAACACGCCGCAAGCGGCTTATCGCCTCAAGGACTTGCAAAACATCTGCGAGGAAGCACATGCGGCAATGGAGATGGCCCAGAACGTCCTGGCCAAGAGAGTAAAAATGAAGGGGGGTTCCTTCCGTAAAGGTCAGCTGGTATGGCTAGACTCCCGGAACTTGAAGCTGCCATACCCGTCCAGGAAACTAGCCCTGAGGCGAGAAGGGCCGTTCAAAGTCCTAGACAAGATCGGAACAGTCGCGTACAAGCTAGACCTCCCTAATACCTGGCGAGTCCACCCCGTTTTCCACGAATGGCTTCTATCTCCCTACTCTGAGACGGAGATCCATGGTCCGAACTACACGAGGCCACCTCCTGACCTTATCGAAGGTGAAGATAACTACGAAGTTGAAGCCATCATCGGACACCGAGAGAACAAGAGGATGCAGCACTGCGAATATCGCGTCAGGTGGAAGGGTTACTCAACTGCGGATGACTCATGGGAACCCGAAGCAAACCTGACAGGGACTGCGGATGAAGTGCTAACGGAGTATAAGAAGAGGAAGAACTTGAGCTGAGTCGACAGCAGCTCAACCCAGTCGCTACATCCCTACTCGCATCGACATGTCTTCCACCCTCTCGTTCCTCGACCAGTTCAATGCCCCCTCGACTGAGGGCAGAAAGAGGATCTCAATCTACACCCCTAAGCACACCCATGTCGGCGACAGCGCTTTGCTGATGCTACTCCTCAGTAACCCCACCGATGTCTTCAATAAACTCAAAACCCACAACCCCGAGGCAACCAATGCCACCGACCGCGCTGCACTAGAAGCATACCTCTCCGCTCGCCACGAATACGACGAGGCTGTCAAGGCAGCTGACGAGGCCATCGTCCATCACAAGCGACTCCTACGTCAACAGGACGACCGTGTCCTCACCGAGCTCATTCGACTCGACAATCTGAAAGTTGCCCATCGCTTTCAACCGCTCCTACCGTGCAGCATCCGGGCGCGACACAACAAATTCATCCCACACGCCATCCCCAACGCGTACCTACCCCTACCCGCACCCCTACTGACGTCTGCCTTCAGGTGGCCCCCGATCCCATCCCCTTTCCTCCAAGCAATGCCGCGGAGCACTACTATCCTGGCTGACTGGCAACCCAACCCTGGGTGGACCCCGAAGGGAAGTTGCAGGCGATGAAGGGAAGTTGCAGGCAATGTGGATCGTCTCGACACTGGGTACGGGACTGTCCGGAAGTACGATGCGCAGGATGTGGGAAAGAAGCCCCTGGACACCTGGAGCAGGAGTGCAGAACCAGGCTGATGAAGCGACACATATCCGCACCACCTGAAGAACCTGCGCGACGTGTGGGGGTGGTCGTCGACAACGTGTTCCTCGAGGGAATCATCAATGAGGCGAAGGAGAGGAAGGAAAGAGAGAGGCAGACAAAGGTGGTACCCATCCCTCCACCGCATAGCGATAACCCTGAACCCCCGGCCAGCCCCGTCGTGGGACCCTCGCGTCCCCGCCCCGATACACCCATTGTCTTTCGCAAAGTCGATCCCGACTGGACACCCGACACCACTCAATGGACGTGGGACAGCTCCTGGCCGCATCAAAAGCACCTCTTTGGCGAGAAATGGAAGAACTTGGGGAGAAACGCGCGCAACGAGTGGTTCGACGAAGAGGAGGACGACGGCGTAGACTGGGAGTTGTATGGCAATGGTGAGCAGTAAGTAGTCGAATGGGACTTCGACTCTGGCAGGGGGGTAATGAAACATTTGTCTTTCCGTTCTATTCCTTGTATTACTAGCGCCCATACTGGCGCCTGTCTTAGCACTCACCTGCAGGTTGAACATTATGTAGCTTACATAATGGGGTCCGTGCGCACTTTGTACCCGGTATCGTGCCACTACGTTTCTTTCTTTACTAAACACAACCACACAGACATGATGGTCCGTGCATAGCCGGTACTTGTATAAATAGTTGTACCATTAGTCGGTCGAACCCTAAGTTCGACCTGGTTATTCATTCAAGTCTCTGCTCCTCTTCGCTTGGGGTAGTGGTCATTCTCGACTTCCTCGCTTGATCTTCAGGACGACGCATTGTCCATAAGCCCTCGCTCGTTGTCTATGAGTCAGGCATCGATATAGGAGTATAGACCATTGTAACAGGTGCTGCCAGAAGATCTCGATGAGTACTGGACTCTGCACCTTGCAGAAAATACAGCAGCACCAAGTGGTTGAACATAATCTACTTGGTCCTGAGCCTTGCTCCGTTCTTTAGAAACAAGCCCTAGTAGATAGTGACCCATACACAGCCGTAGACCAAGGCAAAGCTATCAAAACATGTTCCGGTCCATCTAGAAGAGAGGGAGCACGGACGGTACTATTGCTGAGCATGTCAAGGTGCACACGACCTGCTTACATAACATGCATCGTGCTCTCACAATGAGGTGCACTTTCCGACGTCTTGCCACTCTCCGAACATCGCGGAAAAAGTGTCACAAGCAGCTCGGGGATCCATTCAAGAAAGTCTTCAGGATGTATTTCTTTTCTAGCATCTCCGAAGTTCGGTTTAGCTTGGTTTGGGGGCCTTTTGCCCTGAACCCTGAACTGAACTCAATACCTCTAGCCTGAACCAAACTGAACCTTGGACCGAACCCACTGAACCCGTTCAGCGGGTTCGGTTCAAGGTTTGGAGCAGGTTCGAACCTTGTGGACCTTCAGATTTTGATTGGTCATACAAAAGATGTTAAGTTGCAAGTTTCAGGGTCAGTTATAACTACAGCACACAAAAAGAGTAAAAGGATAACTTAGTGCTTGAAATGGATATGCAAGGTGCAATGTTGTGCGGGTTGTCGCATTCACCAATGACAGCTTATGTAAGGCTGCCTATTTGGGCAGCGAATGGCATCCCCTGATGAATGGCGGGGCATGCACATCACGGTGCCGCTGCATGCACTTGCCTTGTGAAAAGACATTGATCATCAATATCATCGATTAGATTTACATAAACTAGTATTTAAAAATTAATTGGGTACCTTTTTGCGAGAACTGAGGCCTGATTCCAGTTCGCGGTTTGGACCGGTCCAAACCCGGTTCAGGCAATGCCTTAATGGCTCTGAACCTTGAACCGAACCTGCTGAGAAATCTACAGACTGAGCTTAACCAAACCTGAACCGAAGGTTCGGTTCAAGGTTCAAAGGGTTCGAACCCGTTCCTGGACCGAACTTCGGAGACACTATTCTTTTCAAACATATCTATTTTACAGCTACAGAAAATAAGCCCCCGGGAGGATGATTTTGGAGACTTTCTCAATAGCGATTTTACATGATTTACGGATGGCTGACCAGAATATTCGGAGTATGAGGAACCGGAGAAAAGTGCACCTCTTTTCGCGCCCACTTTGCGAGACGCGGCAAGCGTGCCGCATGCGGACACATCGGAGTTTAAATCAGCTGAGCATTGCCCCAGGACCCCGGCTAATCCCCCAAAGAGCTCTGATCCCGCGCAGACCCCATTTCGGGGGTAGATAAGATAAGACTTATCACGATCTAAGCGTGGGAACGTCAGGCACATTGCATATTTCGATGTATCCTGGGGAGAACTGTCTACGCACCAATTCTGGGAGAGATCCGTGACAAAATGATCTCGTAAAACGCAAAATACTGCCAAAAGTGAGTCATTTTTAGGGTCATTTTCGGGGTTTTGAGGGATCGGACCTCTGGGGGGATTTTCCGGGGTCCTGTTGCCCCTACTCAACTATCTGGCGGTCTGGCTGTGTAGTCGCATGATCATTTGACCACTCGCGGTGCATCCGTCCCAGCCAACATTTTCGAACACTGGGTCACTAGCTCACAGAAGGCATTCCATTGTCATGTCTGACGACGAGACCCTGTCGGAGGCTGAGACTGATGAGCTGTTCGCGACACTGGATGATGACGAGGAACGTTGGCGAGATCGGCAGCTCTTCTTCGAACGTCGTGGGTACATGCTCAGACCAAGATATCGTCCAGGCTGGGTTCCTTCCTGGAGAAAAAATGGACAACGTCCTACCTTCGCTGAAGATGGTGCGGTTCTGCCGGTGGGTCATTACATTTCAATGCATGGTGGACCTAGAATCACCAATAAGGGTACCAGGCACGAGAACATCTCATCGACGCCACCAGGATATCAGACGAGAAGCTTGTTTATTTGAAAAGAGTGAGGACTGGTGACGAGGAGTCCCGTATTGCTTGCATGTTATCGGCTCCACTACTGCTTGACGATCCACGGAATCATTGTGTTCCCATCCTCGACATCTTCCAGGACGATGAAGACGAAAGCATTTCGTACATGGTGATGCCTTTCCTCCGGCTAATTGACTCTCCTCCCTTCGATACCCCTCAAGATGTCGTTGAGTTCGTTGACCAGATATTGGAGGTATGTGTTACAATGCCGTGGCCTGGTTCACTGGACGATTCTGAATACACCTTTCAAGGGTCTCGTTTTCATACATGAGCAAGGAGTGGCACATCGGTGCGTCGAACTGGCTCTCGTGGTTATCATGTCCCTTCAGCTGTTGTACTGCGCAGCGATTGCACATACAAGAACATCATGATGGATGCATCTGCCATGTATCCTAAAGGGTTCCATCCTATATGGTCGTCCTTTCTTCACGACATCAAGACAGAAGCTCCATGTCTTGCGCGCGGTGATGTTTCGGTGAAGTACTATTACGTCGACTTTGGCATATCCAGCCATATCCCCCCGGATGCCGAGAACAGACTAGTCGTCGGAGTCGCCGGTAGAGACCAGGAGGTCCCCGAGCTCTCGCGGCGCAAGAGACCATATGATCCATTCAAGGTCGACATCTTCATCATCGGCAACCTCTTCCGTCGCTACTTCCATGACGTGCGTACTTCCTGCTATTTTTGTTGTCTCATTCACGTCCAGCGCAGAAATTCTCCAACGTGGAGTTCCTCGAGCCTCTTATAGTGTCGATGACGAGGCGTGATCCTGCGTCAAGGCCCAGCGCGAGTGAGGCTCTTGCTCAGTGGAAGAGCATAAGACCGGTGTTCAGCGGGTTTCCGGCGAGATGGAGGTTGATACCGCGGGGTGCCGTATGGCCAGAGCGCCTCTGCCTGAGTGTCGTCGGATTTGTTGGCACGATCATCCGTATTCCGCCTTGGCTCACAGCATTTGGAACCAATCTACAAGGTTAGACTGCCTCATCAGTGTGTCGATCAGTCGTTACTGTAGAGATCATTTGGTTGTGGAGAGCCGATTCTATTGAGATTCTGATGTACTTCGAACCATGAGTTCTCTACCTTATCACTGTATGAACAATGTTGAATGTACCTAGCATTCACAACACTGTAAAGATAAACCATCTCTCTTGTTGTTGAAGAGGGCACAGCTGAATGACAGGGAAGTGAGATGAATTGTCTTATAATTTAAGGGCCAGTACTATGCACAACAGATCTTGCCCTTGCAACTGCTTGCTTAAACACCAAGTTGGCCTCTCGTATGAAGGGCGACAACACTGTAGCGAAGGCTAGCAGTAAGCGGCAACTTTGGATGCACCTAAGGTTGGCGCCACCAGGATCCTTATGTAATACGGACATCCGCCAATATTTAATAGAGGAATTGTTTAATTGCGTGGCAACGTCAGGAGGCTATGTATAATGTCCATGATATTTATGATTGTCCCAAGCTGCCTCTGCACTTGTGAGTGTGAGTAAGCAGGACTAGATTGGGCAGGCACGTTTGCGTACCTGCCGAATTGAGATTTGTAGACTTTTGAGTTCACCTGCAGGCTCGAACCCCAAAACCACGAGCCGCCCGCAGCAACGCGCCGCTGGTGCCGTCCTTAGACACGTTGGGCACAAACAGAGTGAGTGAAGCATGACGCGAGGCTGCTGTGTACGCACGTCGCCAGACATGGCTATCCGGAGCCGCCGTAGGTTGAAGGAATTGTCTATCAGTCTGTTCTCAGGAGACTACGCACGTCTCGCACGAGGATGGTTAAGGCGCCATCCGTCCGCTGGTCAAGGCCGCCGCGCTGCGCCAGATCAACGCCATCTTCGCGACTACGGGCTGGGGTACTGCCTTCGGGCACTCCTTTCGCATCGGCGGCGCCTCCTTCTACTTGTCCCAGAAGGTCTACACGGAAGCGGTACAACTTGCGGGGCGGTGGCGTTCCCTTGCATACGAGGTGTACGTTCGCGCCTTCGAGCAGATCGTGTCGCGCCACCTTGCGAACCTGGGCGCAGCCTACGGGTACTGACTGGTCGCAGCGGCTTTGGTTGGGTTGTGCGGCGCAGCCTCGCCGCAGTTTCCACCTCCACTTGCTTCCCGGGTAAGCGGCTTGTCTGCTCCGCGTCCAATCCCGGCTAACGCCAGAATTTCCCCCAGCCCCTCAGCTCACGCCGCATCCTCGCCGTCACTTGTGTGCTCTTCTTACGCTCGCAGACGAGGCTGGAATGGTAGTAAGAGAATATGTCACATGTGCATGCGATGTTTTTGCGGTAAGCTGAATGGGGGCCATTCGGAACAGGCAGAGCGTGGCACAAATGATTTTTTAGGGTGAGATGTATGCCGCGGGTTTGAAGCTCAGTCTATTTGATCATCTGGCTGTGTAATGAGGATCGCTGTCGGATGAAGCCCTCCTAACTCCCGAAGACGGGTGGGAAGGAGCCTGACACGGACCCACAGAATCCAGATCATCACCGTGCACAAACAGCGTGCTAGGCAATTGGGTGGCCTCGATTTGATGATCAGCCCAGACTCGCGCCATTGACTTACGTTTTTCCTAAGATAACCAGACGAAGATCACGCTGCTGACTACTCTCCTCACTTCTCTGCCTCTCGATAACACCAGACCGGGTCAACAACGGGAAATTACCAGCGTGGTGGTTCTGAGTCCTGGCATCCTTGCTCTGAAGATGCGAGCACCATCGATGCGATTAGGAGGCATTCCCATCTCTATTCATTGCGCCCGAAGACCGTATAAATGCATGCGATATCTCCCTGCGAGAGATGATTCGCCGAAGTCATCCTCTGTCTCTGTCCTTTGTTCATAAATTCGTGAGGACCGAGTTCATTCTGATCCCTTGTAGCAGCAATGCTCTCTGACGTCAAGTTCGCTTTTTGTTAGATTATGTCCTCGGGTACCTCTGAGATAGTTCAGCGCGCTTTTACCATAGGATCAGGCATACTGGCAGCGTTCGTCACTGGCGTACAATTAATGAACAGCAACTCCTTGACGACTCAGCTTGCGGAGACGAGGGAGCTTGTACGCACGATTGAGGAATTTCTTTCGCAAATTACACCGCACGAGAGGGAGAAGATTGAACGCGGACAACGGAAATACTTCAAGAGGACGAATAAGAAACTCAGAACGTACTATACATCACATTCTTTGGTTATGTTCCCGTCTAACTCAAAGATTTTCTAGGCTGAAAAAGCAGCTGGCCGACATTGAGCTGGAGTTCAAGAAATCCGATGCCTACACTCGATTCGGACATCAATATAAACCGACAATTGCCAAGTGGAATCCGCTAAAGAAATCATTGGCAGGCATCGTAGACGGTCTCGAGAACGTTCACACAGACCTACTTGTATGTAAAGCGTCTTTATGATGTAGATACATATACTGACCTGACAATAGCAAACTACTAGTGCTATCCATGACAGGTCCTCTGGGACGGATAGCGACTCAGAGGACGAGATTGAAGCCACCGTGTTAATGAGTGCAATTGAGGTTCATTCCACGGATCAGGGTATGTGAGCACATGGCCTTTTCATTCTCCTTGAGAGCTCAGAACGAATGCAGCCCTGGAGATGCTTCCGATACGCTCAAATGATACGCCGTCGGCCTCCGCGTAAGAGCAGTGAGAGTATTAGCCGATCCCCGACGTGCTCATCGCCAGGCCGAGGCGTGCTTCTTCATTTGAGTGTGCACTCGCCGCTGTTCATGCAAATCAGACGTATTAAATCGGATGATGTATGTTTGGATGTCGTCCAATCGGATCGGGTCGAATTGAAGTTGAGCGGTGATTCTTCAAACCTCCTAGATAACATTTCGCTGCTGCTAAACTAAATTGCCGTAAGTCTGCAAAATGAATTCGTACGCATCGCGCTGGAATGGCGGAAATCACGAGATCAGTTTCGACATGCAATTGACTCACTTGAGTTAGAGCGGCCATCCTCCAACCATCAAAATGGGCGCTCTGTTTGTAGGCTGCCTAGGGGAAACTGTCTGAGTGACGAGTCGCTGACCAGGTCGCGAAAGATGCCACTGAGCTTGATGCCCCGCACCATCGCGCATCGCGAGCGAGCGCGCTCCGTGAGGCCAGGGAGCATCCCCGCCGGGCATGGCTTGCTAAGTAGACACTTGCACGACCGACTGGCCGCTTTGCCACTGCGAACCGCCTCCCGCCGCGCGACCGACCCTGTGCACACTTCCGGCACCTCAAGCATGAGGTGTTTAGGAGGGTGCTTCAGTGCCGCACTGGGCACTGTTTTAAAGGCGAGTACTACCGTCATTTTATACCCAATGAACCCGATGACTGCCCCTGTGGCAATCCCGCAGACACGCGCCCACATCCTGCAAGACTGCCCCCGGTACGAGCCGGCCTGCCCACTATCCTGGGAACCGCAGAAGAGATCACAGCACTCATCGGGCGCAGCGGGACCATCACGAAGACAGGCACACCAAGGCCCGCCCGCACAGAGACGGAGGCGGTGGCACGGGAGGAGGAGGGCGCGGCAGACGACGGCCCTGGGGGAGACACCGACGAGGTCGGCAAGGTGGCATGCTCTGATGATGAAGATCCCGAGGCGTAGACAACACCCGCTACCGGGCGGCGCACCATACAACACCCCTCGCCCACACGCCGTCGACCGCAGCGCGCCCCGAGGGGCCAGTTCAGGTTGAGCCCTATGACGAACGACGGTGACGGAGGCCGATTGTGGGAGGTCATAGCTCCTCCTCTCCCCCTCTTGTCCTTTCCCCTTTTCTTTCTCTTCATTCCCTATACATACTTATATCACGCGCCTGGGACACTACGATCGTCTCGCACTACCCATAGACACCCATGCCATCAACCGAGCCCCGCACACTGCTCAACGATCCTGACGCTCTCCCGCTCCTCTTCGACTATGTCAGAGTGTCAGAGCAACCGGTTGCTTCACGGCCGGACGAAACGACCGCTCTCATCCCAACTGACTCCGTGACGAGGTACGAGTGCCACCCACAGCGATAGATCACATCATGCACTCTTCCCCCCCTTCTCGCACATTTGTATCCCCCCCTGGACTCGCTATCACTACACAGAACTTAATTTACATACACTTACTCCTACCCCACTCTGCGCCCATGTCTTTTACTACGCCCTCACCCGGCCTTTTGACAACCCACCCCACGAAACATCATCACCTACCTCCAAGTCGAAACACGTATGATAGTTCGCTCGCGTTCTCCCATGCTACCGGACAGCCCACAGTTCCTATCTTCCACCCTACGCGGTGTACACGCAGGTATTATCTAGTATAGGGTGATGCCCTCAAGCGGATCTAAAACTGGATATATATAACTTTAATTAACAAAACCCGAGGGTACGGTGAAATAGGCCAGGCTGATTAGCCTCGGTTAATTAACCCTTGCTGATTAGCGCTAATTAGCGGTAAATTTCACGAGGCCCGAAAAACAAGGGTTAAATAGGGTTAAATAGGGTTAAATAGGGTTAAGTGACCTGCGCTGATTTTGGACATGTTCCGGGCGCAGTACGAGTTGAGCCCTTGTGGTTGTTACCTAGGAGGACCAGTAAATCATAGCCTCCGAGCTCATCAACCTCAACATGCCATTCCTGAAGGACATTCTTGCTAATGAGCATCCCGAAGTACTGCATTGGGACTAAAATAGAATAGAGCATGTATTGAATTTGATAGCATCTCCGAAGTTCGGTTCAGTCCAGGTTCAAGCCCCTCAGGCTCTGAACCTGAACCTGAACCTCCAATGATGGCCTCGGACCAAACCTGAATGTGGACTGAATGTCACGAGTTGGCACAGTGTCTAGTCATTTTTTAATTTTTTTCCTTTTTGCGGGCTCAAATGTCGCGACTTGAGGTCAAGCGACAGGGGAAAACCAAACAAGGATGCTGGGGGCGCTCGACTGGTTCTCACCGAAGCAATGGTGAGCAATGCTCAAACCTAAGGCTAGGGACAAGATAATGTATTAGTTAGTGAAGTAAGGAAAAGATACAAAGGGAGCTTACTGACCTAGGGACAAGATGTCGAAACTGAGGTCCCTAGGGCAGCAGAGGCCGGCTTATATACAGAAGAAGATAAGGGCAGGCTGTGCGCATTGGTCCATGCGCAGCTGGTCTGTGCACAGCATGCTGACACAGCCCCGGGGGCCAGTGAGTCAGAGCAGCTGTGTCAGCGTGGCCCGAGCTGTGCCGTGCACTGCCGCCCATCTAATCTGATCGTACAGTAGATAAGGAAATGTCTGTTTCAGGCGTATAGTACAGAGGTCGCGGGTTCGAGCCTGTGAAAAGGAAAAAATTAAGAGACGGCTAGGCGCTGTGTCAACTCATGACATCAAACCCACGACCTCTATACTATACGCTTGAATGGACAAGTTGTTATCTACTGTATGATTAGATTAGATGGGATGGCAGTGCATGGCACAGCTCAGGCTCCATTGACACAGCCACTCTGACTCACCAGCCTCCGTGTAACAGCTACGTTACAATGGACACTTACCGGTGTGATACAATGCGCTACAGACTCGACTGATTAGATAACAATGGTCAATCTAGCTACAACGGACATTTTAGGTACTCACCAGGAACCTGATGACTCATCCCGGCCTATCCCGTATTACTTAGACTCGTGCCCTCTCACTTGTGTTCCCCTCGTCTTGCCAACACCAGTATCCGGGCATCCCGCCCTCTGTTGTTTGCGATCCTCTCATCCGCTCGCTCGTCCTTGCGCCTCGACCTCTCGACCCGTCGTAACGGCCCTCGACGCGATCTGCCCATTACAGTTTGGCAAGACCAACCAATCACTACACTAGTAGACCTCAGCGAGCTGCGTCGCATGCTCATAACTCCTTACAGTAACGTACTCCCTTGTTTTCGGAACCTATATCCTTGTCCATTGTCTTCTCGCACCCTTTGTCTTGGCCTTGATGTATGATCAAGGCTTCGATGGCCAATGGGGCGCAGGTGCTGGCGATGCTCCAGCACCACCCGAGGCTCCCACTGAGCCACAGCCTCAGGTCAACCAGCCTCAGACTCAACTGCCCTCAGCTGAGGCTCAACACATCCACACTCTCCTTGAGGCTGTAGTGGCTATTGGGGCAGGTCAACAGGCCTTCATGGACAACAAGACCCGCTATGGGCTGGCTCTCGAGGCGCTTACACGTCACCTTGACAACACAACATTGGGCTCTTCGCAGTCTAACTCACAGCTGTGTTTGCGCGGTGTGAAGACGCGAGACCCACGCATGTTCAACGGTTGCTTGACAGAGGTTGTTTCCTTCCTCCGCGAGATCCGTGCATACATCGACCTGCAGCAGGTCTCGACAGACTGCCAAAAGGCGATGCTGTTGTCAATGTACCTGAAGGATGGCTCGCCAATCGTGTGGTTCAATGCAACTGAGCGCACCAGCACCTACCTTCTGAATGACTGGAAACAGCTCCAAGAGGCTTTCACGGCCCAATTCCAGGACCCGAACCTCATCAAGTCATCTTTGATGGCTATCGAGAATCTAAAGCAGACTGGTGCTGCTGCAGACTATGCTAACAAGTTCCAGGAGCACCTCGTGCACCTGGATCTTAGTATGTTCACACAGATCACTTATTTTGACCATGGTCTCAAACCCTCGCTCAAGCTTGTGCTCGTCAACACTCCACGCCCAGCCACACTTGACGGCTGGATCGCTACCGTTGTCGAGGCTGACAATCGGCTTCATGAGTACGAGCGTGAGCAGAAGTCCCTGACAAAGGCAGCTGGTAAGCAGCCTGCCCCTCACAATGACCATCACGCCTCTCCGGTGGTGACTACCCAGACAACAATGCAGACGGTGGCCCCTGTGGCCACCAGTTCACACCCGAACATTGTCCTGATGGAGATCGATGCTATGTGTTGTGGTCCCATCATGGCTGAAGAAAAAGAGCACTGTTGCAAGAATGGACTCTGCTTCTACTGCGGCCAGGGTAAGCACCTCGCTCGCGACTGTCCCAACATGTCCGAGTAGGCCAAAAAGAAGGTCAAGGCTTCTCCTGCTCAGGGAAAAGCTTGACCGAAGGCTCAGTGAATGTCCCGGAGCCTTCGGTAACTAAAGGGACTCAGGCACCTGCGCTGGGGGCTCTGATGCACGTCCATTCAACTGATGGCATGTGGATACCCAAGCCTGCTGGCTATGCACCTTGTTTCGAACTTTCGTCTCATGTTCATGCATCTCGCCATTCCGCTGACCATTTTTTTGTCTCTGTCTCGCTTTCCTTTTCTGACCGCAAGCCTGTTCAGACATTTGCACTTATCAACAGCAGCGCCACAGGATCTTGCATTTCCCTTGCATTCGCAAATTGACATGGTCTTTCACATTGATCAAAGGACATTCCTGTCCTGATTATAGCAGTCGATGATCATCCCATCGCGTCTGGTCTGATCACCCACGACGTGGTGACATCTCTGTCTGTTCAGAACCATGCTGAGCATATAGCTCTCGGTATTGTCTTGGTTCCTTATCCTGTCATTCTCGGTTTGGATTGGCTACAACACCACAACCCTGCTATCGACTGGGCTCGTCGCCATCTCGTGCTCTCATGTTGCAGTGCAAACCCATCATACCCTGTCTCTGCTCTCAGAAAAGGCTTTGGTCTTGCCCGAGTCTCGTCTATGGTTGTTTCTTCGCAATCTTTCTCTGCTACTGTTGTTGGTCTAGGCCTTGGTCTTAACGGCAGAACTCTGGCTCCATCACATCAGGACAGTGTCGAACGCTCAGATCGAGCACGATGCTTGCACACTCTGCATGGCAGATCCTATCTTGCTGAGTCTGTGACCTCTCCCATGTCTCCTCATCTCTCATCCAGCATTGGCCTTGGTCAAACTGGGAATCCCTTGCCTTTGATTTCTGATTCTTCAGAGCAACCTTCGCTCAACATAGCTTTTGTCAACTCAATGTGTTTCCGCAAGTATGCGTGAAACAACGAGACTGCACTCCTTTGGTATCATCCACGTGGCTCTACAGGTTACACGATTGCCTCGCTCCGCTTGGACAAAGCATTGACTACACCTGAACCACCTACCTCCGCACCTCCCAGATTTGTCCCTCCCGGGCCTCCACCAATGGATGACTCAGATGACTTCTTGTGGCATGTGCCTGAGAAGTATCATGAGTATGCCACTGTGTTCTCGCCCATCGAGGTTGAGAACCTGCCCCCGCATTGTCCCTATGATGCTTCCATTGACCTTGATGAAGGCAAAACACCTCCGTTTGGTCCGATATATCATCTGTCCCAACAAGAACATGCTGTTCTTTTTGATTATGTCAAGACTAACCTTCGCAAAGGCTTCATACGACACTCTACATCCACTGCAGCATCACCTGTTCTATTTGTTCAGAAGAAGACTGGCGAGTTGCGCTTATGCGTCGACTATCGCGGTCTTAACTCCATCACAAAGAAGAATTGCTATCCGCTTCCTCTCATTGATGACCTCCTCGATCGCATTCAGGGTTGCAAGGTGTTCTCGGTCATTGACCTAAAGAATGCCTTCAACTTGATTCACATTAAGGATGGTGATGAATGGAAGACAGCTTTTCGGACTCATCTCAGACTCTTTGAGTACACGGTTATGCCATTTGGCCTTACTAATGCACCTGGAATTTTTCAGGCTTTTATCCAGGACACCCTGCGCGATCTCCTTGACGTCGTGTGTGTTGTCTATATCAACGACATCCTCATCTTCTCCCGGAACCAGGAGGAGCACAACCGTCATGTCACAATGGTACTTGAGCGGCTTCGAAATGCTGGCCTTTTCGCCAACGGGAAAAAGTGCGCCTTCGATCACACTGAAGTCGAGTACCTTGGCTACCTGCTCAGCGCCAGCGGGATCAAGATGCACCCGCGGAAGCTCGAGACCATCACCGACTGGCCATGCCCGCAGTCCATCAAGGATGTGCAGTCATTTCTGGGCTTCACAAATTTCTACCAATGTTTCATTGACAACTATGCCAAGACGGTCCTTCTGCTTAACGCGCTCACAAAGAAGGACCATCGTGGTGAGCCATTTGTTCTTTCCGAAGATGCCATTGATGCCTTTGATCGGCTGAAGCGCGCATTCACAGCCTCGCCCGTTTTGCATCACTTTGATCCATCTTTACCTATTACATTGTCCACTGATGCTTCAGATTTTGCCATTGCAGGTATTCTTCACCAGCCGGATGCCCAGGGCTTTCTGCACCCTGTGGTGTACTATTCTCGCAAGCTTATGCCAGCTGAGATCAACTATGAGGTGTACGACAAGGAATTACTCGCTGTCGTCGAGTCCTTTCGGGACATGCGAGCATGGTGTATTGGGATGCCCGAGCCTATTGCTGTCGTCTCCGACCATAAAAACCTTGAGTATTTTATGTCTTCTCGTATTTTAAACCGCCAGCAAGCCCGCTGGTCGATGTTTCTGTCCGAATTTAATTTTCGGCTGGACTATGCTCCTGGGCTTAAAAATCCCGCTGATGCACCCTCGCGGCAACTGGACTTCGTGCCTCGAGAGGGGGATGACGTCCTGCATCTTCAGAACAAAGTCCTACTCACTTCTTCACACACAGAACAACTTTTCCTGACCACATCGACAGCCCCCGACTTGACGCCTGAGTCGCAATACATTGCCACCACGAGCATGCTCTCACTCAACAATTCTGAGCTGCTTGACAGGTACACATCAGCAATCCATGATGATTCCGAGTGGCGCGAAGCCATCGCCCATGAGAACTCAGACTTCAAGCTTAATGGTAACCTCATGTTTCATAAAGGAAAACTCTTCATACTGTCATCTATGTCCTCACGGACGCGTGGACTAGGTTCCTGCTGCATACTAGCCAAAAGCAGTACTGGGCCCCACGTGAACTGCGAACCTCAGTGTTATCTCAGGCGCCGTAGGTGTAAGCTAGCTAGTATGGCCTTTCGTAGCATGCATACCTCCCCTTCCTTCCCCCATCACCATGGCAGATGAATTCTTTGACTGCTCTCGACTTGAGCATGTATTTGACATCCAAGAACAGCTCGATGTCTCATGGGACCCAGTCTTCCTTCTTCATCTGTGACTGACAGCCATGTCCTAATCGCACTCCACGATCCATCACTGCAGACGAAGGACGCTACACGCCAATCAGATGGGTCCAGCACCCCAGCGGTCCAGCTCTCAGATACGCGACATAGAGATCTACCTCCTGCCACATCACTCTCATCCTGTTCCAACCTGCATCCCCAGGCACCTGCATTCCCCAACCTATCGCCAGTACAGGTCAAACACAAGGAGATCCCCATCTCCCTCGAGGAATTGAGGCAGTTGCACAGCCTGCAGCGGCCCCTCAAACAATCCCTCAGGCCTCCTTGGGGCCACGGGTGGAAACAGTCCCAAAGCCCAAGCCCCGTGACTCTCCAGCGGTTAGTTGGGCCAGCTTGTCATCTGCGGTCCCCTCCTCGACTCCAGTCCCTGTTGTATGTCACTCTGCCTCTGGACTTCCTCCGTTGCCTCCACCACCGTCACTGCCACTCAACCACTCAACCGCTTGCTCCTCCCGAAGTTTGCCTGGCGGACAATCACAACCACCGACTATGCCCCCGGGCCGTCCTCCATCCCCCCCCCCACCGGTAATGTCTTCTCCGAACCCTATTGACAAGGAGACCTTGAAACACCTCCTTCCCCTTTGATACAATGGGAAGACCATCATCAAGTGCAACCACTTCATCTCACAGTTGCTCATCTATTGGACAGTCAACACTGCTCTCTCTACCATCGAGCTGAAAGTGCAAGTCACACTAAGCTTGCTTGATGGAGATGCCCATACTTGGGCCACCCCGATCTTCGCCCAGCTTGCATCCATTTCAGTCAGAGTACAAGGGGCTGTAACACTGTTCGCTGACGTCAAGGTTTTCCTCACAGTGTTTAAAGGCCGCTTTGGCAACCTTGATGACACTGCGTCAGCACAGGTGGAGCTCACCAAACTCTGCGCTGACAAATCAATGCGTGAACAATGCACCGCCACAGAGTTCTCTGCACTGTTCAAGGGTCTGGTGGACCGTTCTGGGTATGGTGACCTGGAACTCCACGACAAGTACCTGAGCGGTATCCCCTCTTGTGTCTATCGCAAAATTGAGCTCGAGACATTCACCACGTGGGAAGCCGCTGACAAGTGCGTCACTGTGGTCAAGCAACAACTCAACATCAGCCGGGCCCATCGGCCCGAGTTGAACAGCTTCTTCTCAGCTCGAGGAGGCGGACACGGCAGAGCACGTGGTGGTGCACCCCGGTCACAAGGCGCTTCGGCCAGCATCAATGTGGCCGTCAGAAAAGAAGACTTCCCCAGCAGTTGCTATGGCTGCGGGAAGAAAGGGTACCGACACTTTGAGTGCCCCGACTGTAAGGACAAGCCTTACACAAAACACACTGATGCGCAGGCTATGGTCACCTCAGGTTCCACCCAGGCCACGACAAGTGCCCTCATCACAACATCACCCTCAGCAACTATAAGTGCCACTTCAGCGAAATTGGAGAAATCCGAGCTGGCAGACTTGATGGCACAGGTGAAGTCGATGTGCGAGGAGCTTGAGCACTATCAGGCTATGAAGGAGGAGGGTTTTTGATACGGTCCACGCTTTGTGCCACATGCATCAGGCCGGCTATATCCTGTAATAAGTATGATGTATTGTCTTCTGCAATGGTGTATGAGTTGAACCACAGGTCCCAGCACTTTCACATTCTGGTTTGACTCAAAGGAAAAAGACAGCAAAAAGACATAATCGCTATGGTGGACAGTGGAGCCACCACAAAGTTTATCAACAAGTGATTTATTATGGAAAACAAGGTGCAAACACAAAGGTTAAAGGAACCCATTCCGCTCTACAATATTGATGGCACCCTGAACAAAGATGGAAGCATCTCAGAAGTAGCTGTGCTACAGATGCAGATAGGAGATCACGTCGAGAAGATGGTGTTCATGGTCATGAACATAGGTCCAGAAGATGTGATCGTCGGGTTGGATTGGCTATGTGAGCACAACCCCGAAATCAATTGGGAGACAGGCTCGTTCAAGCTGTTTCAATGCCCTGAAATGTGCGGTGCTAGGAAGACTGGCCGAATGGAGCAAGCGGCGACTGCACGTGATACGGGGGTCAGGCCCACAGCACACAGGTGTTTGCTGAAGTCCAAACAGTCAGTCATTGGTGCCTGCCGGAGTAAGGTACTCCTGGACTTCGAACCCAAAAAAGATCCAGAGGAGATCGAGTGGGACAAAGCCAATCTGATTGAAGCCTGGGAGTAAGAAGTTACACTTCCCAGCACTCCTCAGCTATTTGTCACAGCAGGGCATACATATTCCCAGCTGTTTGCTGAGGAAGAGATCAAAAAGAAGGTTGTAAAGACTGCCGAGGGGTCAGTGCCGAAGCAGTACCACAAGTTTCTGAATGTCTTCTCCAAGGAAGCATCAGAACGGCTACCCAAGAGGAAGCCATATGATCATGCAATCGAACTTGTGCCTGGCTACTTGATGTTCCACTTGAAGGTGTACCCCTTGTCGAACAATGGGCAAGAGGAGCTGGATAAGTTCCTAAAGGAGCAACTGGCGGAAGGTTACATACAGGAGTTGAAGTTGCCCATTTCGTCCCCCTTCTTCATCATCAAAAAGAAGGAAGGGACACTTCGACCCATACAGGATTACTGCCAGTTGAACGCAATCACCGTTAAGAATTGCTATCCGCTGCCACTGATCACTGAGATGGTAGATAAGCTCTGAGGCGCTATGCTCTTCATAAAGTTCGATGTCAGGTGGGGATACAATAACATCTGGATCAAAGATGGTGATGAGTGGAAGGCTGCCTTTGTGACTAACCAGGGACTGTACAAACCCCTGGTGATGTTCTTCAGCCTCACCAACTCCCCCACAACCTTCCAGGCCCTAATGAATGAAATATTCCATGATCTCATCATTGGCGGCAAGGTCCTTGTGTACCTGGATGACATACTCATCTTCTCCACCAACAAAGCGGAGCATGAGAAGGTCACACGCAAAGTCCTGCATCACCTTCAGGATAACGATCTGTTCCTGAAGCCTGAGAAGTGCGAATGGGATATTCCCAAGGTCGACCACATTGGCTATGTGTTCAGTGACGATGAGGTAGCAGTGGATCCTGCAAAGCTAAAAGGAATTAATGAGTGGCCAGTACCCCAGAACAAGAAATATGTCCAGAAGTTCCGGGGGTTCTCCAACTTCTACTGCCGCTTCATTAAGGACTTCACTAAGATCTTGTGACCACTCAACTGACTCACAGGGAATGACCCCTGGCACTGGGGTGAAGAGGAGCAACACACCTTTGATGAGCTCAAGTGGCTCTTCACCACAACCCCGGTCTTGACGTTGTATGACCCTAATCGGGAAACACACATTGAGGTTGATGCCTCGGGGTACGCCACTAGTGGTGTGTTGATGCAGAAGCAGGACAATGGCAAATGGCATCCAGTTGCCTTCAGGTCTCACGCTATGGACCCTGCCCAGCATAACTACGAGATCTACGATAAGGAGATGCTTGCGATCATCGAAGCGCTAGACAATTGGTGCCACTACCTCGAGGGCTTGCCTAATCAGTTCGAGATCGTAACCGATCATAAGAACCTCGAGTACTGGTGCATGTCACAGCATCTTACACATTGTCAAGCACGATGGTCGCTGTTCCTGGCTTGCTTCGATTTCTGCATCACGCACAAGGCCAGAACATCCAATGGAAAGGCTGATGCCCTGTCACACCGATCAGACCATCAGGTCGGCGATGAGGATGACAACACCAATCAGATTGTCCTCAAACAGGAGTGCTTCCACATCGCTGCCACACAATGTGGGCACACCTTGGTGACAGCCAATCAGTCGCTTCTGAGGTGCATCAGGGAATGTTCAGAAAAGGATCGGGTAGTGGCCGAGGCACTTGAGAAAGTGTAGAACCTCGGACCACCTCGGCTGCAGAAGGGTTTTGAGGAGTGGAATGCTGAGCAAGGGCTTCTGTTGTTCTGCGGGTGCATATATGTCTCAAAAAATGTGAAGCTCTGGCAGGATATTGTCAAAATCCACCACAACTCGCCGATTGCTGGTCATGGCGGTCATGCCAAAACCCTCAAGCTTGTGTTGTGGAATTACTGGTGGCCGGGGATGTCTAAATTCATCAATGAGTACGTAAGCACCTGCAACGTGTGCAACTATACCAAGACATTCCCAGCCAAGCCCCAGGGTCCACTAAAGCCAAATGAGACCCCCGAGCACCCATGGCAGATCATCACCACCAATATGATTGTCGGCCTGCTGAAGTCTGATGGATTTGACTTGATCCTGGTTACCGCCGACTGCTTTACCAAGCAGGTTCACTTCTCGGCCTGTCATGAGACCCTGATGGCAGAAGGTGCAGCAGACCTGTACATCCATAACGTGTTCAAGCATCATGGGGCCCCGGCCAAGGTCATATCAGACTGAGGTCCCCAGTTCACATCAAAGTATCTCCATGTGGTGTACAAGGGATTGGGGATCAAGCCGGTGCTATCTACAGTGTTCCATCCTCAGACGGACGGCCAGATCGAGCGCTGGAATCAGGAAATTGAGCAGTACCTACGCGCTTTCACAAGCCACAGGCAGGATGATTGGGCCAAACAGTTGCCGCTTGCCGAATTTGTGCTGAACAATAGAGTTCACTCGGCAACCAGGCACTCCCCCTTCTTCCTGAATCAGGCTTATCATCCTGAGATCCAAGTGTGGATCAATCCGATGTCCACGATGCCTGCAGCTGCAGATCAGCTTAAGATCCTGAAGGAGATCCACAATGATGCGTGCTCGGCACTTGAGCTGTTGGCTGAGCAGATGAAGGTGTACTATGACAAGCACATGCATGAGGCACCAATCTTTGCGCTGGGGGACAAGGTCTGGCTTAATGCTCGGAACCTTAAGCTGAAACAGCCGAGCAAGAAGCTCAGTCCCAAGCGCCTCAGACCATATGCCATGCAGTGAAAGCTTGGAGACTTGGATTATGAGCTGATTCTGCCAAAGTCAGTGTCTGTGCACCCAGTGTTCCATGTTTCCTTGCTAAGCAAGTACATGCATAGTGACCTCCTGGGCCACAAGCCAGAGGAGCCACCTGCCATTGAGGTTGAGGGTGACGAGGAGTACAAGATTGAGCGGATCAAGGATTCAAGGATCTTCCGGCATCAGCTGCAGTACCTCATCAAGTGGAAGGGTTATGATGGCTCACATATGTCATGGGAACTGGTGCACAATGTTGCAAATGTGCCAGCCCTCATAGCCAACTTCCACTGGAAGAATCCAAATGCCCCTCATCACCTCAACACTGCTGTCTTTGAAGGTTTCAACTTTCAGCCAATGCCTTCACTGCTTACTAAAGCATGCTGTTGCTCCAGATGGGAGATGGGCAAGGACCTCACATGAGGTCATGCACCATTGAGGGGGGTGGGGGGTAATGTCACAAGTTGACATGGTGTTCATCTGTTTTGTAATTTTTTTTCCTTTTCACGGGCTGAAACCTGTGACCTCTGTACTATATGCTTGAATGGACAAGTCGTTATTTACTGTATAATTAGATTAGATAGGATGGCAGTGCATGGCACAGCTCGGGCTCCATTGACACAGCCGCTTTGACTCACCAGCCTCCGGGGCTGCATCAGCATGCTGTGCATGGACCAGCTGTGCATGGACCAATGCGCATAGCCTGCCCTTATCTTCCCCTGTATATAAGCTGGCCTCTGCTGCCCTAGGGACCTCAGTTTTGACCTCTTGTCCCTAGGTCAGTAAACCCTCATGTATTCTTTCCTTCTTTTACTAACTAATATATTATCTTGTCTCTAGCTTTATGTTTGAGCTTTGCTCACCATTGCTTTGGTGAGACTCAGTCAAACGCCCCCAGCCTTCATGTTTGTTTGTTCCCTGTCGCTTGACCCCAAGTCATGACAATCATGGTGACTGATAGGTCACAAGTGTGATGTCCATTGATAAGATGCATAAGTGTTTTCCTCTCTTCTTGCTCTGTGTCTCGATGTGTGCTGATGCGACCAAGGAAATCCTACTCTATACTGGGATAGAGGACACAGGGAAACCTACAACAGTCTATAATAAAATGGAGGAGTTAGGAGTAAGGCTCCCACTTTGGAACACTTCTAATGTCTCAGATGATGCAGGTATATCTCTTTGGAGCCCTCAACCAGGCTTCTGTACACAATGGAAGTGAAACAGATAATGTGAGGGACTTAGCTATTCTGGTTTGATGCAGTTCAAAGATGCAACACAACACCTGCTCGCAGTAGAGCAAGTCAGATGAGGGACAAAGTCACAGTGCAATACTTGTCAAAATCTTTGAAGCCAGTTGGACAGGATATGAAGCATAGAGGCAGCGAGTTGAATTGAGATGCAAAGTCCAAACTGTAGTGTTGAGAGGGAAAATAAATCTGTATGTTTCTAAGTGCAAAGCTGTTTATATACATGTGCATTGTGCTAAACCAAAGTCTGAGTCCAAAATGCGAATCATATGAAAGCCAAAACTCATCTGATACCCAAAAACCAGATACCAACTGTTAGAGGGTAAAGTCAGGGGATTGTACTACTACCACAAGGGACGTAGTAGGTATGCAAACCCACTGAGGTGTTTTGTAGGATGATGTTGTGACTTAGGGTCAAGTGACAAGGAATGAACAAACCAAAAGGCTGGGGGCATTTGACTGGGTTGACTAAAGCAATGGTGAGCATGCTCAAACCTAAGGCTAGAGACAAGATAATATATTAGTTAGTAAAAGAAGGAAAGAATACATGAGGGTTTACTGACCTGAGGCCAGCTTATATACAGGGGAAGATAAGGGCAGGCTATGCACATTGGTCCATGCACAGCTGGTCCATGCACAGCATGCTGATGCAGCCCCGGAGTGTAATGGGCAGATTGCGTCGAGGGCCATTACGATGGGTCGAGAGGCGAGAGCGAGCAAGCGGACGAGAGGATCACAAACAACAGAGGGCAGGATGCCTGGATACTGGTGTTGGCAAGACGAGGGGAACACAAGCGAGAGGGCGCGAGTCTAAGTAATACGGGATAGGCCGGGATGAGTCATCGGGTTCCTGGTGAGTACCTAAAATGTCCGTTGTAGCTAGATTGACCATTGTTATCTAATCAGTCGAGTCTGTAGCGCATTGTATCGCGCCGGTAAGTGTCCATTGTAACGTAGCTGTTACACCATCTCCTCCTCAAGGAGCGCGCTTGCGCGGTCCTAGAGTGAAGGATCGTGCCGGACGGGTGGTCGCGAGACCCGACCAGTTCGTGTCGTCGTCTGTGTGGGTGGCACATAGACGTCGCGAAGGTTCTCACGAGCTGGGCAAGGGCTCAGAGTGTGCAAGGCAGCGGGAGGCACGGCGGAGGCAGCGGGCAGAGCGGCAGGAGCGGGCACAGATGAGGGCACAGACAAGGGCATGGACAAGGGCATGGACGGAGGCACGGGCAGAGCGGACATGGACGAGGATGGTCTTGGGGCGGCGGCAGAGGACTCAGAGGGCATGGGGACCTGTGGAGCAGAAGAGGAAGGAGATGAGGTTAGTAGTGTAGCATCTGTAGATACAGACACCATGCGGTCAATGAGAAGTCGGTGGGGATGTGGAGCACGAGGGTGACGACGGTGAAAACATTCGAGGAGTTCATTGTCAGAGGTAGGGATGTCGGAGAGAGTGAGCCAGGAGTCTTCGTCTTCAGAGAGACCCTTCCAACGCATGAGGTACTCATAGCGCTGGCCGAGTTTGCGAGAGTCGAGGATGGTGGCAATGGAGTTCGAGGGAGTGGGGTCATCAATGTCGAAGGGGTCAGGGGTGGCATGAGAATGGAATTGTGAAGGGTCTGAGTAAGGTTCAAGGAGGGAAACGTGAAAAACAGGATGAAGGTGAGAGAGGTACGAAGGGAGTCGAAGTTGGTAAGCAGTGTTGGAGACGGCGCGTTCAATAGGGAAGGGACCGAGCTTGCAATGGTCGAGCTTGTCAGAGGGATGTGTTGTCTTGATGTTGCGACGCAGCAACCAGACGAGCTGATCGTGCATGAACGGAGGCGCAGCAGTGACATGCGCATTGTAGGCGCAAGCTTGTCAATCTTGGGCTTCCTTGAGCTTGGTGCACAACTCGTCATGGAGGTGATTGAGTCGCTGCGCGAGATCGACGGCGGCGGGTACAGAGGAGTGTTCCGTGAGGCAAGGTTCGAAGGTGGGGTGGAAACCAAAGTTGGCGAAGAAGGGGGTTTGTTTTGTGGACGAGTTCTCGCTGTTGTTGAATGCGAACTCGGCAAGTGGCAGGTAGTCAACCCAATCGTCCTGTTGGTAGGACATATAGGCCCGGAGGTACTGCTCAAGCGTCTGGTTCGTATGCTCAGTCAGACCATCCGTCTGTGGGTGGTAGGCCGTCGAGGTTCAGTGATCTATCTTGAGCAAAGCAGTGAGTTCTTTCCAAAAATGCGAAATGAATACTGAACCCTGGTCTGACACGACCAAGTCGGGCAGTCCATGGTGGCGAAAGATATGGTCATAGAAAAGCCATGCGAGACTGGGTGCGTCAAGGGTCTCACAGCATGGGATGAAATGCGCAGCGTGGGTCAAGCGGTCGCACACGACCCAAATCGAGTTGTAACCGCAGGAGACCGGGAGCTTGACGATGAAGTCCATGGAGATGGACTTCCATGGGTGGTCGGGGATGTCGAGTGGTTGCAAGAGGCCATAGGGTTTGTGGTGCGGTGCCTTGACTCGGGCGCAAACATTGCATGCGCGGACGTAGTTCATGCCTGGCCATGAGTAGTCGCGTTGTATGAATGCAAGGGTGCGCGCGCGGCCAGGGTGACCTGCAATCACTGAATCATGGCGAGTAAAAAGGATATCAGCACGCAAACACTGCCCACTGAAGTGCAGGTGTTGAAGGTTTGTTCCCTAAGTGACCTGTCGGAAGTGAATGAATGAGTTTGCGTGTGAATGCCGGCAGCAAGGGGGAGTTTTGACCTAATGTCGCAACTTGAGGTCAAGCGACAAGGAGAGAACAAACCAATGATGCAGCCCCGGGGGCCGGTGAGTCAGAGCGGCTGTGTCAGTGGAGCCCGAGCTGTGCCATGCACTGCCATCCTATCTAATTTAATCTATTTACATGGCAATGTGATGTGCCGGTGAGGCTTGTCCATTTGAGCATTGAGCGTATAGTACAGAGGTCATGGGTTCGAGCCTGCGGAAAGGAAAAAATTAAAAAATGGCTAGACACCATGTTAACTCGTGACAATGATGCTTTTACTCCTAGGGGTCAGTCGCGCAGCCTTTAAGCAGTGTTCGAAACATGCCAGGTGTCCTCTGAAAGGGTAAGTGGCATCATTAACTTGCATATCACTCCACCTTGCATGCAGAGAATATGCCAAACATCTCGTCCAACATACCCATGTATTCCAGGCCTACAGGTCATAATTATACATCATACAGCTGTTATGACAGCACAACTCCTGTTACATCAAAAGCTGTACTTAGAGCACTTACCTGTAGATGCATTGAGAGAATCACTTAAAATAATATTGACAGCTCTTAGTCACATGCTTCAAGTTTCCTAGTCACATGCTCAGGGCTTCCTATGGTCACATACTCTGATGTTTTCATAGTCACATGATCCATTCCATAATAATCTACTTTGCTTATTTCAACATTTCATGCTCTTTCGCGGCCATAGAATCATGCTCACGCAGTCTCTTGTGTGCAGGGTCAGGACTCACTATATTGATATTCCGGCCTCAAATAAAAACAATCTTATAACAAGCTTGACTCACACTACCCAATGCAGTAAAGGCAGTGCTTTAAAGATATACCACCTAATCCTAACCTAACTTAACCGAACCTAACCCTAACCTAATCTAACCTAACGCACCTAATGGCCAAATATGGAATGTATACAACTAAAGGCAGTAATACTATGGGGTGTATAGAGTTGCTCAAGGCATAGAGTTGCTCAAACCGCCTTGTACGGCCTTCCACATTTTTAGTTTAAAACCCAAAAAATCAGTGAGAGTGTATATGGTCCCTATGAATGCCCCCATGGCACTGGAATAATAAAATCACGCAAGGCATTTTGACAACAGTGTACACAAATATTGAACTAAATCTCGCCCAAATGTGATGGGAATTTCACCTGGAAGCTTTCAGTCTTCATTCTCTATTGATATAAATGTCTATCAACAAGCCCGATACTTTAAAGCACTTGAGGTACAATGTAGACAAGCGTGGTGGGTGAGATCGTCTTGCTCCTGTGGCTAAATGTGACTGTAGTTTAGACTCTGCTCAGTATGTCACACAGATGTGTTTGCAAGACCATGCTCATCTCGCTGCTGGCGGGCGTTGCTGCGTCGGAGTGTGAACATGTCGCAGTGACATGCCGTGACAATTTGAGCAACTCTATGCCTATTACACCATCAAAACAAGTCATCCTCACGGATTCATGCTGGTACAAAAAACACTCATTGTATTGCACTGGAAATATTCACAGCTGTGAAGAAGATCTCAATGCATCTATTGACACAAGAATCATGAAACAATATGCAGTGCTTCGTGAACCCGAGGCTTGCGAAGGCGGCCATGAGCAACTCTATACACCCCATAGTATATCCACAGGTGGAATGATGCATCATATCCACCTGGGATTAGAGCACATAATGTAACACTGTCTGTGCTGTGATTAGAGCATACGATGTATCATTCTGCCAGGCTCAGGTGTGTATTCACTTTCTGGCTCAGAGCACGGGCCGTGGGGTATCCAGGGGGCCGGAAGCTATGGTAGCCGCGGCAACGAGTCTGTCCACTGATTAGCATGTGCCCAATATCAAAACAAGCCCACGGGGGTCTTCAGGTGACCCCGAGGTGGTCAATGTTCTCAGCAAGCATCAGTCGAAGTGTCAGATGCCCGCCTCGGGGCGCCCAACATATCCGTCAGACTATTGCAAATGCGCCGCATGTTGCAGATTGGAGATTCATACCGAAGATGATGGAAAGCTTGGAAAGGCGTCGGAATCTGCAGCTATCTCTGTCTCTGTAGGGTTACGGCATCCGTAATTGAGGTCGTGCCGTAACTAGCTCAGCGGATCACACGTTTCAGGCTCGTCTTTCTCACAGCAGAAACAGGATGAGTGTGAGCATACGATACACGGACGCAAGCATACCAGAGAAGGAAGAGATCGTTAAGGACGCTCTGGTAATTGCCGCACTGCCGGTGCGTATCAATAATAGTCATCACATTTGCAACGTCATTAAGGTACGAAGGGCCATCAGGCCATATGTTTCTAAGGAGACTGCGCATTTATGGAAACCGCCTTGAGGCTCTCGTAGTGCTCACAAACATCACAAAATTCTAGAGACGTGCGCCAGGTGTAGTTCGGGCCGCTGCTGCAAAATGATGGGAGTGCCGTGACATCCTCTTAATGCGCTTGAGCCGTCTCATGTGATCGACCTGCGAGGAGCAGAAATGCTCGCCCCGTCTCATACCTATCCCCGCCAGAATCAGCGTACACGCCGCGTTCGCCTGCAGGCCCGAACGCACCCCCAAACCACGAGCCGCCCGCAGCAACGCGCCGCTGGTGCCGTTCTTGGCCATGTTGGGCACAAACAGAGTGAGCGAAGCATGACGCGAGGCCGCTGTGGACGCACGTCTCGCACGAGGGAGGCGAGACGGCTCTATCGACGGAGCCAGATGATCGCCCAACTCAATTGCGCGCTTGGGGAGCCTGTGTTTCGAGACGCTAAGCGCCACGGCTGGCCCGCCGGACCCGCGCTCGTTTATTCTCAGGCTGACCAGGGTATGAGCGCTGGGTGCTGAGAGGTGCTGGGCGTCAATGGGGAGAAGCGGACGTGAGAACAGATATGGCAAAGAGTGGCACAGAGCAGAGAATCGTGGCGAGCGTGTCACTGCGTGAGGTACGGTGACCGAGGCGGAGATAGTGCGTCAACGGTATCTTGAGACAACCAGGCCGCAGCGAAGGCCGAGACGTTGCGCTTGTTTGCAATTGACTTGTTGTTGGCGGGAGGGACCCCTATACCTATACCTGCAGCAGACCACAGAAGTCTCCGTCGCGGAAGGCAGATGCGAAGCCAACAAAGGGCAGACTACAGCCGAATAAAGCAAGTCAACAGCCTCGCAGCGCGCCCGTTCTAGAACACCCAGAGTGCGCGACGGATGAGAAGGGCAACGCGACAGAGCCAGCCATCAAATGTAATGGTGGCATCCGCGAACCAGCAGCAGCAGCAGGGGCTTTCCACGGACGTGTGCAAGAACCACGCGTCGTCAGCGCGTTGCTGCGAGACGAGGCGAGCGTGGCCTCAGCAGATCACATCGATAGAGCCGGATGGGAAGATATGACCGCGGGACAGCGCCAGGGCGGACAGGGAAGAGGGCTCAATCACCCATGCCCCGACCCTCGAGTTATATGAAGGGGGTTCTTCGGAACCCTCGGACGCTGTAGCCGCAGTTAGGCCGTAGGTCAGCTGCAGCGCAGTGCCCTCGCGCAGCGCCAACGGTCATCGACACGGATCGGAGGACCCGTTCGGGCCATATTCGGAAGGCGAGCCTAATTAGCAGCAGGGGATCCTTCGCGTCGCGGAGCGCGTGATACTTGACATTTGCCCAATGCAGCTCGTGCAGCAGATACCAGCCTGGTTCTGGCGCGAGTAGCGCAGTGGCCGACGATTCTGTGGGTACTACATCCGGAGCATGGTGGGATCCTGGGTGATGAGCGGCCGGTTATAGGCCTGGGCTGGATCTGCGGAAGCAGTAAGAGAGCAGGAAGATGCAAGATAAGAGTGTGCCAGAGCGCGATCCCATTCGCGGGTTGGGCTGTTCACACGAGAAGAGGATGATCTGCTACAGACAGTTTGACGCGGCGATGGTCACTGGGCACAGCCTAGGCTTGTTTCACGTCAGTGTGACCCGCGCGATAAGTGAATGGGCGTGTGAGCGCGTCAGAAAGTAGGGTGGCGGAACCCCTGTCATCGCGGGTCATACGATCGATAAATGAGCCAACGATAATTAATAGCTGGACGCGCACGAAGCTTTATTTCTGTTGGCGCACGTTGGGCAATCGGCGCACGTTCGATCGCCGAGATCGAATATCGAGTGCGCATTGTTTTTTGAAATGAGGCGGCACCTGTAGGCAAGCGCGGAGGACACACACAACCGCGCAACGGAACATGCTCATTGCAGCACCAATGCAGCCAAACAAAATCAATTTCAAGCGTCGTACGGCACCAGATACCGCGGCATCTCGCCGCGACACAACCTTACCGACAGCGCCACTACGTCGCCTGCCTTGCAGCACCGTGCGGAGAAAGCGGTGCACGTCTGCTCTGCGTCTGCGCCCCGTGGAGCCTTCGCAGGCCCAGGTCCGAAGAGCACTGTGTCTCAACCGCTGCGAGCCTACTCCATGACGCGTGTCGTTTGCTCGCGATCGGCCTCACGGCCTGTATGGAGGTGCATCGACCGACACGCGCAAGGATGTTCGTCTGCCCTCTACTGCCCATGAAGGGTCATTGAGCCAGGAGGATCCGCCTTGGGCCGCCACCGCATCACGACGCAGCGATGGCACCAACGGCAGCTGCAGGGTCTGGGGGCGGTCATGCACAGCGCCACACGGCCACGGTGGCCTTACGTACACGTCCAATACGCACCGAGCGAGGGGATCGATCGACACAGCTCCCGACGGCATCAGCGTCCAAACAATCGAGCTGGGCCCGTGCGCTTCTGTGCCTCCGCACCCGGGGCTCTAATCACCGTCGTCGGGCCCTCGTGGCGGTGTCCGCAGGGACGCGCTTCGGCGCGGGCGCTGGGCCGCGGACCTTGTTATGCCAGAGGGGCCAGGCAGGCATCCTGGATGGCCGAGCGTCGAGTATCGGTGTCCGGACCTACGATATCCATTTTGAAGGCGCCGCCCCTGCTTCCGACCGCTGTCTAGCGTCAACTACGCATGACGGAGGAATGCGCACGCGACGCGCGCCGCTGACAATGACAATGACAATGACAATGCGGCATCCAAGCTGCACGTTCAAGCTCCGCGCGTCGACGCACGACGTGGGGAGCCGTGCAGGGGGCAATAGGCAATAGGCGATCCGGACCCTGCGCCTGCGAGACGGAGCGATCTGGCCTGCGCTGGTGGCGGTACAGGAGCCTGTGTGTGTGCCCGGGAGAAGACGCGCAGCCAGCGGGGGCTGTAGGGCGTAACGCGAGGGTGTCGTAACACGATCGGCCAGGGATCGGTGCATATTTAGAAGCGGGTGGAGGCTATAGTCGGAGCGGGTGCGCGATCGGGTGCGCGTCTTGTTGTGCGCCCGCGTTCCGCGCACAAGTGGGGGCGCTGCGCGGAGGTCAGGCCAGGCCACGTAGGGAGCCAGAGGGATTGGACGAGCGGGCGTGCGTGTCGTGACGCGTGCGGCGTGCATGCAGGCGTGCAGGTGTGCGTGTACGGGCTAATGCCCCCGGCACCCGCGCCGAATCTCAATTGAGATGGCGCGGATAACGACGCGGCCTGGACGCACCTGGGAAGGCGCGGCTCATATGATACACGCACGCGGGGTCAGCAGGCGATAGACGCAGGACGCGGAGGTCAGAAGGCGCGCGCGGTGCGAGCGACGCATCCGACTGCACCCCGGGATGTGCACTTCCCGATGCGGGCTGGTCGTGGTTCAGTGTATTGCGTAGCTCAGGTGAGCAGCGAGGGGCGAGCGCAGAATGGGAAACGCGAAGCGGGGACTGTGCTATAGGAAGGACGAAGGAGGGAAGCATGGACGGCAGCTGGCGAAGCGGATAATTGGAAGCCCGATGCTGGGTGGTAGGAACGCCAGCGGATGCGGTCATGACGCGGGCAGGCTGGGCCCGGCAGCGGGGAAGAAAACGAACGCGATCGTGGTGACGGTGAACGTGGACGGTAATGGACGTTGGAGGCTTGCGAATCCGGACGCCGCGATTGGGTTACGTCCGGAGATCGTCCGCGGTGGTCAGTCCGGGGGTTGACACTGCTTACTCGGATTGCGAAATCAAAGCTGGACTGTCACGGGAGAGTGCTAACAGCTGACATGGTGTACGATGGGCTGTAGCGCCACGGTTGGAGAGATACTAGGCCAAACGGGGCAGGCACAAACAGAGCCAAATGAGTATGGCGGTGAAGCTTTCATGCCCAAATATAATGCGGGGACCCAGGGTGGGGGGCTGATGTGGCTGAGACGGTGTCAGACGACACAACGTTTGGATGTTCTCATGTTAGAGTGCGCCGTGCAGGTGTCAATGATAAGACGGAGCCATCACGTTGCGCTTGTTCCTTGGACGCCGAGTGAGTGATAGACGCATAGGCGCGCAGCGTGTCGTGCCACGGCCGGGGATGGTGCAATTGAACACTAATTGAGCCTGGGTATGCGGATGCGGGTGAGGCGTGAATTTGTGCAATGTGACTGGCTGGAGGAAGCACGCGTGAGGCAGAGATGTCAGTGGAAGATGGGGCGCGCACGATAGGATCTGAGTCTGAACGAGGCCCATTGATTCATAACGGATGATAGGGTAGAATGCCGCTGCATTCGCGCTGCGCGCAGGAAGCAGATACGGTGTGATAGGATTGGCTTCTGGAGAAGCGTACAGGATCAGAACGAGAATGAATGAATATGTATGCAGAGATGAATGGGTGCGGAAGGGGGTGATGAAATGAGGATCACGCGAGAGAAAATGCTTGTCGCAGCAGGGCGATCAGCAGGAGGCGAAACGTCGCGGGACGGTGCCTCGCTGCAGGCCAGAAGGCGCTCTAACCCCGGCGGTGACTCGGCGTGGCACAGGGCCACGGCGGATGGCGAAAGCGCTGGCGGTGAGAGAGGCCAGGCGGGGGGATGTGAGATTGGGGGATTCTGGCGGAGACCTGGACGGGGAGATGGGCCGGGCCTGGGCCCGATGAAGCGCCGGCAGTAGAGGATGAAGGTTCGGAGGTGGACGGCGGAGGATCAGCGGCGCGGGAGCAATAGAAAGGCAAAGCGGCTGCGTGGGAGGGGGCGGCTGCGAGCTCAGGCAGGAGGAGGCGGGGCGGGAGGGGGCACAGGGGAGGGGAGACTGCGCCAGAGAGCCGGGGCGGGGGAGGGGGCGGAGGCCAGGCATAGATAAAAGACGTGAGAAAGAGGATGCGGCGAGGCAACTCTCTCCACTCGCATGCTGCTTCGTAAGATGCCGAGGGGCGGCGGGAGGACCCCGGGGCATGTCACTGGGCGAGCGGGGCCGGCATGGGCGCGGTGGAGCGGGCAGGGCGAATGGGGGCGGAGGGCAAGGATGTAAATGGGCAGGAGGGGTGGCAGGGGGCCGGGGAGGAAGAGAAAAGGGAGTGTTTGAACTCCGCTGGGTAGGGGAAATACATAACGACGTCAGCGTTCGTCATCTCTCATGGTGACCCGTCTCATCATCTTCGAGGACCGTCATCTTTGCCTGCGCCTACCCAGTCCACGACATCATCGTCCTCTCCGTCTGTCGTCTACTGCCCCCAGCTTCCGCCCGCTGTCGTCATGGCTGCCCAGGTCCACGCTGCTCACCTCCCTTCCCCTGACCGTGATCGCCTCGGTCGCTCCGACCCCGACTACGACCACGACCACTCCCGCCCCTCGACCTCGGGTGCCTCCGCCCGTCCTTCTCCCCCAAAACCACGCCGCACTACCTTCGACCTCGAGCCCAACCCCTTCGAGCAGTCTTTCGCCCGTCCCTCCAATGACTCCTCTGTCCGCACCCTTCAAAACTCACCCACTCGTGCCGACCCCCCGCCCCCGCCCAATTCCGGCCGCGCAAACCCCAACTCCGGCGACGACCGCGACACTTCCCGCCCCTCGTCTTCTTCCCAGACCTCGGGCAAGATCGATCGCAATCACTCGTCGTCGCCGCCCGACCCCAAGCCCGTCCTTCCGCCCCTCGCGAGCATCTCGTCGCCCGCAGACGGCTCCTACAACTGGGCCTTCTCATCCTCCTCCCTTTCCAACTCACTCCGCGCCGGGCCCCTGTCGCCCGCCATGCTCGCTGGGCCCCAGCCCAACTCTCACAACGACCAGCCCCTCCCCGCCTTCGATCCATCTTCCTTCCGCACTGGGCTCACTCCGCGCACCGGCCTCACTCCCGGCACAGGGTTGACCCCTCTCATCGGCGGCCCCGTCTCCTTCCCCCCTCCCTCTCCCAACACCGCCGCCTTCCTCGCCATGATGAACAACGGCTCCGCCGCCCCGAGCTTGTCCACCGTCGCCGGCACCATCACCCCTAACACCCTCTCCGCTATCACTGGTGTGCTCTCGACCGCTCACCACCCGTCGCACTCCGCCCATCACCACCATGGCCACTCCCACCAGAGCACCAACCCGTCCCCGCTCTCCATGTCACACCAGTACCAGGCGCAGAGCCAGGCGGCCCGGGAGAACAACGGGTATGCGTCGAATGCCGCCACCAACACCGCCGCGAACGGGCTCTTCCTCCTCTCGCAGGCCCACCAGGAGCTTACCAAGCGTGAGCAGCAAGCTGCTGCCGCCGCCAACGCCACGTCGCCCACGAGCAACGGCAACGTCAATGGCAACAGCAACGGCAACGGCAACATTAATGGCAATGGCGGCTCTCCGCCCAGTTCTGCCTCCGCGATGAACGGGAAGCGCGGTATGAAGCGCAAGCTGGACTCCCCTGTCGCTACGCACGAGCCCATGTCCGATTCGAACTCTGGCGTTGCGAAGCGCACGCGCTCGTCGACGGCCTCGACCATCAGTGTTCAGAGAGCGCGGCACGGAAGCGTGCAGAGCAGTCTGGAGGGCGAGGAAGAAGAGGAAGAGGAGGAAGATTACGTGCAACAGCAGCTGTCCCCCACGCAGAGCAATGGGAAGAAGTCGTCGGGCCAGAAGAAGCCGGAGACGGAAGAGGAGAAGCGGCGCAACTTCCTCGAGCGTAATCGCCAAGGTGCGTATTTACCTCTGATGTGCTTCATCCTGGGTGCCACGATGCTGACGGATCGATTGATCGTGACGTGCAGCCGCACTCAAGTGTCGCCAGCGCAAGAAGGCGTGGCTCGCGCAGCTGCAGGCGAAGGTCGAGTACCTGTCGAACGAGAACGAGCGGCTGACGTCCGCGCTCGTCGCATCGCGCGAGGAGATCTCGCGGCTGTCTGCGCTCGTTGGTGCCGCATCCGTGGGCCCGAGCGCCGTAGTGTCCGCGGTGAACGGCGGCTCGCACGTGGTCACGAACGGCTCAGCGAATGGTATGAACGGCGGCCCGCCCGTCAGCGTGAGCGTCAGCCTGCCGCCTGGCGGGAAGAGCGCCGCTGCGATGGTGGGCGGCGGGCGCGGCTATGGGTACTAGGTGCCCATGGCTTACTCCAGCCCGGTGGTGCTCGCCTGAGCATCCGTCATTCAAAGAGGATGAGGGGGGGAGGTTGTGGACGAAGATGCTGTAGTGACCCTGCCCGCATGCACACGTAAGGCGATCGGCAGGCCTCGTGCACAGAGATCCGGAGGAGTAGCGGCTGCTCGCTGTATGCTGTGCATAGCGTTCGGTGAGGGTGTGTGGGGGGAGAAGGCGAGGGGAGCGAAGGAGGTGGGACGCGGACACATTGTGGGGCGCCGTGAGTAGTCGCATATACATAACGTCACTTTGCTTCGTTGGTAGCTATAATCGTTGGTCGTACGGTAGCAGTTAGTGGTGCTTGTGCGCGCGTGCGTGTGCGGCGCGTTAGGCGCCTGCACCGGCGCAGTGCGTAGGTGCCGTGCTGTGGCACCGTTAGGTGCACGGGAGTCGGGCGCACGATAGCAGCGCGCACTGTTGTATGTTTAGGTTTAGTGATCTGTTTTGTGCTGTGTTCAATAGAAAGTATGTTATCATCGCTTTAACTCTGACGACTGGCATTCCGGGGTGAAGTCAGATCGCAGGCGATCTTCCGCTCATGATAATCGCTCTGTCACGATCGTCAGGTGCATTCAAAGTTGCCGCTGTCTACTAGCTGCGAAACGTTGTGCGGAAATGTAATTTGCGCAGAGCACGGAGATGCCCAGGCGCGGAGAACTTGCGCTTGCTGCCGCGTTGTCGCCACTCATGCGAGAGGCCAACTTGTTCACCGACAGGCAGGTGCAAGGGTGAGGTCGACTATGCATTATCGGCCCTTAGAATACAAAAGAGAGATACTATATCTCTACGGTATCGTGAATACGTTCGTACAGGGTGAGGCAGAGGATTTGTGATTTGAAATCCATCAGCATCCAAATAGAACCAGCTTTCGACGACCTGACGACGATCCTTAGAGCAATAACTGATCGACACACCGATGAGGCGGTCTAACCTTGCAAATCGGTTCCAAATGCTGTGAGCCAAGGCGCAATACGAATGATCGTGCCAACAAATCCGACGACACCCAGGCAGAGGCGCTCTGGCCATACGGCACCCCGAGGCATCAACCTCCATCTCGCCGGAAACCCGCTGAACACCGGTCTTATTATGCTCTTCCACTGAGCAAGAGCCCCACTTGCGCTGGGCCTTGACGCAGGATCACGCCTCGTCATCGACACTAAAAGAGGCTCGAGGAATTCCACGTTGGAAAACACCTGCACTGGACGTGAATGAGACAGCGAGAACAGCAGGAAGTACGCACGTCATGGAAGTAGCGACGGAAGAGGTTGCCGATGAAGATGCTGCCCTTGAATGGGTCATATGGTCTCTTGCGCCGCGAGAGCTCGGGGACCTCCTGGTCTCTACCGGCGACTCCGACGACTAGTCTGTTCTCGGCATCGAGGGGGGGATATGGCTGGATATGCCAAAGTCGACGTAATAGTACTTCACCGGAACATCACCGCGCGCAAGGTATGGAGCGGCTGTCTTAATGTCGTAAAGAAGGGTCTCCCATACAGGATGGAACCCTTTAGGATACATGGCAGATGCATCCATCATGATGTTCTTGTATGTGCAATCGCTGCGCAGTACAACAGCTGAAGGGACATGATAACCACGAGAGCCAGTTCGACGCACCGATGTGCCACTCCTTGCTCGTGCATGAAAACGAGACCCTTGAAAGGTGTATTCAGAATCGTCCAGTGAATTAGGCCACGGCATTGTAATACATGCCTCCAATATCTGGTCAACGAACTCAACGACATCTTGAGGGGTCTCGAAGGGAGGAGAATCTATAAGTCGGAGGAAAGGCATAACCATGTATGAAATGCTTTCGTCTTCGTCGTCCTGGAAGATGTCGAGGATGGGAACACAGTGATTCCGTGGATCGTCGCGCAGTGGTGGAGCCCACAGCATGCAAGCAATGCGTGACTCGTCGTCACCAGTCGTCACTCTTTTCAGATAAACGAGTTTCTCGTCTGATATCCTAATGACGTCGATGAGATGTTCTCGTTCCTGGCGCTCTTATTGGTGAATCTCGGTTCATCATACATTGAAATGTAATGACCCACTGGCAGAACCGCAGCATCTTCAGCGAAGGTAGGATTTTGTCCATTTTTTCTCCAGGAAGGAACCCAGCCTGGACGATATCTTGGTCTGAGCATGTACCCACGACGTTCGAAGTAGAGCTGCCGATCTCGCCAGCGTTCCTCGACGTCATCCAGTGTCCCGAACAGCTCATCAGCCTCAGCCCGTCGTTCAGCGTCCGACAGGGCTTTGTCGCCAGACATCACAATCGGATGGCTTCCGTGAGCTAGCGACCTAGTCGACGTGTTAGCTAGGACGGATGCACCGCGAGCGAAGTAGGGCACACGCAATGAGATTACTAGGCTATGATCAGCATGCGTCTCGCGTGTGACTGCAAGCCTTCGGAGTCCGAAGAGTATGCTTCTGCCCTGGCCATGCACGTGGGATCATGACAATCAGGCGTGAATGTGTCAAGAAGTTCGAAGATCTGCATGTGGTGCCGTATGTATTTACATTGTATTGAATAGCTTCCAAACTATCGTCAAGCCTGCGTAGGGATCTGTAGTACATGACCGGCTAATGGAATTGCCAGAGTGTGCGAACTAGGAATGGAAGTTATGGAACACATCATCAAGTGAGCGATGTTCCCCTCTGGGAGAGTCAACGATACTATACGGCAGGTTACTGCTAGAGTGGTAATACAACTACCCAAAATCCTGCATTTTTTCCGAATAAAGTTTGCATATGAATGTATGTTACTATATGATTAGTTCCGTTCAAAATTGCCGCTTAAATCTCGCTGGAAAACAAGCGACATTTAAGCGGCCAAAAGCAGCGAGCAGAATCTGAGCTCGCCTCCTCGAGCAGCGACATTTAAGCGACTGCTCGTCGCAAGCGCTCGCAGATTCTGGCTCACGGCCATGTCACGCTTGCATGATTCGCCAACCTGATTGGCTGCTCAGCCCTTCGCGAGCCGAGAACGTGATCAAATCACGGCTGCGTCACGCTTAGTCGTCTGTGACGCTTTCAGCGACCTTTCAGCGACCTTTAGCCACATTTGGGCGCTCAAAAAGCAGCGAAAAGTCGCTTGTTTTCCAGCGGGATTTAAGCGGCAATTTTGAACGTACCTATTGTTCTTCAAGATGAAAGTTGCCATATCTAGTAGTAGCGTCTCGCCACTTTGCTTTGAGCGGTCAGATCTCAGATCGGCATCATCAATGATCATGGGCGCCACATTTGCAAAGCCACCAACTCTTCATCTACCGCCACTTAGCTATATATACGTTATGAAACCATTTCTCCATCCACAACTCCCTCGTGCATCTGCATGAACTTAGGCTTCAGCTCTAGCGCCCAACCTACATCGACATCGGTGAACACATTGCCATGGCTCGTGACGATGGCACCAGCGCCGACCCCAAGGTCGATGAGGCTCGCAGTCTGCTTGACCAAGAGATTACGCAACTCAAGCAGTCTATACACCACCTCAGCGTCCGGCGCAACATTCTGGCACCAGTCTCACGCCTCCCAGTGGAAATGCTCACCGAGATCTTCCTTCAAAGTGCAGATGATGAAAGCGATCCAATAAGAAAGTGCGTTACACAGGACTCCCTTGCCCAAACTTGCAGGTACTGGCGCGGTGTGGCCCTTCAAACTGCGCAGCTATGGACTCGTATCGAAGTCAAGAACGAGGCGTGGGTTCAACGTCTACTGAATCTCTCTAAGAACCTTCCGGTCACCGCCTGTTTCGATGCTCGGTTTGGATTTACCCCGGATAACTACCAAGGTGGTCTGTTGCTGGCAGAACATCCCGGTCGTCTGCGTGGTATCAGAATCATAGTGGCTGCACCATACGAGACGATACTGTGTGATCTACTCAAACAGATCCCTGCGCCTGCACTGGAATCTATAGTATGGGAAGACACTCATCGCTCTGAATCTCAAGATCCCAACTCGATTGCATCCAACTTGTTCAAGGGCAACACGCCTTCACTCAAACGGATAGACCTCCATCATTGCGGCTGGCAATGGAACTGCATGCTCTTTCGCAACAGTGTCACGCGTCTGGTCCTTGACAGGAGTTTCACACCGTGCAATCCGTCACTGCTGCAGCTCGCGAGCGCACTAGTCCGGATGCCTATGCTTGAATATCTTGAGCTCGAGGACATTCAAGCTACTCCGCATCATTCAGCCTTCCCTAACCCCATCCCGGAACTGTGCCTATCCCGCCTCAAGTTTGTTCGCATCATTGCTTCCACAGCATCCTGTGTGAGTATCCTGTCAGTGCTCTCGGTCATCCACCCAGAAGCACAGATAGAACTCGATTGCACCCTCGAAGATGACTATGACACGACACACGTTTGGCGTCTCGGTTACGAGATACGTGGGCTATGTCGACGGAGCACGACTACCGATGAAGGAACGCAGTACCGCAGCTTGATGATGCTCGAGCAACCCGATCCTGATGAATTGTGTCTATATCTATACGCTTGGACAGCCTCTCTCGCGACGGAGGTCCTACCAGTCTCTCGCAGTCAATGTTCTCTTCAAATTTGTCTACGTCCAGGATATATGCCCTTCACGTACAAAGCGGCGCTCATAGAAGATATACTCAGCGGCGAGTTCCCCTTCGAGAATGTTGAGTCGCTTCATTTGGCTCCCCCTCTAACTGAACCCCGACTCGGCATGTATAATTGGGCTGCTATCATGCTGAACACCTGCCAGCGTCTCAAAGAACTATGGCTAGTGGGTGAACTTACCGGATGCGTGCTCGGAGCTCTCGCTGACTTATGTGAGCTCAACGGAACCGAAGACGGCGAGTTCGTCCTATGTCCTCTTCCTCTCCAAACATTGCAGCTGGTAACTCTCGAGGACGTCGATTTTGCGAGATCCGGCCAAGGTGAGGAGTCAGCAAGAGTCCAGCTGTTCCGCATGTTGGTCCAGCATCGGACTTGGGGGCAGGGAGATGTGCAAGTCCGCCTATGTTTGTGTCATAACGTCGACATCATTGGCCAAGAGATCCAAGTCTGGAGGAACATAACTGTATCGGACGAAATTAGTTGATTGACTAGCATTGAAAGGACGTTTGCGCTTTGTTGGTGGGAACATTCCACTGTATCTATGGTTATTCTATGTTTTGTTATGTTGCCATGTATGCAGGTTCTTGTATTGCTGTAATGTTTTCGGGAAAATTCTAGACCTGGAATACGAGAGAGATCGACGCGAGCTCCTGTGAGCGCAAGCTATGGCCTGGCATCAGTTTGACCGACCCCTATGCATTAACGCCCGTCACACCGAGGACGTTCTCTGCGCTCAGATCCAGTTGACGTGATGATTGATCCCACTCAATTAAGTAGTAAAGCTCATCGATAGATCTGCATGCTTATAGCTTGAGCTAGGGATGTGGTAAGGAGGCGACACTACTCATTATCCTCCCTGATCCTATATCCGAGTGACGAATTCGCAGCACCCGTGAGCAGAACTCACTTGCCGATGCAAAAATCACGGAATACAGCGTCAAGAATGTCCTCAACGTCAATCGTTCCCGAGACCTTGCCCACGGCCTGTGCAGCATACCGAAGTTCCTCTGCGGCGAACACAACATCTGCAGAAGCTAGACATGTACCTCGTTAAGCGGCGAGGCTCCTTTGGCTGTAAGGGTACACTTACAGTAGTCCAAGAAAGCACGGAGAAACTGGAGAGCATCCTCGAGGTGCGCACGGTGCCTGGCGTGTGTAATGAGGGGCTCTTCTCGATGCGCTTCATGTTCTTGCAGTAGGTCAAATCTATGTACATGATCAGTATGCGAGAGGCAGGCTTGAAATGTCACCGACCGCTGCTGGAGAGCTTGGGCAAAGTTGTCGAGGAAGGCATGCGTACATTCGCCTGTAGTCAAACTGACACTCCAAGCTTGCTCCGTGCCGATGCTTGTATGTAGATGATCGAGAGGAATATGCGTTAGGTCGACTGCGTCCATTTTATTCAGTAGTATAAACGTGTCCCGGCCAATGAGGGATGACACCGCGGGTGGTATTGTGACTTCAAATTGCTCAGCAGATCGTTGCTGGAGGATCTCGGGCAGCGACAGAACACAAAGCGAGACGTCTGCACCCTGAACCCTACAAACACCGCTCAGAATGAATGAATGCTGCCTTAAGGAGGCCCTGCTCACAGCTTCTCAGCGCGCTCGACGCCAATACTTTCAACGACATCCTCAGTCTGTCGTATACCGGCTGTATCAGCAATGAGCACGGGCAACCCGCCAATATCAAGCGACAATTCCAGAATATCTCGCGTTGTTCCTGGGATCGGGGTGACTATTGCAGCCTCCCGCTGAGCTATACAATGAAATAGTATCGCATGAACGACGCCGATAAACACAACGGATTGCTCTTACCAAGAAAGTTCAGTAAGCTGCTCTTGCCTGCATTGGGAGGTCCAAAAATCGCCAAGCGTATGCCCGATCGCAATATTTCCCCTCTCCGGCTATCTGCTAGATGCGCTTCAAGCGTGCGGCAAAGATCTTGCACCCGTAACCTAGCTGTAAGATAATAGCCTCAGAGATGAAGATATATACGTGTTTAACTGGGTGATATCTTACCTAGATCGTATGTGCCTTCTTCGATATCTTCTCCTTCCCCAAAATCAATGAGGGCTTCCACGAGTGCCAAGCACTGAATGATCTCTTTTCTGAGCTGCTCAAAACGGACTCTAGTGATGCCCTGAGGTCTGCGTCAGTTTCCGTTGTCAATTCGGAGGTTCTTAGATTGCTCACCCACCCCGGCTGCCTTCAGCGCAGCCCGTCGCTGGCTCTCGGTCTCTGCATTAATGAGGTCCTTCAATCCCTCGACTTGCGTTAGATCAAGGCGCCCGCCTTTGAAAGCACGCCGAGTAAACTCGCCGGGTTCGGCATGCCGAGCAAAAGGGAGATGGGACAACGCTGTTAGGACGGAGGATATAATAGCTCGGCCTGAATGAATATGCAACTCCACAACATCCTCCGTCGTGAAGGATCTCGGCGCTGCGGGGCACCTTTGCATTAGGTGCTGACCTTGACGCAAGCCGAGAGAGACCTACCCTTGAAATAGACCGCAAGACCATCATCCAGGGAGTCCCCCGAGGCAGGGTGAACGATCCCACACTTATACATCTTCCATGGTATAGGTTCTCTTGTTGAACGTTTGCCTTTGCTCGCACTCGAGCCATGACAGACCATAGCTCCCCATATATTCAGAGCATCTGGTCCCGATATCCTGATGACGGCCACGCCAGCTTTCCCCGGAGGAGTCGAGAGCGCATATATCGTGCTCCGCTGCGTATCCGACAACGGCAAATCGACACGCACTTCCGTCAATGTGTGTTGTTGTGCGTTAAATGCACTGCCATCCGTTCGCATGACGCTCGATGTTCCATATCGCCTATCACAATTGCTGAAAGCAACCGAAGAAGCGATGTGCTTGAGGCGGTGCACATTCGCGGCTTGTGATCTTCGGGGAAGCATAGGTGTTCGCAGTGCCTTGATTGCGTTCATAGGGAGCTTCGCCAGGCGGACTTGGATTCTGCAAGCATGGTTGCACTGTGACATATGAGACGACTGTCCTCGACGTCGACGGTGTGCTCGACGAGTCTGCTGTGATGCAAGCTCAGACGCCCAGTATGCAAAGACGTTTTCCCACGGCATCTACTTGCTTGTACTGGTCTTGTAGCGGCAGCATCGCACCGACTATCTCTCTCTCCTCCCTCGCGTGCGGCTGCTAGAAATTTGCCCTTGCCTTTAACTTCTGGTCCTGTCCTTCAATTCTTCATCCGCACAATATCTGAATCAAGATGGGCCAATCACGTTCGCACTGTCTTCTAGTTCTCGAAGCTCTGTCGTATTAACGAGCGGTGTGCCATGTTCCACACACAGCATCCCAATTTATGGAGGACATGCAAAAGCGGTCCAACTGTGCGCGCTGCCGATCTACTACCTTCTATCACCACTGTGACCATGTTTTTTCCCCTCAGTCAATGCGAGTGAGCTGGAACGACTGAAGAAAAGATTCATGAAACTCGACAGGTATTTTACATTGGATCGCATATATTTAGCACTATCCCTAAGGCATGACGCGTCGCAGCGATGGCTCTGGGTCGATAGATAGGGAGGAGTTCCTGCAAATACCGCAGATTGCGAACAACCCGCTCGCGTCACGACTGATCGCCATCTTCGACGAAGAGTCAGTCTACACTCCTTCTGTTTCGTGCTCCGCTACTGATGCCTGCACGATGACAGCGGTGGAGGGACTGTTGACTTCCAGGAGTTTGTCGGTGGGCTCAGCGCATTTAGCAGTCGAGGAGGGCGAGAAGAGAAGCTCAGATGTCCGTATACCCTCCCTTGCCACGCGCCGTATCTTCACCGTTCATCTCACGCTCCTCAGTCGCATTCAAGGTGTATGATATGGACCGAGATGGATATATCTCGAATGGAGAGCTGTTTCTTGTCCTCAAGATGATGGTGGGTAACAACCTCAAGGACGGACAGCTCCAGCAGATTGTCGATAAGACGATCATGGAGGCCGACAAGGATGGCGATGGGAAGTTGAGCTTCGAGGAGTTCGTACAAATGGTCTCAAATACGGTAGGCATGACCATTACTGTCGGAGGTTTTCTCACTGACGCATGCTGTAGGATATTGTCAAGCAAATGACTCTGGAGGACTTGTTCTGATTATGCTGTGCTGTCCTGTACGCTTTCCTGACGAACGCCATACCCTAGCTGTCTATCGCGCATACAAGCAATTGTCGCCCGCATCCCTCCGTTCACTCGCTCGTAGTGTTATCTCTCACGGATCGGTTGCTTCAACCGTAACTTGTACTTTTACTTGCATTCCTCTAGTCGCCTCCCTTGTGTTCCGTAAATTAATGGCAGTCGTGGGTAATCGGGCAGGTTGTGGATCCTCAGGTGGCGATAGCGACTGATGAAGCAGAGGGTTGTTCCTATGTGCCCCACTAAAGTCCGCACTTCAGCTGACATTCACCCCCCATCGAGTTCAAAGCAATGCTCATATTAAGCTGTCAGCTCATGCAACAATGAGACGATTACAAGGAGCGTCACACACGTCCACCTTCTATTGCAATGTCCTGAAATAGACGGATTACATGAGAGAAAGATCGCCAAACTTCTCCTTGTAACCTTTACAAACGCATTAGCACAAGGGCATTGAAAGCCAATAATAGAGATTATACCTGGCACTGTCCACTTGCCCTTCTTGATCATGTTCTCGACGGCCTCGACAATGCGCGGGTGGGCGTTGCCAACCTCCTCCGCCTAATTGGCGCAAGCGGATGGGATGAGTTTGAGGATAGGAGCAAGTACAGGAGGAACGTACAGTGAGGTCCTCGAATGGACGAGCATCCTCAATATTGGCGAGGGTCGCCTGGAGGTCCTTCAACTCGATGTCAATCTTCTCCGTTGTCTCCTTTGCCTTGACCACCTATTCTCCATGTTCCAGTGACCACGTAATGTCCCGTGTTCGCGGAGGACACAAGGGGTAGCAATTCAGAAATTTCGTGAGCGACAATAAGATAAATGCGAAATTCCACATACCGCCTTCGCCTCAAATGTCTCGATCGCCTTAATCTGGGCGTTCACGTCGTACGTGACGGGCTTGAAGTCCCGGAGGATCTTCTCCGCCTCGTCTACGACTGCCTTGTTCTTGAGCACAGAGCGGTAATGTGCGAGGTCGACCGTCGTCGGCTGGGAGGCATATTGCGTCTGAATGCGCTGGGCATCCCCGTGTCGCTTGCGGAAGGCTTGGAGAGCCGCGACGGTCTCTGTTAACATGCATAACGTCGCTCACATCAAGTAGTCAAGACATGTCGGTTAGGCGCAGACGCACCCTTGGAGAGCCCGAGCGAAGAGTAGATACGGGTGAAGTCCTGTGCGACATGTTACACACGTCCCAGAGGTACGCTTGCGCTGGGATGCTCACCACCGCGGCTGCCGCTGCTTTTGAAGCCATTATGAGCTACAACCCGCTAGTATCAGCTTAGACAATCGTGAGTCGCGAGTAGTGAAGCCGTCCTCACAAGAAAATAGTCAGGTTGTGGACGTCGTCACAGATGCAAGTTGCTCGTTCGGACGGTACCGGAAATGGCCGAACACACTCTTAGCGAATCAGATCGCGCGCTCATTCTGTCTACCACTTCTCTTCGCTCAATATTGCCAACGCTCAGAATCCACATCTCAGCGATGTTGAAATCATGAATATACAACGACCCTTGCGAAGTACATTCCTTAACGAAATAACTATGTATACAATCAGGCATCTTAGGGACAGCGAACTGATAGACTACTCAGCCACCAGGAATTGCTGTGCGGCGCATGTACTGGTGTATGTATTGTCCGTCTCTGTGCTCGGCACATTATGCAATGGCCCTCATGCACACTATAATCCGAGGCTTAGACTATTCAAAAAAGATTTGGTCATGGTATGCTGCCAGACTTGACCGAAATCCGAGGGAGTCCGCCTTACCGAGGGAGTGGCCTATACGCCGCCCATCCCGTGTAAGCGTATCATGAACATATAAATATATTTTCTGACATAGCACGAGAGGTAAGTGCAAGGTCCATTTTCAACATACGGGTGCCGAGACAGTCATACCCAGAGGATCGTAGCCGGATGAGACCGGGGTACATCCACGAGCATGTAGCTCCGCCGCGGTTAGTCCGCAGAGGGCCTTTAGGCTTTGGCAGCACCTGCTTTGCCGTCGGGGAAGACCAGACCACAATCGAGAATGAGCAACGGCGAAGAATCCGGACGGTGTCTGGAAGAGTACTGCAGACCGCTGCCAAGGACGAGGCACAGAGGAACGATCGGCCGCCTTCCGGATCTAGGCACGTGACGTTGTTAGTATGTCATATGAGATGGGATCGTTGAGTCCCATTCGGCGCGTACTTAACAAGTCCTGTCGGCTTATCCCCTCCCATCTCACTCTCATCCCCCACTTACTCGTCCCTCCTCTACGCGTTCATGTCGACGAAGACGGCGGCTGTGAATGGCGCGTCGACAGATGCTGCGCGCAAGATCTTCGACGACATCGAGGCTCAGTTCCAACTCGGCCAGGATGCTCTCATCAAAATCACAGAGCAATTTCTCGAGGACTTCCGCCTCGGCTTGTCAGAATACAATCAACCGATGGCAATGATGTATGCTCCTGCTTACTGGAGAAAAACGTGCTTGTAGCTCACGCGCATCATAAGCCCTACATTCGTTACTGGTGTCCCAGACGGTTCAGAGACTGGGTGAGTTACATTCCTGGCTGCTGGACAGACGCGATTTTTCGCATGCATGCATTGCACAGTGGGGAATTGTGCGCTGTAGCCACTGAAATGTGCTGGCAGCGCTGGACTCTCAAAGAGTTTCACTCCGGTCTATGTCCGGTATCGGCGCTGCTCGATATGGCAACCCGGTCGTCTGCAGATCTTCATTCGCTCATCCTCGTCAGTCTGCTTATAATGATTGTGGAAGATCTTCCCATACGGGGAATCTTCAGGTAGACGGTTCCACATGATGTCCGCGCATCACCGCAAAAGTCCTGGTTTGCTAGTTCACAAGCGGTCGACGGCGGTATCCCTATCGTGTGCCTATACTTCCCATACGTTATTATTACCCTCAATGCGTGCTTGGTCTCACGGTTGCACTTGAGCAACCGTGATATGTTTCTGAGTCCCCTTCGGTTGCATGGTTCTGATCGACACTTTGCAGCACGTTCCTAGCGCTCGACCTGGGAGGAACCAACCTGTAAATCCCATCAACGCCCTTTGTGTACAGATACCTGAAGTATTCCTTCACAGACGAGTTTGTGAAGTGACGTTGTTGGGGAACCACGAATTCCGTCTTAAACAGCAGAAGTACAAGGTCTCAGAGACGCTCAAGACGGGTGAAGCCAGTGCACTATTCGGTAAGCCCCAGCTCTCATTATCCGAGAGCCTTTCTGATGTCCTATTCTGTTGCTAGACTACCTGGCAGATTCAGTTGACGCTTTCCTCACCGAGTTCTCCAGCGCCGTTGGTTCGCCCACAGTGACTGATATAGACAACCCTTTTGAACCAACGCCACCGGCTGTCCCACTGGGATTGACCTTCAGCTTCCCTGTTGAGCAGACAGCTCTCAACCAGGGGAAGATCCTCACGTGGACGAAGGGGTTCTCAGCCAAGAATGCGATCGGCAATGACGTCGTCCAACTGCTGCAAGATGCTTTTGACAGGAAGCACTTACATGTCCGCTGTGTTGCACTAGTGAATGATGTTAGTACTGGAAGCGCTATTCTGTCTTGTATGAGTACTTAACGCATATCATAACAGACTGTCGGCACACTGTTGTCACGGGCATACACAGCTGGATCGTGCATTCTCGGTATGTTTGCTACTCCCTGTTTGTCTACTGATTGCCTCTAATCAACTGTGTTTGTCACTCAGGTGCTATTTTCGGAACCGGTACAAATGGCGCATATGTAGAGCGTGTCGAGAACATCACAAAACTCGGCGATTCACCCGCGCGCGCACAAGGCGGGTTGATGATTGTGAACACCGAATGGGGCGCGTTCAACAACACCGTGCGTACATAATTGTTCTCCTCCACTACATCCGCTAACGCACGCCTCATAGCGCACCACGTTGCCGACAACTCCGTATGACAACAAGCTCGACCGTGAATCTATCAACCCGCGCAAACAAGCATTCGAGAAGTTCATCTCGGGCATGTACTTGGGCGAGATTACTCGCAATATCCTACTGTCCCTAATCGACGCCGCCCCTCGATCGCTACTTTTCAACGGCAGATCCAGCACGCCTCTGAACACACATTACGGACTTGACACAGCCGTTGTGAGCGAAATTGAAGAGGCATGGGAGTCCGGGCGTACCGACCGGATCGCCAAAGTGAACGGAACGGTGCCACAGTGGCAATCCGCACATTTCACCGAAGTCAATGCGCTGCCACCGCAAGACGTCGACCGCTTGGAGCGTATCCGCGGCATCCTAATTCAGAGACTCGAGCTTCCCGCAGAGGACGTGTCACTGTGCGATGCGGCGACCGTGCGCTGGGCTGCATCGCTCGTCGCGAACCGCGCGGCCCGGCTGAGCGGGACTGCTATTGCGGCGGTGCTCGTACAGACAGGCAATGCAACGCTTGGCGGCGGTACTTCGGAACCGAGCGAGAACATTATCGTCGGTGTGGATGGCAGGTAAAAGATTCGCCTAGCTGTATAACTGCTGAATTGCTGACAATGCATCCCGTATCTCAGCTTGATCCAACATTACCCGAATTTTCAGACGCGGCTCCGTGCTTCCCTGCAGTCTTTGGTGGGCGAGGCAGTGGAGAAGCGCGTCGAGATCGACCTAGCCAAAGATGGGAGTGGCGCAGGGGGTAAGGAAACGTTAACCTATGTTGCATTAAAAGTCTAACGCGCTCGACCCACTAGCTGCTTTGTGCGCGCTGCAAGCAATCAAGCAAGGTCTCTGAATCCCGTCGACATTAGCAAGAATGTGAACACCTACTATATCATAGGCGCCCGGAGCACTAGTTTTTCTATCATCATTGCAACTTTACGCGCTGGGACTTTTTATTCGTAACATTGTGGTCGACCCTTTACCATTAGCTCCGAAGTAGCGTCTGTATGCCTGGCGGTCGGTGTAGAGAGACAGAACCTGTATCGTAGGCCTTGTTAAATCAACATAGCTATAGACATCGTAGACGTTGAGTCAGAAATTGGCGAACAATCACGCCGACGAGTTATCACACTCAGTAGACGACTATCGCATTGGCCTCGAGTCGGTAGTTACACCGAGTCGATCATGATCGAGATGGAGTGCTAATAAAGAGCGCCCGAGACCATGTAACTTACTTAGGTTCCACGTTGTGTGAGCTTTCCCATAGACAACTCAAATCTCAGTGTTATATACTGAGCTTCTTGTCAGTACATCGTACGGAATTGTGACTGAAACAAAGTATCTTCACTCGAACTAGGCGCAATGGCCATCGACGGTCTGATCATTCTCGACTCGGCAGGGTACGTCATTCATGTTATGCAGATTCAAGGGGTCCTCATGCGGTCCCTTAGACGTCCAATCATCCAGTCCGGATTCCATTCTGTACCACCCGCCTATCCAATCCTGCACATAGACGCGTTGAACAACGCATTGTCGGCGGCCTCTCGCCCAGACGATGTCGACCCGGTCCTGTCTGTTCCTAGCTTGACCATCGATGCGCCGAGCGCATGTTGTCACGCTAAGGTAGCAGACATGCGGCTACTGTGCCCTATAAGCGGAGATGGTAGGTTGCACCAATACGCGGCGGTTTATATCTCTTACAAGCATGCAGTCGACCCGCTGTACGCATTTGCGTTCATGCAAACATTTGTCGACATCCTGCGCGACTATTTCGGTCAATTATCTGCAGAGACACTCAAAGAGAACTTCGACGTAGTCTACCAAGTACGCTGCCTCGAAAATGGGTCAAGAGTCTCACATTCATTCCATCCCCGCGTTAGCTGCTCGAAGAAACTCTTGACTCAGGAGGTCACCCTCTAACTACATCCCCAAATGCGCTCCGCGATATCGTCCTTCCACCATCTCTCCTCAACAAGGTGCTCTCTGTGGCAGGTGTCTCTGGCCTTGCTACCCCACTGTCGAATTCCCAGCCCTTTGCATCGCCCATACCGTGGAGAAAGGCAGGAGTGAGATATAACAACAACGAGATATACTTCGATGTCGCAGAGACTTTAGAAGCAATCATCAACAAGTACGTACAATTGAATGAATGTCGGCCCCCTTCTTGATCACACACCGTATTTTCACAGGAATGGGACACCTGCAGCTAGTAATGTTTGGGGACGGATAGAGTCAAATTGCAAACTTTCAGGTGGGCCGTTGTTATAATCCATGGTTCTGTCCTCATCGCGGCTGTAGGCACGCCGGACCTTCTGCTGACATTCTCAAACTTCCAATCTCTCACTGACTGCTCCTTCCACCCTTGCATCCGGTATGTTGTTCAGTATTGTGTGCACTTCGTCTTGATGACCAAGCGCATGTACAGGCTGCAGCGCTGGGCGCGAGACAAGACGCTGTCCTTTGTCCCCCCAGATGGACACTTCAAGCTCATGGAGTATCGGTATGCACCAGCCTCTGCGTCTACAATGCACCAAGTAGCCGTGCCGTTCTCCCTTCGGAGCAGCATCCAGTTACAAGAACATGGCGGTACGTCCCCTCTTGATAATGGGTTGCTCCTCAATTCACCTAGGCGCAAGGCTCTTTTGACGTAACCTTGTCTTCGCGCCTGACAACACGCGCGATGGACAGCGTAACCATTGAGTTGTTCCTCGGCGAAGGCGCTTCGGGAGCCAGCTGCATTTCGTCGCACAACGCGTCGTGGAGCTTTGACCTGAGAACACTGGTGCGCTGTACTTCTACGCTTATACTAAATGCGAAATTGACAGTACTCACTTCAAACGTATAGACTTTGAAGTGGGAACTCAAGAACGTGCAGCCTTCGGGGAATTACACTCTGCGGGGCACGTTCACGTCCACGTATGTTGCGATCTCCCACTTGATTACCGACGCTCTCGACTAACTACCTTCGTCACGGTCAGCACCCAGATTCCTCGTCCGTCAAGGGCGTTCCGCGTGCGCTTTGACATTATGCAGCATACATTCTCCGCTTTGAAGATCGACCAGTTGAAATTGGCGGGCGAGATGTACAAGCCTTACAAGGGCATGAGGGGCCGATCTGCCGGCGACATTGAGTGGCGATGGTAGTTATGGCCTGTCAGGTTGTAGAGTGTTGCATAGGTCCAGTTTGCAAGAGAGGGGACTGGATTGTCTAGGTCATTATGGTGGACAGCGTGACTAGCCGTGCGCAGTTGTACTTTTACGATGTGGACAACAGGACGTGCGCAGAACCTAAACGGACATGCGCTAGCAAGAGACCTCCTCACTCAAACCTGCGCGCACTCCAGTGGTTGTACGCCTTCTCGGCGCGCTCCCAGTCCAGCACTGACCAGAATCGCTGCATGTACTCCTCCTTGCCCCACACTCCATACCCCGCACTCATCCATGCGTGCTCGTGAACCGATACGCAGAACAGGGGAAATAGTGTGTCGCCGACGTGATCCTTCTGCTCATCCTCTATGCGACCTTCTGAGAAAATGTTGTTAATGTCATCCTTGTTGGGCACGAAGCCGCTGAGGTCATCTCGCGAAGAAGCCGTCGTCGAGAAGCTCCGTGACTGTGCCGGCGGCTGCAGCGGTTGCGCGGGGTGCGAGGCACCAGAGGACGGTGAGGCAGGAGCGGCGGGGCTCTTGAGAGGTTCTTGCTCTTGTGCGCGCTTGACAATGATCTCGCCAAGGACCTTGCTCCATTCGGTCTGGAACGCGCTCTCACCGGAGCGCACAAGGAGCGTGCCAGGCCCAAAGGTTGGGTACACGGCGATTTTACCGAACTCGTCACAGACACACCACACCCAGCCAGAAGAGAACATGGCGAGCGCCGCGGCGCTGAACGTCGATTTGAATTGCTCGAGGCTGCCGTACTGCTCTCGGATCCGGGTGAACATGGTGGACGTGCTAAGGGCTGCTTGGTTCGAGCTGCTACCAGTTTTTGGTGGTCTCTGGAAAGGTCACACAACATCATGAGCCAGCGTGACCTCAACAAACGGAAACAGGGTACGACATACGAGACAGTCCAGGAAGAACGAATTATTTAGAGCTTCGCTGGCGTAGTTCCATGCCAGCACCTGGCTGGGATCACGGGCCGCTTCCACCACAGTTTGCGTGACGCTCTTGCCTTCCAGCGCAGTATCTGGCGCATTGCTATGTTTGCGTGCTTCACCCGAGTCGCCGTGTCATCACTCACCTCTGACCTGCTCGTTCAGTCTCTCCAACAGCCCCTCCTGGTAGTCCTCAGCAATTGTCTTCAATGCCCGAGGAGGCAGGAAATCACCCAGACCCTCCTCAATTGAATATGCAAGCGGCCTCCGTTCATGCAGACTCCGCGTTCGCATCCATGGGCCATGTGTCCATGCGGGGGTGCGCCGTGCCGCTCGAGAGCTGCTTGCGGCCAGCCGAATAGCAAACGTTGCCATCTGTGCTATGCAGGAGTGCGAGGAGGACAAGCAGGAGGAGAGCAGACGAGCCGGCCTGATGTGCGCTACGCTGTACGCCGTCACAGAGTAGACGCGAAACTTTTGGACGCGCGGGACGCGTGACTGCTGTATTTGGCAAGAGCACCTTGACTGCCATCCACGTCGGCGACTGCGCTCACTCGTTGCAATGGCCGGTCCTAAGTCTACTACATCCTCTGCGTCGTCCAATGCTGTCCGTTCCTTACTCAGGGCTTACAACGAAAACACATCGAGCCGCCTGAAATTCATCGACGCATTCCTGCTATTCCTGATGCTGTCTGGCATCATTCAGTTCGTGTACTGCATCCTTGTTACTAATTTCCCCTTCAATGCATTCCTCGCTGGGTACGCTGCATACATGTTGCCGCAACATCATCGCTCACCAGACGGGTATAGCTTTGGCAGCTGTGTCGGGCAGTTTGTGCTTACTGCGTCCCTGCGCTCACAAGTCAACCCGGTGAACAGAGCAGAATTCAAGGATGTATCCCCAGAACGGTATGCTTCCCGATTCGGTCCTATTTCGCTTGTGTGCTAAACCGCGTTCCGTAACAACAGTGCCTTTGCTGACTTTGCTCTTGGTTCGATCGTACTACATTTCTTTGTGTATAATTTCCTCGGATGAATGTTGCAGCGAGAGTGTCCCTTTATTCGTGAAAGACTACCTAGGAAGCTGTACTGGTACAGAGGATGGCCAGACCCCACTGAGTATCCTCGGGGCAACGTACTGTTACAATGGATAGATCCAGGCTTGTAAGGAACTATAACGCGAGCCTCAAGACAGAATGTTATAGGATGGCGACCCAAATCAATCACGTCTTCTCTCGAACGAGGACGACCTCTATGAGCAAGTTAATAAGTCGGTCCACAGATGCCTTGGGTAGCGTAGTATACATACGCCAAATATCACCACTGCGAAGTCGAAAACATACTCTCCTATAGACAATGAACATGTCAGACAACAAGCATGACAGACCATTGACATCCATACCAAACTCCAAGTAAGACCGCAGCAGCTCTGGACTCGACATGAAGCGATGCATGGCTGGGTTTGACGAAATGCACACTCACGACGAACATCCTTATTTGGCACGTCTGATAACTTCGGCCTGCAATGCGCATCAAAGGCTGAGCTGAGTACTAGGCATATATGTAAGACGTACGTTAGGCCGGTCGTCCGCCTGACCCCCGCCAAGAAAGCGCTCAGGAGCATAGCATCGAAACCGAGGTGAACTAGCGTTCCAAACATGTTGAGCAAGGAGTACTAGAAGCGGATGTATATCAGATTGAGGAGACTCTGGCTTGGAAGCTGTAGGTCAAGAGCCAATGGCAGGACTGGTGCGCGACCAGGGAGAACTCATAAGCCACGTGGCTTTGTTAGGATCCAAGGCTGTTGCCAAACAACCTCCTCACGGTGGCGTCGAGTGCTGCACCCCTCTTGTCCGATCTAACCGTGCAGTATTGTAACGATTGGCTTGTTCTCACCTTCAACTCGAGTAATTTTTCTCTCAGAATGTCTAACAAATTGTCATCCACTTCGACATCTCATCGTACTCGAGGTACGAAGAACGGACCCGAGCGCGTCTGGACAGACGTCATCTTGGCGATTAAGCCCATGTACTCTGCGCTCATACAGACGCGCGAGAAGAATCATGAATTTAGGGAATACAAACTGCGTCCTGACGTAATGCGACTGTGGCTCTACGAGTCGGCACCTACGTGTGCCATAACGTACGCCTTCCCTTCTCGTCATCAACGCTACTTACAGCCCAGAACTTACACAATTTGCAGGCACGTGGTCGAGACAATCTCACCCAAGACGCCAGGAGATATTCGCGACTCCAGCGGCACTGGAAATGATGCATTTGACGCCGGGGAGGGATCACGCTATGCATATCCTATACGCGCGTTATACAGACTGAACGAGCCACTCAAGAGGCAGCAGCTTCAAAATGCATATGGCATGAAGTCACCGCGGGGTTTTTGCTACGCAAGCCGCCAAATGACAGAGAATTTGCCTCTGGCACAAATGGAACGTGTATACTAAGTACGCCCGTATACATCTAAAACATGCCTGTTGCTTATGACCCCTACTTTGTCTTGCCAGTTACACACAGCGATGTTGGTGCTTGACTAAGGCTTTGTATTCGACGCGTAACAAAGCCATCACATCGCCTCCAGCCTTGGAGACCGAGCTCGCCCGAAGACTCAGATCATTGACACAGAAAACTCTAGATGTGTATTGTGCGTACATCAAGCATCAGGAGCACTAGTCCTTGTGATTTGTGCTGTTCTACTATGTGCTGGTATCAGTGACGACTGGATCCTGGATGCGTCGTATACTGGCAGTTGCAGGGATGTGTAAATGGCAACTGAAACATGATGCAAACCCGCGTATCCTGCCCCTGAAACTAGTCGACTCATGAATTTGCTGCAGGTACAAACCGAGCTACGTGGACGCAGGGCGGGCATGATCAAACCCTGACCACCGAGCGCTCTGACCGTGCTGCGGGAACAAATCGGTGCGAGAAGGGTTGCGTTCCATGCGTCGAATTACTCTGGGTGTAGACATGTGGGGTAGCTGTCTTGCAAGACATGCTTCGAAGAGGGTAGAGAATAATTATGGCTGGGGGATATGTAAATACAGATATGGGAGGCAGGTGATCCCGACGCGCTGCAAGAACGCGTGATATGAGATCGGAAGTTGCCGACCCGACCTATTTGTTGTGTTCAGTTCGTTTTGCTGGCCCTCCTCAGGCCGCCATCTGCTCGCCATCTCGTCCCCCCCCGGTCTGTCCACTAGGCGTCCTCGCCATTCGGTCCCTGTCTTTCGTTTTGTCTCACGTTCTTTCAAGAACAGCCATTCCTTTACGAGCCCACCGACTCAACACACACCACCAACAATGGACCATTCCGCAGTCGCCCGCCTCCCCGAGGACGGCCTTAATGCAGATAAGATGAGAGTAAGTCTACACACCTCCCGGCTTGTCTGACAGTTTGTTCAACGGCAACCCGTGCAGTTGGAGTCTTTCAGATTGGGCAGAGCCCCCCCTGCATCCACGAATAACCTCAGCGGCCCGAAGTCTGGCCACGCGCGTTCCCACTCCCGTAACGGTTCTGTTTCTGTCTCCCTCAGCCTTCCCACCGCTCTCTCAGACTTTTCGACGTCGAATATCGACGAGCCACCGTCCCTGCCCGAACGGCACTCGCTGGGCGCATCCAAGCGCAACTCGCATCACCGTCGCCGTTCGTCCGTCTCGACCCGCCGCGAATCTGCAGACATGATGGGCGTCACTTTGCCAAGCATCTCGCCATCCTCGTCTGGCGACAATATCAACCTGGGCGACAAGGACTCTGTTCGTCGTCGCGCGCTGTGGGCCCTGGAAGGCAAGACCGACATGGGGTCGTTCTCGAAAGTCGAGATCCCCGAGTTTGATAACACAGACAGCGCGAGGCGGTCGTTTGAGCTCCGTGAGTGAATTCAAGTAGATTCGTTATGTGCCTCGCTTAGCTATGTATAGCGAGCAAGCCGTCGTATCCGCCTGGTCTCGGCGCGGGTCTTTCGTCTGTTATCGGCAGCAAGAGAGATTCCCTGGGCAAGTTCATGCCATCGGTCTCGTCAAAGGAACAATTGGACACGCTCATCGAAGAAGAGGAGGAAGAGGAGGAAGAGGCCACTCCTCTCGTGCAAAGCCCTGTTGAGGATTCGGCAGCGCTGCCGCCGCCGACCGCGCCTGCACGACGCCGGCCGGCCAGCCTCAACCTGCGTCCTCTGTCTCTTGCGTCAGGCAGCGTTATCGATACAATGAATGGCGAGTTGCTGACTCCTATTCTGACTCCGAGCCCGAACCCGCGGCCAGGTCTGCGCTCGCTCACGCTTCCCTCGGGCGTCACCAACAAGCGCCAATCGCTGATTCTGTCGCAGTCCCCGTCTCCTTTGTCAAATGGTTTTGCTCGCAGGCCTTCGTTGAACCTGAACGTGAGCCCCGAGCCTACGTCGCAGCAGTCCTTTCCGCAGCCGTCCAAGCGAAGCAGCATTTCCTACGTATCTTCGGCGGATACCCCTCCGTCGTCCGTGATTGGGCTGCCTACACCGGAGATGACGCCGACCACTGAGGGCCGCGAGGCTGTCCTGAGCACCATTAGGAACGAGGAGATGGAGCAGTTTCTTGTCAAGGGCCCGTCGCGTCCACTATCAACCAGCGAGCAGCACTTTCTTTTTCAGGCACATGCCACGCTGGTGCAGCGTATCACCGATCTTGAGCGTGCGCTCGCGTCTCGTTCCAGCCGTTCCTGGTCCCGCCCCGCCTCGTGTGCATCGGACGTCTCTTCGGCTGTCTCCGCCCTGAGTGAGCCGAGCGACGAGATGCTGCTGCTGATTGCAGACCTGAAGGCAGAGCGCGACGAGCTCAAGAGAGATGTGGATGGCTGGCGTGTGCGTGTGGGCGATCTCGAGCGCCAGGTGAGCGTATTTGCCAAGCGCGTCGAGGTCGAGCGCCGGGACGCCTGGGTTGCGCGCGAGCGTGTCGGGCTACTGGAGGTCGAGAAGACTACGCTGGAGCAGGTGCTGCGCGATAAGGCGGCGGAGATGCAGGAGTGCCAAGTGCAGGCTGAGCAGGCCAAGGCCAGAGTCCAGAAGGCTGAGGCTGAGTGCGAGAAGCTGAAGGAGCAGGTGCAGAAGTCACGCAGTGCGGAAGAGGAGTGCGTACAGTTGAAGGCGGCACTTGAAGAGGAGCGCAAGAAGCGGGAGCAGCTGGAGAAAGATCTCGAGCATGCCGGGCTCATGGACACCCCTCGCGCGTATGAGCACACCTTCACGCATACGTTCAAAGGCATCTCGCGCACGATGATGTTTGCGAAGAAGCGCGGCCTCGGATTCCAGTCGATGGACTCAGAGAGTTCGTTTACGGACGTTGAGTCGGTCGACACGCCCAACGAGAAGCTTGAGTTCGGACTGAACGCCGTTGCAGAGGAAGACGAGGAGACGTTGTCCAATTACTCCGAGCAGGACGAGCTCGCGCGATTCGAGGAGGAGGAAGAGGGCGATGCGGATGTGTTCCCACCTTCGATGTCTGCATCGTCCTTTGGTTCCGAGAGTGACCCCCACTCGCCGCCCGTGCTGCACATCGAGATCGCCGAGCAGGCCCCGGAACTGACGCGCTCTACCACGTCGTCGCCGTCTCCCCTACCGTCTCCGGTCGAGCAGACCCACCAGCGCCGGGTCTCGCTCTCGAAGACATGGACGTTCCCATCTGGCTCTGGGCTTATTCCTATTGTGAGCCAGAAGGAGGAAATCGACCACTTCTTTGGCTGCCTTGAGGATGTCGACAACTCCCCTCCCCTGCATGCACGCGTGCACTCTTTGGACAGCGCCAAGAATCTGTTTGCGCAGGCATTCGCTGATGATGATGACGACGACCTTCCGCCTTTCGTCCTACCAGCTGATGTCGGCGTCGAGGTTCCTCCCGAGATCAAGGAAGTGCCGAAGCATGTGCTGGATGTCGTCGTCGAGGAGGATGAAGAAGAAGAGGAAGAAGACCAGAAGACCATCGACCCCGACGACGAGTTTGAGGGCGAAGTCTACGAAGGCGGTATCAAGTTCACGTTCACTGTGCCGCCCGAGTACCAGCAGAACCTTGAGGCTACTGTTCCATCCACGCCGGTAGCCCAAAAGTCACCTCCTGTGATCGACCCATTCGAGGAGGAAGACAGTTCGTTCACCTTCCCTCAGGCCCGTTCTCGTCAAGGTAGTGTTTCTCCGTCCTCTATTCCGCGTTTGGCGTCCGCAAAGAGCTCTTCAATTCCTGTGTCTAGCGGGACGCCGGTCAAGTCGGTACTCACGAACCGCAGCGATAATATACCCTCGGCGTTCATGACACCTCCTAATAAACGTGGGGGTGCGACTAGCAAGTTCATCCCGCAGCCGTGGACTCAGACGGGTTCCCCACTCAAGTCTCCCACTCGTCCGAACGCAAAGGCTGCGTCGTTCATCCCGCAGCCCCGTCGTGTCTCTTCCCCTGCGAGGCCCTCTGCCATCCCTGTCATGAGCCCGCCAAGTAGGCCCCTCTCCAAACCTCTCCCCGCATTGTGTTTCTGATGGGAAACTTCTCATGCGTCTGCTAGCCACCGCATCGAGCTCTTCCTCCAGATCCACTCGCACCGTCACGTCCAGACCGCCCTCTGCATCCCCTCGGATGGAGAGCCACACTCTTCCAGAACCTGCCACGCCATCTCCACCCGAAGCTTCTGTCCAATCTTCGTCTACGTTTATGTCCATGTCACCCACGATTGCTGCACGATTGTCATTCCAGACCCTGACGAACTTCATTCCTCTCCCTTCTCTCCCTTGGTCTCCCCGCACCGCTAGGACTGCTGCAGCCGCAGCCGCAATGTGCTTTGTGCCCGAGAGCCACAGCAACTCCAACTCAATAGGTGATGTGCGGGAGCATGCTCGGAGTGATTCAGCTTTCGTAAATCCGAGCAGTGATGCCACTCCTCCTTCGCCCAAAGAGAGGACTTATGTACCAAGGGAGAAACAACTTGAGAAATTGAGGCTCCGGATGGAATCGGAACGTCGCTTGCAAAGTCGAGGTGCTTCCAGTGCCGGTCAGGCAAACACAAGGGATGGGGTGTCGCGCATTTGAGGTGTGTCTATTGAATAACACATGCTATAAGATGCAATAACTAACGGGTTCGTAGCATCTCGCCTGACCAACTGGTGCTTACCTACGACTCCATCATTGTCTTCTGTGCTATGAAATTCTATCGCATCTTGTCGTGGCTATCCGTTGTCCTCACATTTCGCACCCCCTCCCTCCCCTGTTCAAATATGTCTTATATTCCCCGTCAGTATCATTCCCGACTGTGCCATCGACTGCCTTCGTATCTATTGAGCTTGAGGCTCCTTTGGCCATGAACACTTAACACGGACAGCATTGTATGTTCTGCGACGCGTCGCAGTCTGTACCATTACATTCAATGTTTTCCGCGCAGGCTCCGCTCTGAATTAGTTATGCCTTGGATATGAATGACCATGCAAATTTCATGTTTTATCGTTGATTGTATTCATTTATGCTAACGTTTGGAAGTTCAATTGTGAAACAACGAAACAGCAGACAATACAGAACAGTTCAAAGCAGTGGTTCTGAAGTGCAAAATGACAGGAAAAATCTGATACAACAGGTCCAAGCAAGGTTCAGATATCACAACAAATGGAATAGCAGATCTATTTCGGAGCGTCATCTATATGCAAGGGTGCGGGGCAAAGATAGATCAAGACAAATTCTCCATCTCATTACTTGAACACTCGGGGCGCTGCACGACGTCGAGGAACCGTGCCCATTCGCCCAGACCGAAGCCGACGGAGGCGCCCCACATGGAACTCTCGTCAGCAGGGTGCATAGCTACACCGTTCCCTTCGACGCTTTGGGCATGGTGCGAAAGCGGCCGCTGCATCACGGATGATTGTCGCATTCCATATGATGCCGTGGTGGACGGGAAATGAGACAGTGGAGGCAACGTATTACCGAGACGTTGGCCTCGAATCGCCTGCAGTGATGCTTCAGAATGAGGACTATCGGTAGAGACCCGCGAATGCATGGATCTTGAGTGCTGAGAGCTTGAATCCGTCCCCTCGGTAGATTGGTGGTGCATCTGAGCGTGATGAAACGCGTGTGACGGCAGTAGAGTGCGCATGGTTGGTGATACTATAGAGTGCCCAGGATGAGGTGCCCAGGATATAGTGCTCGACCCCCCAGATTCCGTATCGTTAGACTGAGGGATCATCGGGACCGCATCTGGGGTGAATGGTCTATAACTAGGAGAAGCAGCATTACGGGCGTAAGGGGGGTCTTGGTAGGGAAAAGCAAGCGCCTTTACAGCCTTGAGCACCTGCACCTTCTTCCGCGAGCGTTCCTCCGCAGATAATGCAACCCACTCGTCGGAGTACAGAGGTTCCAATGTCTCCAGAATCGTGAGCGCCTTCTCCGCGACCGGGAGGGCTCTGTTACGGTCGAGCAAATAAACGGCCTTCCGGATCTGCTCGCGATAGTGACCTGTGCCCGGGTGGTTTGGGTTCGTAATAAGTTGGAAAGAAAAAAACATGGATGCTGAGAAGACGTGGAAGGCTCCCCAGTTGAAGTGACCAGGTATTTTTTCTGCAGTGAACGCCTGTGAGAATAGAGTGATGAGCTCCGAGGCGGCACTGACAGCCGTCTCCAGGCTGGGGGCGATCTTCACGTAAGGTCTGTGCAGCATGAAACGGATATGATAGAAAGCACAGGACAGGATCACGCTCTGCACCGCGATTCGTCGCAGACCGATCTCCGTACTCGCCAAGCAACGGGCAAGCGTACAGTGATCGAGGTGCAGCTCAGTGGGCAGCGAGTTGTACCAGTTTTCGAGAAGCATGTCCTTCTCTTGTATTGTGGAATAAGATACGACGCGGAAGGAGACCGCGTCGTCCATGATGTCGCCCAGGATATATCCAAGGCGAAATAACGCTAGGTTGGGGAGGTAGAGCCGTCCAGACTTGTCAAGCGCTGGATCACAGTATGTAGGCAACTGTGTATCGAAATGGTGTGGTGCGATATGCAGCGGACGGCCGAACATGAACGCCTGCCAGCGCTCGAATGTCATAATATGCCACCATGCCCAGCGCCGCCGCTCTGCAACGCTAAGCTCGTATCGTGTCTTACTAGGGTCACAGTGCAGGCCCATTGCCGTGCCGATGCTGACGAGTTCCCCACTCAGAGCCCAGACGTCCTCAGGGTCTTCTTTGGCGAAGGTCAGGTAATGCGCTTGGGCGAGTAGCAGTTCTACGAGCGCCATCGTGTATGTGCGTGTGATGCTCTCCGCGTCCTCGCGGTGGCGTTTGAGGACTTTGAGCATTACACCGTAGTAGCGGGTCGAGAGCACCTCTGGTGCGGCAGGCATGTCTGCGATGATGGGATGACCAACCGACAAGTAGCGAATTGTGATTGCTATGATAATGCAAACTGTTCCTAGAATGACGCGGCTCCTGTCTTCGCCTGACTTGAAGCGGGCCCAGTCCGCAAGGAATGCAGGCTGGTTGACGTGATGATACATCCAATTGCAGTACTCAAAATAGTACGCGATGAGTTGGTCAACCGTGTCCACTGAGGGGAGCTGTGACACGAGGTCTTCATCGTAAACGGTTGAACTAGGGGCATGTTGCGCATAGCTTCTTCCCGACGAGCAGGCAGGCGGCTCTGATGAATCCGAGTCATCCTTATCTGTGTCCTATAATACATCCTTCAGTGTGAAGATGGCGGTAGAACGTCATATGTGGACCCACTGTGACCATGTTTGCCGCTGCCGAAGTTGGACCTGTGTACAAGCCTCTTGTACCCGGACGGCATAGCTTTCCGGGCGTGCTAATAATACCAAGGTTTCCTATGGCGTGATCGAGATTCAAGGTGGACGGATCACCCCGATAGGGTCCAACAGAGGCGTCATTACTTCGATTCGTATAGGACAATGTGTTATTGAGGGAAGCCGACGATGTTGCACCCGAGGGATTCCCACCCTCTTTGATGTGAGACTCGAGGACATTAAGCGATTGGCGAATCCGAGATATTTCACCCAGTGCATCAATGGGATTACTGGACGAGACATGGAAGATGTCAACATACCAACCTGGGCGGGTTCGAAATATATTCTAGGTGTAACTCACCGAGGTACGCTTTCCGGGCGCGGAGATACACTGTCTTGGCCTTGATAGCATTGTGCGGTGGTTCCTGTATAAGCAGCGAGGGTGAATCCGTGGAACGAACAACCGTACCTGGGTTTAGTGGACTAACCTCGAAGAACGCATGAGGAACAGGGTCGATTCCTACGGTTTCCGAGGAGAACGAGGAGATATGAGCCACTGAGGACTGTCTGTGCCGCTCGGCGGCCACTAGGAGGTGTCATGGAACGGTCGACATACCTATCGCATTTGAGCTTGCTGTTCCTGCATGGCTCACAATTGACAGCTTTACGTGCGCGTTTCGCAGGGGGCTGCCGTACTTCGAGGCTACCCGAGCGATCGCGACCCTCTGCGGAGTCCGGCAAACTCGGTGTTGGCGCGGCACGAATCTTCGTCTTCCCCGCCGTTGCATGGCCGTGCGCCGACGGCAGGACAACACGGTGAGTATCCATGGAGCTGCTTCGTAAGTCCTATCAAGATAAATCGTGTGGGATCGGTGAGTTGGTCGAATCGCCAGTGTCCGAAAGCCCCATGCCCCCCCCCCCCCCCAAGTCTCAGGCGCGCGCGCTGCTCGGCAACCAGTAAATCGAATGCTGGTTTGGGCCATCTCACTACTCGGCCCCCCTTTGGCAGTCTACCGCCTGACAAGCCAACAAGCATAATAATGGTAGCTCGAGGGTCGAAACTGAGCGGCGGATGTGACAGATGATCAGTGTCATGCGGGTGTACTGCAGGACAGAGAGAGGTTTGCAGTCGTTGCCGTCGCTGCGACACCGACATCCCTGTGGTCATGGTACGAGGGCCTTCGCCAAGTATTGGTGAGCAATGGTGGTTGCATGCACCATAGTCAAATCAATGTTGAGATCACTAGTTGTCTGATTGGGTTTCATGAAGCCTGCCCGCGGCCTTCGAAGTTCACGTGGCAACTCAGGGCAAATTCTTGCTCTGAGACTAGCAAGGGCTTTTTAAGGCCAATAATGTAGTATTAATTACCTCTTCGAATATCACTGGAAAAGAAATTCTGTCTTCTGGCGAGCAAGGTTCTCACCCTCTAGCAGTGGCTAGTCTTTTGAAATGCTAGGTCACCTTGTTTGCTTTTAGTGACATATCCTCTTCACAAGTTGATGGCAAGCACTGTGAGTCAACATTGTCGTAGATTTACATAACTGCGAATGAGGATATCGCCGCCGACATGGCAGCAATCCAAGCAGGCACCATTAATGAAATGTTGTGACATTCGACATGACAGGAAGGTTGCAATCAAGCAGCAGTTTCTGAAGTTTATTTATTGAGGTCCTTTCGTAATTCTCATAGGGACCAGCTCACACTGCCTCGAAGCTGAACTTTTGTTCATGAATGTCTTGGTGACCCATCATGTGGCCTGAGGACACGGGCGTGCGGGAGAAAAGAAAGGCAGTGTTCAAGCTTCTCACAAATTGTGCACTTCAACTTGAGAGTTACCTGGTTTCACGGATCATAGCAAGCAGGATGATGGCATCGTACACCATCTGTTACTTGGTTGATATAGGAGGCTCTGCTCGCCCGGTCCGAATGGCATCAAATCAGCGCGTGAGACATAATTCCTAACAGTCATGTAACTACATGTAACATACATTAGTGCCAATGCTACCTCCTATCTTTGAAGGGATGGGCGAAAAAAACTAGTAGTAATTGTCATGTGTGGGCATGTGATGTTTTCATGATAAGCCAAATGTGGCCATTCAGAATTAACATGTTAGAGAAGTGTCCAGCATCTCCATCCCATCTTTGTGCTATGATCTGCCCTTCATTTCTCGCTCATTCACATACTGGGAATAGTTTGATAAATTCTCCAGCAATATAATGAGAGTTTACTTGAAGGGCATCACAAATTCCTTGAGGTTGATCGGACTAGCACGTGCATGCGGGTGTGATGGTGGATGCAATGCAGAGCGATGTGGGCATACAAGTCGAGAGGTAGGTGATGGCAGATGTGCACATGACATCCTTTGCTGTGATTTGTTATGACATTGGCAGGGTATATCATACCATGGGCCTGTTGCTGTGGGACCTCCACCACTGGGCATCACCTCAGCAAGTGGAGACCTCTTTGAATGCCTGGGAAAGTTCATGCGGCACTCACACATATGGCACACCTCGAGACCGTTAATATTGGTAAGCCACTCAGTGACGGCACAGGTTGGAATGTTGATGTCTACACAGGTGGTAGTATTGAGCAGCACAGCACAAGAAACCCAGGCTGTTCATGGAGGAGATGTGCCCGCGAGGGCATGTGTGACACAGAGTGCAATGTGCACTGCTGGGCAACATTATAATGACACAAACATGCGAGACACGACACAGTGTATCATCCGGATGAATAGGCACCTGCAGCCAGGGAAGGAACCCTTACCATGGCCTGTCTCCGAACATGGGCAGTGTCTCTCTTTCCTTCTATGGTAGTCATTTGGCTCGTTTTAGACAACAGCCTAAGATGTTACTAACTTAGTTCTTCCTTATGCTACCCTGTCCTCATTTTGTGACGTAGTTCTAAAAATGTATGTATTGGAACTTGAAGCAGCTCACATTTCTATGAATGGGTGTTGTCCACTTTTGCCGTGCCCTACCCACACAACATAATTCAAGCTGAGCGATCTGACGAAGTGAGGGAAATGGAAGGCTACATGGCCAGAAGTTCCTTTGAGCTGCACTTAAATCATCTGCAGATGACCGATGCGCAAATCTTAAATTTGCACACTGGCCAAATTAGCTTAAACCTCACAAAATTCCATTGATTTGACCTATGCTTAAGCTTTGCACTTGCACAGTGTTTAACCTCACAGCTGTTTAATCTGTGTGCATCTGTCATGTGTCATGTGACTTGAGCCAGACACGAGATGATACACGCCATCAATTCCATTGCAGCGCGTTGCGCACACGAATTATACTCAAGAAGTGTGAACAAGCCAACACAGTCCTACTTATTCAGAATATACCCTGCATGGCCATGCCACCTGACCCCACAAGTAACTAGTCTGCGCAATGGACTCGTACTCACTAGCTGATCATATGACTTATAACTTGTAGAGTGGGAGGCTGGCGAGGATGCGGCTGGTGGTTATCCACGTTGGCAGTGCAAGATCTGCTCAGACAACATCCCACATCCATATAATCATCTTGCTAGACACGAAAACTCAATATACCACCTACAGCTGGCAGAACACCTTGCCACGGTGAACACTTCAGTGGCATCTACAGAGGCTGAACCTTCTGTTTCCAATCCTCACACATCTGAGCTGCTTCAAGACCTTACAGATAATGCACTTCGTCATCTCCTTCAATCATTCCTGCCTAATCCCACCATTACTGCCAATAATTCTGCTCCTGGCTCACCTATACACTCGACACCAGCTGTCTGAGTGATTGCACAAAAATTGCGACCTGTGAGTGAACCGGAGTACTGCACAAGTGTTTGGCCAGCGAGTGTAGAAAGACCCAAGCTGGAAACGTCCAGGTCAGTCAGCCATGTGGCTACGAGAGCTTTCTTGTCTTCTTGGCTCTTGAGTTGGTTTTGAACAGCATCACACCAGAGATACTTCACGAATCCCAGAAGAACCATGTGAAGAATCTCTACTGGGGTATCTTGATGCGGATCAAGGCCTTCCACAGACATGTCAACCAAGCAATCAAGCGAGGAAGCATCAAGTATCTGCCTTTCATACGCCAGATAGGACTCATGATCTCCTGCAGCAATGATGCAATGGCCTGATCAAGTGCCACTTGCTTTGTCGTCTCGCTGCATTTGTTCTTGTGAGATGAAAAAAGCTTATCCAAGAAATGCAACTGATATGAATCCTTGACACCCATTTCTGTACGCATCTTTGCAACATGTGTTTTGCTATGGAGTGTTTTTGCTTTGGTGAAGTAGGAATGTAGTGTAGCAATGCTTTCATCTTTGTGCCACAACTTCCCGGGCTGGGCATGAAGTATTATGGTTAGGAGCTATGAATGTGATATGTCTCCATTCAGCTGAGCTTACCTTGATGAAGTCAGTGACTCGTCGTATCATGGCTCCCATACTTTCAAACACTTGCTTGCCTCGTCTCTTGCTCTTCTTCCCACCGACACTTGACACGCTGCCCTCACCCATATTCCCATCAAGATTGCTTCCTCCGCTGGCTGCACTAACATCACTTTCTGCATCGCTAACCACACTCGGAGATTGTGCATGTACATCAGGCTGAGCTATTTCCAAATCTGCATTACCAGCAGCATCCTTGCCACATACCCAGCATGCACGACAGAATAGCTTCCCATGTAGCCCAATATGGCATGCAAATTTGCTCTGCATCAGGTTATCACCAAGCATGGCTAGCACGAATGGAATCATGAGAACAGGCTCATTCATGGAACAATCCCATGTCCAGATGCCATTGTTTTGCGCATCCCTGGTTGTACAAATCAGTGGTTGAGAGCAGAAATATGATAAGACAACAAACTGCAATTGTTCAACGATACCATCTAACATTTCGAGTGGTGGGGCTAAATTGGAAGTTGCCAGAAAGTGGACATTATACTCCTTTTGCGCCTCAACACGGGGTAGTCCTGCCACAGTGAACAAGAAACTATTGTGTGCATTCCACTTCTTGGACAGATTGCCTGATGTATTGTCACAATACATCCACATAGCAAAGCTGACAACTCGATGGCCTTTTGCAATTGCATGCCACCGGTTACCAATCCATGGATCTGTCAGTGTCCACGGACCAGTGATTCCGCTCTGGGTGTTATGATAGTCTGTATACCATAAGTCTTCTGCTATGCACTAGGACTGTTCTTTTACAATTTTTCGGAGACCTCAAATGTGGCACCCTGCTGTACATGCCAAAATCACATGTTAGCATCGTTTACGACCTCCATCTTTCAGCACTTAGCATGGAGAACATGCCGCCCTTTTTGGATACGTGAAAACCAGCAGGTGGGCATGCATACAACCCCATTGACAAGCATAGCTGGCTTGTATATGTAGTAGTCGTGGTTGTGAATCCTAGCCATGGGTGTGACGAGCTCATTAGGAACCTCATTGAGCCAGCGAGATGCTTGACGAGCTTCCGCAAATGGGCGGTCACCTTGGTCCTCCGGATAGAAATGAAGGTGTGGCCGAACTTGCAGATTCGACATTTCCTTGTAGTGCCATTAATGAAATGTCTAATTCAAATGGTAAATACTCACCTGGGCAATAATTTGAGCTAAATTGTTAACATGGTAATTGTGCCTGAGAGCACCCTTGTATGGAATTGTTTCGATACCACACATCTTCTGGAGTGCTGCGTTCAAACTTTGTATCGTTTTGACAGAGGGAACATCATCAACATCATTAACCCGAAGAAGCCAGAGAAAGAGGTCTAGCTGTCTCTGTGAGAAAACAGACCATGGAAGATGCATTAGGACGTCAAGTGTGCAAGTCTAGTTGCATGTATAATATTAGTACATCTTATTTACCCACGAGAGTAACATTAGCACTTACTATTTTATCATGCCATGGGAACCATAAGGATGATTCTGCCTCACTGCCCGTGCACTGTGCACGCTTGCAGGGGGGCTCAAGCGGGTGCCGTTGGTCATCATGAGCTATAGATACAAGTTGGTTTCAGAGAGGGAAATGCTAATATACATCAGAGGAAACACACCATTTGAACTATCATGCACATCCTGGGGCTCCGCAACATCTGAGTGTTCAGACTGCGAGCGCTCTTCGTTGGGATCATCGGAAGCAGCAGATGCCAAGTCAAGCCAGTCAAGAAGGGCCTGCATCACTGTGGTAACACCCTGATCTTGCACTGATGGTACCAGGGAAGGAATTTGAGCATCATCGGCAAGGTTCCACCCTGATGCAGGAGGAGAAGGTCCATTTGTACTCTATGATATGGTTTCACCAGATTGTCTCGCCACTTGGCAAGCCCTTTCCAAGTTGGTGGCAGCCTGATATCCCCGACCTGGAAGCCCATTTGGTATGTAAGCGCATATATATTACTTTTGTGCTAATGTCATACTCAGGAACTCTTGGATAAGGAAATATGGCACTTCATGCTCTGTGCAGCATGGTGGACTATACGGTGGTTCAACAAACTGAAATTCCATATTTCCCTCCATCTGATCGAGCATATATGACAATTTGGCCCTGCAAGCCTCTTTGCGACCGAGGCTTTTGAATCATTCAATGCAGTAATACAAGCCAAAAGCATCCACTCCAACCGGCAGGCCCCCTCGTGTGACATAGCACAAGCATTTGCGCAAGGGAACCATATCAGGCATTTAATGAGCAGAGGTTTGTTTCAAATTAATGGGCAATCTGCGGCAGGCATTGATGGCCCAGTGGGCACCCACGAGGCATGGCAGACAATTGGTGTGGGATTACGGCTGCTGATGGACGGTGATGGCAGCACTGTTGTGCGGCGATACCTTGGCCTTGAACAGAAGCGCGAGGCATTATATGGTCAGTGTATGGCATACAATAGATGATGTTTCATAATGGACTGAGCTTGAACACAGGAATGTGTGTGTCAGATGGGCGGCCAACACATCCATTTCACCAATCTCTCACAGGACAGAAGTTGCCCGCCTCTCTGCAATCCGCGCCTGATGTGATGGTGAAGACGTGTAAACAAGTCTACCTTCAAAATGGGGACACATGCATCCCTGATCGCTTTGTGATCATTCAAAACCCCTGTAACCCAATTCAAACATATGTCGCCAGCGTCCAGGAGATCATTCAAATTCATGGATCACCGGCCGAGTTGGTTGGTAGACCCGATGGACTCCTTGTACAGTCTGTTGCAAGTCCGGGTCCCACAATTCATTATGCCATGCCCTGCCTGAGACTGACTAATGAATGGGGTCTGGTTTGCCTCAAGGTATGTTCAAATAGACTCCAGCATCGCTCAAAGACTAAAGGTGCTGTGGACAAGGATGTTCTGTGCACCATCAATGTTCAGCACAACTGTGCTCAGCACAATTGCGGGACATCTGCATTTTGTTATGTTTATCAAGAATGTGAATGCACGGAACACACTCATGCCAAGGTATCGCACAATGAGCCTGGGGACCTCATGCTCAACACTGCTCAGATGTGTGCGTCTGTTCATGTGCAGAGGTTCCGCATCCCCTCACAAGACCTCGATGTGGCGCGTATCATCACTGAAAGTGCTGCACGAGAGGTCCAGTTCCAGCAGGCCAAAAAGGTAGGCCATGAGCACAGGAGACAGCTTGCTGTGGGGCAAGCACAGTGGCTGATGGCAGTACAGCATGTAGGGTGAGCGACATAATTAGCACTGGCAGGTAGCCAACATGGGGCATCACAGGAATGAGATAATCATATTCTGTATTGTACTCTTTATTGAGAATGCCACACATTCACAGATGTGGAAACTTTCAAGAAGGCCATTGAGGGCCTAGCGAGCGCTGCAATTGGTGGGTGTGCAATCAGGCTCGACTTCTCCCAGCTGCGCAAGGTTGTATATGCCTCGTTCTTATTTCTGCATGTAGATCACATCAATACAGTGTCAGAATATTATTGGCTGAGGTGGAACAGGAACCCAGAGTGCCCCATTTTATGTCCAAGTTGAGCGCCCAACTCACCTATGGCATTGAGCGCTGGGACCCAGATGCACTCAAAGGATCAGGAAGTGTGCCACCAGCACCATGGAAAGGGAGACTCAAAGCAAGACATGAGGATGCTGTGATAAATGAGGAGAGATGTATGGGACTCAGACTATGAGATAGGCTGTAAAACCAAGGTGGGTGAGCACGAGTGCAGCCAGTGGGTCGCAGACGTGACGGAGTGCCTCCGCATGTACTATATGCTCTTGACATCCTGAGTGGCAGACTTGAGACATGAGGAGGCCCTTGATGACACCATGGTGCCGGAACATCTGGTGTGGCGTGGTCTTGAACATCCCGCTCCCATGCTCGTCTGCAACCGAGTCTCATTAGGAGCCACTGCTGCTTGGGCTTGCATGCACCGTCCAGCATGCGCATGCGGAACGTGAATGAGTACGCGGGCTCAACGGCTTGTATAACACACCGTCCCGCATGTGATAGCATGCGTCCTCCATGCGCGGACAGTAGAGGCTGTCGTCCAGACCGGACATGCTGCACTCAACACCCTCCAGCAGCTACACACCAGTGGCAACAGTCGTCATGAACATGACCTACTCCTCGTTTGCGAGGCCCGCGAACATCTCGTGCAACACAATTTCCAATGCCTCGGGTGCATGCCCACACACCCATTTACCTCCCGCTCCCCGCTTTTGCGTCCAAGCAGAACCTGTTTGCGCTTGGCCTACACACCTCCGTGGATGGCTGTGAGGTCACGCCGCCAATACACATGCTCGAAGAGCATGATGACACCCTTGCGGCGCTACACAACGCTGTGAGGATGCAACACGTGCATCCTGCTGCCCCTAGGCTATGAGAAGCCTAAGGGCGGTGGTTGATTCAGCAACAGCAGACATTGTTGACTCCAGACAGCACATGCTGTCTTGTTCCCGGTTGTGCATTCTGACGTGCTGGGATGGCTGCATGCTTGCATGTCAGCACGTCCTGGAGAGGTGCAGTTGCCCAACGTGACAGAGGGAGGAGGGGGAAGAGGGCATTGTCCAAGCTTAATACTGAGACCGGCCTGGTGGATGGTGCCCTCATACTGTCCGATTGTGCGCCGGAAGTGGGAGCGTGACATTCATCTCATTTGGGATGACACCGCCGAATAGTGCAGCAGCATGCCTGCAGCTTGTCTGATCTCCTGTAGTGTGCACAATGGGTCAGTTACTGTGAGAGCTGACTTATGGCCTGCCCAGATGCAGTATGAGGAGCATATTGTACCTCCATGGTCCCCATATTGATTCCGTGATCATATTAAATGCATGCTGATCAGTGATCGCAGAGCCCCCAATGCTTTGTGTCTCCCATTTGCATGCCACATGTTGTTCCGAAAACATAAGCATTAATATGGTGGGCCTCACAACTTGTCTAGAGATTGTAGATCTGACTTGGAGGATACTCTGGCACCGTAATGTTGTGCTGTATGAGAGTGGCAACCAATGTGTCACACCATCCTTCCAGTGTCTGATACTCTCTCCGAACAACATCAAGCTCGTTCTCCACCTGCAAGAGCTGCTTGTAGACTCCATCAAGCCTGCTGTCTCTCCCGGTGCGTATTGCCATTATAACCCAAGCCTCATACATGACCAGCGGCCAGCTTGCATGATGATGAGAGTCAGCGGCATGCATCAGTGCAGGCTCACTCTCACTGCCAGATTGATGTGCTTCTTCTATGCTCAATTGTGGAGGAGGTACTGGTATGTCTTCTTGATACATAAGTTGCCTATATTACTTTGATGACATGCCTATACACTCACTGGCACAGGAACCCTGGGGTCTATCTTTCTTTTCTTTTGACGGGATGCCCACACTGTTGCTGACTTGCATGAGGTCCTGCTTGCACATTTTGAAGAGGTGCGAGCTGTGATTGTCATTGGTGAGACCCTGGACATACTGTGTGCCTGTTATCTGACTATCCAGTGCACCTCTGACAAACAGGCTGAATAGTAGATGATGTCAGGGGCGCAAAACTCAATGTATAGTGAGTCTGAAGTGGTTTTACCCTGTAGTTAATTTCAGGTTTTCTGTTTTCAGGACTGCAAGCCACTTGCCACGTTGGTGAATGGCTGTCACTGGCCGACTGAAGGCCAGATGTGTTAAAATGACTGATGACACCGAGACATAGTGTGCACCACATACTTTTCTGGGTCATAGCACTGAGAAGTCGCGGGCCTCTTCATAATAGCAGGTCAGTCAACACCTGCTCGCCTGGAGACTTTAAAGTGGCTGTCAAACAAGCCAAAGGTGCGTGATCGAGCCCTTGCACCCAGCCACCCACGTGATCAACAACAAGCCAGTCTGCTCTTTGCCAGCAGAATGTCAGACAGAACAAAGCTACATCACAATCTGCCAGTCATGGTGACTGGTATGTTCAATTTCAGCTTGCCTCCAACTTTTTCAGCATTTTCTCAACCACTGAGTGCTCCTGACGGGTCAAACACACTCACCACTTGAGGAGAAATACTCCCAGATGGGATGACAGGTGTCAACGTCAATCCAAACATCGCCCCAGTATCACAAAGCCAGACACATTCAATTTCACCCATGCCTCCGTTGATTAGCCCTTTAGCTATTGATCGTGTTGTGCAGGACATGGGGCTTGAGGAAATAGACCATAAAAGGCTTCACGGGTTTGTTGCAGTAAGCACACAATCACCTTAGCTGCGATCACACTCAGAATTGTTTTGGGTCTCATCTTATATGCCAGCTGGCTATGATGGATGGTGATCTCAGCAAGGCCGACATCATCACGAGGATGTATATACTTGCGACCATTCAAAGTGATATTAGTGAACACCAATGTGCTGCTGAGAAGGTCAAAGTGCACGATCTTGCAAGCCTTATGGCTGACATGCGCATTCGGCTGGAAATGACCTTTGTTTTAATGCCAGAGCAAAAGGTGAGTGTCTATTCAATGACTACGTAGACTGCCTACTCAGAAACATGCAGGCAAACATTTGCTCTAGGGCCATGGACCTTATAATTGCACCTACATGCACCAACTTCAAATTATATCATATTGAACTCGAAGTGAGTATATATCTTATGGATGAACAGGTGTTAATGTTTGCTATATAATAGACTTTACTCCATGATGATCAGGCCGCATTGCTGCTGACAAATGTCTTCAGTAACCCTGCTCGTGAAAAGATTTTGGCCATGCACGTTTGGCATGTATGCTCAAACGTGCAGAATACTCTGCGCGAAGATGTGAGTGATATATCATGTCAACTAAGGGATATCTGGCTAACAGCACTTGTGTGGGGGCTCAGCTATGGAATGGAGTGGTTGGCCACTCAGCCGTCACATTAACTCGATTTGTTTATGATATCCTGCATAAGTTTAAACGAGGGGAAGTTGATGTGCAGCAAGAACACGGATATACAATACATTTGACTTTGTTGGTAAATCGTCTAGGCATATGAGTTTGTTCCATCTGCTGACATAGATGTATCAGCGGCGGTTTGCCATAGAACACCCCGAGTTACTCAACGTGGTTGAGGTTGAAGAGGAGGACATCACCTATGCGGAGACTAATGAGAACACCCCCCCAAGGAAGCATCAGCGCACGGTCACAGGTCGCAAACCCCGTGTGGCAGGTGTCTGGTGGGTGGTGATGACTTCTGGAGCCAAGTGGATCTATGGTTCAAGACCGAGGTCACAGCGCGAGGTGTGAATCTAATGGGCGGAGGTTGGAAAGAGTGAGTTGTGAACATTCCTGTTGTTCAATTACCCCAATAACAAGTGGATTCCAGCTATGTCAAGGACACTATTGATCATGACACCGCACATTTTGCACCTGCTGCACTGGGGAATCAGACTCATTCTATGGTTGCTGCGAGGTCGAGTGTGTCAGCAGCTACTGACGTGTGTGGCCCTGTGGGCATGGCCATGACATCAGGGTCATTTGTTTCAACAGACCTATATGCAATGTTTCAGTAAGGTGAGTATGTCTGTTTATTACTACTCCTCTATACACTCGCCTGATAGTGCACGCAGATAAAATGGGGTGGAGGGTGATGGGCAAGTATAATGATATGTTGAAATGCGCAAACCTGCGTGGTCAGAAACGAGCTCGAAAGCTCGGGTGCACGAGTAGCCGGGGGCCGGAGGCCCCTATCGTAGTATATAACGACCGCGCACGATGTATGTACAGTACGCAATTGTCCCTTACGGGCATCGCTTCACCCGTGGACAAACACGCCCCATCGCCGTTCGCACTGTTGTTCCAACATGATATCTTCATGCAGTCAACAGCGGGGCAAGGGCCAGTATGCGAGGGACAAGGAGAGTCTCATATTATACTAATAGACTCTATGTACATGTGGATTGAGCGATACAAGCAATTCTGCTGGATGTTTTCGTGCGATCAAATGTGCGGCAGGGCCTGCAATGAAACGAGACAAGCGCTTGTGCATCACGTGAAGTTAGCTGTGCATCACATGATACGAGATACGATATGTCCTGGGGTTGAGCGAGGTTTAACCCCCGTTCAACCGCCAAAACGGTTGCACTGCGCTGAAACGGTCCACTTTTGCGCGGGGCTTAAAGCACTCTAAGCCCAGTGCAAAAACTCGGCGGTTAAACTGGGTTTAAGCCCATGGGCTGGCCGTGTAGGGAAAGGGGCCCTATTTTATTGAGAGACTGTATAGCTTTACACAAGACTCAAGATGTGCTCATGTATTATTGAAACAGTGCATATGTATGTATTGAAATCAGCGAGTCCGATTAGATTAGATTGAACAAGACGGAGCTAGAAAGGCAAGTTCTCGAAACTTCGAGGGAGTGAGTGAAGGGTATTTACAAGCATCCATCCATAAAGTCTGGCCAGCTTCGCACACGCAACCAGATCTCAGTGTGTAACTTGTATCCCGTCCCCCACCTACTCATGGCCGACGCATTGAAAGAACAGGGCAACAAGGCCTTCCAGGCAAGGGACTACGACAAGGCCATCGACTTCTTCACCCAAGCCATCAATGTCGACCCCAAAAACCATGTCCTCTGGTCGAACCGCAGTGCTGCAAAGGCAGGAAAACGTCAGTGGCTAGCTGCCTTAGAGGATGCCGAGCAAGTATGACTACTTTCGTGGATGCCCCCGAGATCTGTACGCTGATCGTGATGTTGTGCAGTGCATCAATATCAGCCCTGCATGGTCGAAAGGCTATGCGCGTAAGGGTGCTGCACTTCATGGTCAGCGAAGATACGACGATGCCATCGCTGCCTATGAAAACGGCCTTAAACTAGAGGACAGCGCAGCATTGCGGAAAGGTCTTCAGGAAGTGAAGGACGCGAAGGGTACGCTGCACTCTCCATTGTGCTGAAGTTATTCTTGACATATGTTCATGTCCTCAAGCTGCCGAGGAGCGCGGCGATGGCGCAGACGCATTCGGTCTCCCTCGAATGTTCAGCGATCCTCAGCTTATCGAAAAGCTCTCCAGGAACCCGCGTACCGCGAAGCACCTCGCGGATCCGGCCTTCGTGCAGCAGCTTAGGGCTATCCAGACGAATCCCGCGCTTGCATCGAATGCGTTCCAGGATCCTCGCATGATCGAGGTCCTCGGCGTGCTTATGGGCGTCGACATGCAGACCTTCCAGCGCGAGGAGGGGTCTGACGCGCTCCCTCCGGGCCTCACGAAGGCCGACGCGGGCCCCAGCTCGCCCCCACCGCCGCCCGCTGCATCGTCCAGCAGCGCACCTCCCAAGTCGTCCACTTCGCCGCCAGTGAAGGAGGACGTGGAGATGGCGGAGGCCGAGGACGACGAGAACGCGAAGGAGCGCAAGGAAGCCGAGGCGGAGAAGAAGCTTGGCGCGGATGCTTACAAGGCACGCAAGCTTGACGAGGCTATTACACATTTCCAGAAGGCCTGGGACATCTACCCCCAGGATATCACATTCCTTACGAACTTGGCAGGTAGGTTGCATTGCTTGCTCGAGCCTGCAGATAAAGCGCTGATACCTACCCCCCTTAGCGGCTTATTTCGAACAAGGCGACTACGACAAATGCATTGAGACGTGCGAGAAGGCGGTCGATGAAGGCCGTTCAGTATGTACCCGTTTATCCCTGGCGATTGCCGACATGTACTCATATTCATATGCAGATCCGTGCGGACTACAAACTCGTCGCAAAAGCGCTTGGTCGTACCGGTAACGCCTTCTCTAAGAAAGGTGACCTTGCCAACGCGATCAAGTACTATAACAAGTCGCTCACTGAGCACCGGACGCCCGACATCCTCACCAAGCTCCGCGAGGCCGAGCGCGCTCAGGCCGAGGCACAGCGGCTCGCCTACATCGACCCCGAGAAGGCGGCGGAGGCGCGCGAGGAGGGCAACAAGCTCTTTAAGGCGGGCGACTTCGCAGGCGCGGTGAAGGCGTACACGGAGGCGATCAAGCGCGACCCGAAGGACCCGCGCGGGTACAACAACCGTGCGAATGCGTACACAAAGCTTGTCGCGCTGCCGGAGGCGCTCAAGGACGCAGAGGAGGCGATCCGCGTCGATCCGACGTTCGTGAAGGCGTACATCCGCAAGAGCCACGTGCTGTTCGCGATGCGCGACTACACCAAGGCGATTGAGGCGGTGCAGCAGGCCGCGGACGTGGACACGGAGAAGAAGCACACGAAGGAGATCCAGGAACAGGTGCTGAAGTGCCAGCAGGAGCTGTTCAGTCAACGCACAGATGAAAACGAGGAGGAGACGCTCCAACGCGCGATGCGCGATCCCGAAGTTGCGGTAAGTGTCGTCATTGGCTTGCTTGTTCATGTGCGAGGCGCTGATTGGAGACCATTCATAGAAAATAATGAGCGATCCTATCATGCAGTCGATTCTCCAGCAGGCACAATCAGACCCTGGTGCGCTCCAGGACCACATGAAGAATCCGACAGTACGTCAAAACATCATGAAGCTCATCAACGCTGGCATTATCAAGACGCGGTAAATGGGAAGCTGCAGGCACGCAGCAGGCTTGGGGGACAGCGCTAGCACTGGTATATGATGTGTTTGAAGTACTACCCACATGTTTAGTGTATAACATTGTATCTTTACTAATCTGCACGTTCTGATTCTGTTCTGCAATTAAATGAGATGCGCTGGGGGTGAAGCCCAAGACCACTGTTGTAAGTCACCAAATGATCTAACAACAGCATCCTCCTGTGCACGCCTCGTCTCGTCCTTCCCGTCCCTGACTGCTCGATAAACATGCACATTCTCGTGAACTTCCCTAGTATTACTGAGTCCTACCACCATAGGCACATCCAACTCAATGGCCTTCCCATATCCAAAGCCCACAGACACATTGGGAAGCCCACCTTCCCATTCTGCACACACTACATTGGCGCGGCCTGCTGCCGCGCGCAACTCCTGGGAAGCGGGATGCCAGGAAGGCGGAGTCGGCGTGAGAAGGCCCATATTCAGTGGGGATGCAGTGAGCAGCTGTGAGATCCGGGCGCGCTCGCGGAAGTGGGGAGCAAACGCAGCGAACGTGGTGGTCTGAACCGTCAGGTGCGAATATGAGAGCAGCACGTCGAGTGCCTTATACGGCGGCGTGTGCAGCGCCAGCAGCGCGAGGCGTAGCAGGGTCGGTAGCGGGTAACCTGCGTGAGGGACCATGATCTGCGTTCAGCCGAGAGTGAACGGCAGCACCATATCCTCGGACCCACCTGTGATCCCGATGGCCTTGATAATACCTTCGTCTTGCATCCTTCGCAGCTCGCCTAGCGCGTCGACGATCTTTTGATCACCCTCTCCCCATACTTCACCTTCCTGCCCTGGCGCTAGGCCGTATTCGGCCTGCGCATCGCCCAGGGCGATGGTCGGGTCCCCGGCTTCGCGCGGACCAACTTGCGTGCACACAAACTCGACATCATGGAGGTAGACGGCGTCGAGGTAGTTCGTATTCAGGCGTGCCAGGCTACGCTGAACGCTAGCGCGGATAGTCGCGGGAGAGTAATCAAAATCCGCCACTGTGCTGCCGTAACGGCCGCACTTCGTCATCTGTGTCAACGTCATTCTTCCTGCTTATCGTTCACATATGAATAGCAATACCAGTTTGTATGTAGAGCGCGGGAAGTCGAGCTCGAGGGCCTTCAGGGCAGTCCCTAGGACAATCTCAGACTCCTGGTAATATGCGGAGGTATCGAATGCGGTGACGCCATAGCTAAAGAACAAGTGAGACGCGTTGATAGAAATGTGCTTGACGCGAGACATACCGAAGTGCTAGCCGAACGGTGCGGACTGGGTTGAAACTCGACAAGTGATCTTGTACGTTGTAAATACTTGACAGAGCCGCGGCACCGAAGACAATGGCCGGCAGGCGCGAAGAGCCGGTGGTTGCCTTGAGCAAGTTAGATAGGAAATAACACATGGCCCATGCCCATCTCACCACTGGAAGTCCGGGAGCCGGGGCATCCTCGGCTTCATCAGGGATGTCGAGGGAAGGCAAAGAATAAACAGGCTGCAGGGAGTCCAGACGAACAACCATTGTGCGAAGCGAGGCGCAGAGACGAAGCAGTTAGAGCGGAGGATCAGATGTAAAGACAGACGATGCCATCAGCGACCGGGATGGTCACAATTCGTGCTCAGATCACACGTCACGCATCACGAGTGGTGGAGTCTCTAAAAGCAAAATCCTGCCATGCATAATGCAAAATGTTATAACTCGTTCCAGGCTTGCTGTACAAGATGCACGCTCGTAGATGAAATTACAGCTTCTTACGTTCCCAACTAGTCATACAACGTCAGCGGACATGAGGCGGAGCGGGTATCATAATCAGACGAACCCCTTCTCGAAGTGCTGGTTGACTGTAAGCATCTTCGTACCTTCATTGGGCTTGATTTCGTTCCAGGGAGTTGGGTTCTCCTTTGTCCAGACAACTGAGGGAAGCACGATGTCAGACTACGTTCGGGCCCTCATTCGTGGAATGCTCACCTGTGGGCCCACGAGCAAGTCGTGCAAGATACCAGGTTCCCCCTACGACAACGAGGCCGACAACGGCAAAACTATCTCCATGCTCAGCCTCTGAGCGCGCAGCGAGAAAATGCCCTACACTCACATGGGGGTAGCCTGGACGGAATTGGATTTGAGACTCGGAGTGCCTGTGACGAAGTGTCAACGCTGCGTACCTCAATGGCGAACCAGTTCTTCAGGAAGCCCTTCCGTAGCTGCGACATGGTGGGCGATGCTGAGGGAGTCGGAGGTGGTGGAGGGAGTTTGAGGACGCGCTGCACGCGACGGACCCGAAGCTCACCGTAGCGCAGAATTCCCACGCCTCCGTCACCACACGTGCCGGGCGGGTCGAGTTCGGTCTCGATCATGATCTCACCAGCGCTGCTACGCGCCCGTGTCCAGCGTCAGGCTTGCCGTCCGAGCAGAATCCTCATATCATTTGAGGTCCGTTGTTAATGCAAAAAGACGACTCGACCGGTGAGAGCAAGATGAACAACGTGTACAGTGTGCTATCAACAGACGCCAGCAAAATCTCACCACGGCACCACCCCCGTTTTATTACAACTCAGCGTGAAGCCTCACTCATCATTTTTTGCACCCTCTTCATGCGGGTCGCAATCTCTGTTCGCAGACCCTTCCTCAGCTCGCCACCACGAGGAGACAGGTTCTCCTGCGAATCGGCCGCTAGCAACACTTGATCAATCAGTGTGTACGGCAGCCATGTCGCTGATGCCGTCTTGAGCTGTTCTTGCGCAAGGCAAGCCTCACTCTGAAGGAAGAAAGGGTGCTGAGTCACGGTACGGTACCCGCATGGAAAACCAGCCGCTCACCTTTCGCACAAGCGATAATGTGTGCTCCAATGCGGACTCCAGATTGTCATACCGCAAACATGTGCGGATCAGATACTCCGGATGCTGTACCTGCATGCGGAAAAATTCAGGGTACCGCTGCGCAACCAGTAACAAGGAGACTACCTCCAGCGAATAGATCAACCACGGCGGAGGTGGTGACGATCGGTCATTCTCCAGTATGGTCTCCAGTACCATTTTTGAGTACTTATAATCTGTTTCTGGACCGTCATGACGCTCCAGCGCCTGCCGCAGGTACCTCCAACCTCTGTCGACGGGCGTCCCGGGCCATGAGGAAACTTTATCCGTCAGCAGCCAGTCAGACGTGTCCTCGGCTCTGGAAGAGAAGTTAACGAGCGAGTTTTGGAAGACCATATTTTTGTAATCACATTACGGAGCCAGGTTTGTGGGAAAGACGCAGGCATTGGCGTGCCAGATGCCCGAACAACTCACTCATGTCCACGTCGAGGCTACGAGCAGTAGCTATGGCCATGTTGAAGTGGTTCATTTGTGCTAGCCTTATCACTGCAGACTGAGGCGGTAGAAGTAGTCCTAGTGACCTCGCTGTCAGAGTATAGAACATGTCAGGCGATAACTCTAACCCACCGCCAGCCGACAACAGCGTGGGCTCTCGTCGGATCAGCTCTAGACGTGCAGTCAGCAGTGTATACTCGTATTGCATGTCCGCCAGGTCAATGACTTCAGCATCACGGCTCCCTAAAGAATATCGATTTTCGGGTATATGCTTAGTCAGTTTGCGACGTTTTCGAAGTTGCTGCCATTACACCCAGTGAGTCGGGAATGGGAGTTATTGAGAGCGTAACAGTGCGCTCACCGCGTGTCCGGTCTCTGCCGTGACGGGGATGACAATCCAGGCGTTTCTCTGATCGATGAGGGCAAGAGCGCTCATGCTCACTGCATAAGCCTCCAGCTGTGCTTCAACGAGGCTAATAGAGTTTTCCGAGTCGCCGATCAGAGAGGCCAGCTTGCGTGCCCGTTGGTACATCGTAAGCGCAGCTGCAGTCACAAGGCTTCATAAGGCCACCATCTTCTCCCGCAACGAGGGAAAGAAGACTAACCGTTGCGATAGTCGCCCCGTGAAACGTACCACGAGTACAGGATCCTCGAGTACAGCGGACGTATGAGCGGATCTGCGTTGCGTGCTTTGTACGACAACGCGTCCTCCACCTCGTCGGCAAACCCGGCGAAATTAAAGGACATGAGACGTTGTACCGCACTTTCCTCGCACATTCGGTCCACCAACCGGCCGATACACTCTCGTTTTCTACAGCGAGCATTAGCACGGCCAGCTCGCTAAACAGAAAAGCACCGGCGTACAGGTTGTCATATGGGGTCGACATAAGAGAAGCGTAGGCATCTTCGTAGAGGCCCAAGTCCGTGAGGCCTCTTATAACACCGTGCCACAAGGATGCAGCATCTGTACTGGGTGGTGCAACTGAAATTGCGAGTTGGGTAAAATACACCTCATGCGACGCTGATCCCGCCCCTTTGAACAATCCGCCCACATGAATATAGAATTCAAATTCTGACGCAAAGAACCCCGCGCCGGGCAAGACGGCAGCAAGGGCCTCCTTGTCTTCAACTGATAATGAGAGATCAGTTCCTAAAGGGTACGATCACATTAATGACGTTATCGGCTGCGCAATAGAACCCGGACGGACCAAAACTTCCCGCTATGCATTCCATGACCGACGCCGCATCGTCGAACCGGCTGTCATCGAGCCACAGGCGTCCCAGCACATACGTAACGCCGGGCGTCCGCGGAAGCCAAGCTAGCATTTCCCTTGCGACTTCACGATAGCCGAGGAATCGGAGGCTTTCACAAAATTGCACTTCCATTTTCGTGGCGTGCGCTGGAGTACTGGATGCTAGCAATCCGACGTGGTCCATCCACTTGTGTAAGGAGATGGGGAGTGGCTCCATAAGGCCGCCGTACAACGCCAACAGGCGATGAATGAGCGAAAATGTCGGGGTCAACCCGGGATGCCGACCAGTCACTTGCATGTTGCGCATCTTGGCTACGACGTCATCCTCATTGGAAGCAGTCTCCGCAGGGAGAGAAGGAGCGGCGATGTCAGCAGGCTGCCGCACTGCATAACGGAGCATGGCTGCTCCGCGGAATAGGGCGAAAACTTCGGTCAGAAGGGAGACACTCCATGAAGCCAAATCGTCTGCGACGAGGAAAAGAAGGGCAACGAGTGACAGACACAGCTCATACCTGACGTGCGTCGTCGCGGTCAGGTAGGACGCCGCGAAGACTCGTGTGAGCTCGGACATCTTAGGCATCTCCTTCAGATTGACATCAGTCGGTTCATCCTTCACCGCTGGATCATAACCGCCGATAATGTCTAGGATATTGCGAATCCCGCCCTCGACGTCTTCGATGGCTTGCAAGCGGCCTTCAACCCAGCTCTCCAAACCCTCGTCTATCATGTCTCTGTACTCCATGCGCTGCGCCTGGTCTTGAATGATGTCCGCGAAGGGAAACGCAATTTCCTGGTGTACGAGGTCTACGACCCGCGACTCCAGGGCAGCCAAAGTTCGGGGCTCCAGTTTGTCGCGGAGTTTCCAGACGAGCTCTACAATAGGGAATCCTTCCGCATATTGGCCTGCAGACAACTGGTCATACCACATCAGAGCGGCGTCTTTCTTGACGGTCTTCGCCACGCGTTCTCGCTCGCTGACGAGCAGGCTCCTGGATTGGTCGTCGAACCCGATCGCAAGTGGCCGACGCGCACTTCTCTCCACCTCCCTGCATCGTGCAATGAAACCTTCCCAGTCCCGCTTCAACGCGTTCCAGTAATTTGAGTATTGCGAAGCTCCTGTCTGTGGGTCCTGCATTAATTTCACAGTACAGCCTACAACCGCAGCGATCTGTTCGGCGTAGTTGGCGTATGTGGTCAGCAGTTGTGGTGGGTAAGGCGGAGGGAGGGAACGGCATGCATCGGTGTACTGGTCGATGGCAGTCTGCAAGGTGAGAGGGGAGAACATGCCTGGTCGCATGATCGCCTCGAAGAACTTCTCCGAAAGGGATCCGGAGGCCAGAAGTAATTGATCGAGATATGCTGGGGTAAGTTCGTGTTCTTCAGGGTGAGTGAAAGTGCACCAGCGGGTATCTCGTTCACTCAAATTAATAACGTGGACCACGGATTGACCTTCCTTGTCCCACAAGGTACACAGGTCATTTTCATGTACTAGGAAGTCCTGCAGGTGACAATGAGCGCTGTCCACCGGAGCCTCGAGCACACGACGCAGCTCCATAGAATTCGAATCACTGCAGTGCCAGAGGAGGAAGAACCCCCCGGACGTGGCGACAGATTCAGTGGGGATGAATACCAGGACATTTGCTTGTCTTGGGACATTGTCGCCGACAGGCCAAGCATATATGAGCTTTTGTGGATCGGGAGCAAGTAGAGCCGCTGGCTTTGATGCGCTTGAAGATGATCCTAAGTCGGGATCTCCGATCTCTGCGGGTGCAATTGCAGGTAAGACCTTCACAACCTCAGACTTGGGGCTGGAACCCCAAAGTCGGAATGTGCGGTCGCGCGACAGGGTCCAGACATAAGGAAGCTCTGTTGGCGCTACGCAGCCCGTCATGCAAACGACGCGTTGGCCCTCCGCAGATGCGCCGCTTGGAATTGAGCGGAGAAATGAGAATGGGTTTAACGAAAAGAGGTCGGATAACCGGCCGCCTTCGCCCCATGTATCTACAAGATCGGCAAGTGAGTGGGAACCCAACAGTGAGATTAAGTCTAGGGCTTCACCGTCCACGCTGTCACGATCACGGTCGAGTCGTAATAGGGTTCCATTTGATAGATGAATAGCGACAGAGAACTCTCCTTGCACAGCTACGAGTACACCTGTGGACCCCTTCATGCCCTGGACAACGTACTCGTTACACACCTGTCGATTGGATTGGGGTGACCATGCCGGCTTGCCCTCGCGGATAGGGATCAAAATGCGATACAGGGAGCCGTGTTCTGTTAAGGCAACCAGACAAAGTTCGCCACCGATCTGCCACAACGCGGGGTAGGGCAGAAGACGCGAAGGGAAATCGAAACGAAGAGGAGGAATGTCGGAACTTAGTGAAACCAGTTCGAGCATGCGGCCCCAATGGGTGACGCGAAGCAGAATGATGCCGCAGGCTGCGCTGCGACAGAACGCGGCATGATTGGCGTGTTCCGGTGGTAAGTTCGAGGGATGTGGTGCAGGGGCATCATGGATATAGTTTTGGATGGTCGGAACAGGAATCGGATGTGCAGAAGGATACAGCGCAGAAATTTGTGCTGCCACGAGGATACTAGGATCAGAGAGCACCATTGGCAGGAGTCTAAAGAGCGCAGCAAGAAGTTGATGATATGAAGGCCAGAACGCGAACGCGGAGGCGTACCCTCGGAGTTGGACGTCGCCACAATGTCTTTGTCGAGCACGTGGTTCGCGCGTCACGGTCACGTTCTTACGCGTGTGCACATCAAAGGCAAGGGGGAGCCGTACTCAGTTACGGCATCTACGGTCTTTCTCCCAACGATCTTAATGGTCCAGCCATATTACCATCAAGACAGGAACCCGCCGGCTTCCGTGAACATCGCAGGGAGTTCTGAAGCAGGTTTCGCCAGCCAGTTGTACACGCTATAACACATGTCCACCTCATGCTTTGCTTACCCTACTCTCGTACACAACGAACAAACATGCCACGGCCTCGGCTGTGTCTACTGTTGATGACAACAGGGGACACCATCGAAGCGCGAGTCGAGGTATCTCGTGGTCGATCGACCAAGACATATAAATGGTCTCGCCGCTATGGCAGAACACTCAGATTCCAAGCAATCCTCTCTCAACTTCTCTTTCTCCTGTACATAGTTTGTCTTTTATCAAATTTTCTCTATAATGGATCCGATGCTCGCCTTCGATGCGGTCCTCTTCCCCGCGGACGACCGACCGCCTCATCTCGTCGCCCTAATGACGAGCCCACTTTCAATGCCGATCTCCAACCCCCCTGAACCATTCCGCTGTGGGCGTGTGCCACACCCGGAGATGTACATGGACTACATCGCGGAAGGGCTCGGGCCCCGCTCATGGCGATTCAAGGTACGTGACTCCTCAGCGCACTCAGACATTCGTCCACTCACGATCGGCGATCTCCCTTGGCGTCTGCAGGTCGTAGAGCAGTTAGAAGGGATGAACAAAAAGTTCCCATCTCCTTACATCGTGTTCTATCCTACCGTCTCCCGCGACGGCATGCCCTTCCCGGCCAACAAATGCGCCCGGGAGGTTCAGGGACGATGCTTCAACGAGGCAAATGCATGGCGCGGCAATATCATCCTAGCCAAATACCGCGACCTTGATTACTCCGCCATGATGGATGCATCCATGGCAGACTTCCCGATTCTAAAGAACTGGCTTTCTACTAACATAGGCCCATGAAGGTGCGGTGGATCTTCCAGCGCTATACTCCCCAGCTAATTGCTTCCTGCCAGACCTTCATTCGAAATTCCGGGCAATCACATTTATTTAGAGCGCGCATTCGCGTGCTACGGACGCACTATACAGATCCCATCGTTGTATTGATTACTATGTTCTCGTGCGCACTCTAATGACCATGCGGATCTCACTCCTAATGTAGCAAACTACGTATCAATAATATGTAGATACATGTAACCAGATGTATGCGAAGTATCTATCCGGGACCCTCCGACTATATACACCGCTATAACTCATCCCGCCCCTCATGCGTGTGTTTCAGCTTCTCCACCTGCTCCGGAGTCCGCACCGCCTTTGCCTTCTTCGGATCACAATGCTCGAGTGTGGGGCTTGCAGGGTCGATCGGTGGGTGTGAGACACGTCCGACCTTGTAGTACTTCTTGTGGCTCGCATAGAACTTCTTCCAGTTCTCTACGCCCTGCAACATTACCGACATTTAGTGGCCCAGACGCCCGGGTATCGCGTGATGCCTCCATACCTTCAGCTCCCCCTCGCTTAACCCGCGAAGGTCATGCGTTAGATGCGTGGAGAAGCACCCCGTCCCGTATGCCCGCGCAGCGTCCTTGCCAGCCCTGGAGACATATCTTATGGTTCGGGTACGAATGCAGGGTCAAAGGTCTGACGGACTCACAACATGTGGTAAGGACCTCCGGGGCCATATGTCAGGGGGCCGGAGCTGACATCATACACGTCTCCGTCGATCTATATGTAGAATTTGCGAATAGACGACGTTACCAAGGTGCAGATCTACAACAGGGAGTTACCGGAATGACTCACAGCAAGGTAGATTGGCTTCCCTTCAGTCGAGCCATCAAACGTCGCAAGCATGCGCTCGGAAAACAGCCGCTGGTTTGTCTGCCCCGAGTCAGCTCGCCCGTAAGTGGAAGCCTACGGAGCAGCCGCATGTTTGCGGTTCACCAAATAAATGCTTACTGGGATCAGATGCCTGAGGTTCGGCAGTTCGTGTTCCCATAGAAAGCTCCCCGTGATAAATTTCCCTGCGAGGACGATGAAGAGGACTGCGTAGAGTATGAACTTGAGGAGGCCCAGACAGCCGACCTCCGGTTCCTCTGTGGGGTCTGGCTCCTCAGGGCTGACCTCCTCGCCTCTTGCCAGCTTTTCATCCCGTTCATTCTTTCGCTGCAGCCACGCCGCATGTTCCTGCTCGCGTCTGTTGCGATACTCGGAGTATCTAGGCAGCACACATGTTCAAGTTCAGCACCACAGGAGATAGGGTGATTCCGGTGTATGTATGCATAACGTAGCCTAGTACGTACCCAAGGAATGGACGGTTTGCCTGCTTGTTTGACACCATTTTGCTGGGGTCCATTGGATCTGCCACTTTAGGGTCCTCCGGTCGGGTTTTCTCCCATGGTGACACTGGCATCTCGCCGTCGGTGCTCGCAGGGGATGCATCACGTCTTCGAACAGGTTCTGCAGGTGGTCTCTCGGGACGTCCTCCGCCGTCACCTTCAGGACGCCACAACCACGACATAGGGTAGTAATGAGACTAGAAGCTTAGAGCAACACTACGACGAGCTCCGATCGTGGACTGTGCGTTGCAGCAGTCTGTGAGAACGAATCCTGCTAGTCGTCAGTGGCCAAACAAAGTCAATATCACCCGCAGAGTGATCCAGAACGACCATCATGTGATTGCGGCGTGTTTAGCATGGGAACCATGATTTTGATAATTCACTCGTGCCGCGGCGCAGCGGCAAGGCGTGAGATGGTGTTGGAAGGCACTCTTTACGGTGTAGGATCCTCGGCTGCAGGCCTAGAGCTGCACTCTCGACGAGTCGACGGTCACCAACTGCGACCGTCGTCCGATCGTCGATCGCCACGATCACTACACTAGTCACTTGAAGAAGTACACTTGCGGCCACAGCCACCCCACCAAATACACGCAGCCTCTTGTACAAAACATGTATTATGATTCTGCACTAATGAGAGGACAGTGATGTTATTAGGAGCGGCAAGCTCTACAATACGTAAGGTAGTAGAAATAGTACAGGTGCAGAGAGATGGTGAGGCGATGCAATGAGTACCACGGCACCGCCGGGAGGCGAAATGTCTTTGAAAGATAGAGATGCAATGATGGAAAAAGATGTATGGATGAGAGCGACGGCAGCGGAATTAGATGCAGATATTTCCAGAGGAGCCTGGTGCCAGCTGCGACAGAACAAGCGACTGCAGATGCGAACGAAGATAAGACGAGGTGTGTTGCGCCGAAGGGCCATACATTGTGCAAGGGCATGTGGGCATGTGGAGGCATGAGATGTGAGCGACAATAACATAAGCATATGAGATCGAGAGCCGGGGCTGCTATGCATAGATTACAACAAGCGTCAGAGGAACGGGCTGATTATCCGCTCATGACGCTGGTCGCTCGCCGCCGTGTGCCCGGTCCTGTGTGACTGCCCGTAGTGATACGGTCACATATGCTCCGCCCACTTCCTCTTCACCGAGCCCTGGTGGCACCGATGGTGTCGAAGCGTTCGACTGCATCAATGTATAGTCGTCAATTGCGACGTCGTCCTCGTTGTCGAGCTTGATTCGTAGCGCAAGGAATCGCGGTGTCTTGATGAACTGTAGCGTGTAGCGCATGGAACATCAGAGGGGTACCACGAAACAAGTCGATCAACATACCTTTGGCACCGAGTCTGTGGCCATGAGACGGAAGACGTGCGTCTGAATACGCTCGTAGAGTTGAATCATCTTTTGTAGCTGCGTCGCATTGAACGCGTTTGCCTGCTCAACCTCCACCCGCCCTTGGAACGACTTCCCCGTGAGGCTTGTGATAACCTCGTTCAGGTATCCCGAGAGCTCGTTACGCAGCCCATGGTCGATGTTGAGTTCCATCTGACTCGACGGCGCCAGATACGTGTTATAGATCACGAATGCCATCTGGATGAGGGACTCGTGATGACGCTCCATCGCAGCCTGGCCTGGTGTCGCTTTCGATGAGCCGGTACGGGGATTACTAGGAGTAGCGGCAATGGCGCTGGAGGTGATGTTAAACTTGCGTTTGAAGTCCTGCACATCAAGGTAGAACGATAGGTTCTCTTCACAGAAATTGTTGCGCAAGAACTCGCGGAACAACTGTCGCAGCTGTGGCTCTTCGATAATAGACCTGAGGCGGTCGGTGTTACTCTCCTTCTGCCCGTTCTTCCGCTCCGCCTCGTGCGCAGCCGTCAGCTTCTCGGTCATGGATATGCGCCGGTGAAGTTTTGCGTCGGCGTTGACATCGCCTGCATGATTGTCGCCACCGTGGTCATCGGATGAACGCGTACCAATGTTCGACGACGATGCATTCGGCGAGTTCTGAGCCCCGTTGGAGTCCCAACGGGCCAGCCGGCGGCCCTCCTCCGTGACTTTGTAAACTGCTTTCGCTGTGCATCGGAACTCACCGACTTGCTACGGTGAACAAGTCAGCACAAAATCGAAGGAGCCTCACCGTATTCACTCACCGATATAGACGAATTAGCGCCTCCTGCTGCGCCCCGCACCGTGAAGATGATAGCAGAGTCATTGTTCTTGCGCTTGTCACTGACTAGCTGGATGAGTCCAAAGCGCACGAACTGCGCAGCCATCTCAGCCGCTTCTTCCCTCCCAATGACTGAGGTGAGGTCGCATAGCCACTCCAAAGCTGTGACCGCTGCGAAGCAGTACTTGTGCTTCTCCGGGTTCTTCGCTCCAGGAGTTCTCTCCGTCACGTCCATGAGTGCAACACCCTTCGACCGCTCATTGTATTTCTGGAATGCGTCCATCGTGTCGATGTATTCCGGAGGATAGTTAGGCTGGCGCCCAACAAACCGTCTGAAAAGCGCGGTGATGACCGAATGAGAAACGATGATCTCGTCGTCGACAGACCGTCGCTCAAGATGCAAGAGCTTCATGCAGATAGGCTGTGTCGCGAACACAGGCGCCAACTTGTCGGAGGCGATACCGTTCTTGCTCATGAAACGTTCAAGGACGTGTAGGCCCTTCGGCGTGAGTACGTAGACACCACGGTCCTTGAAGAGATTAGAACCAGGATCTGCCGCGTTCTCTATGAGACGCGCATCCATGAACTGCTGGCACATTGCCTTCGCCATCTCCCGCGTCATCGTGAAAGTCGTTGTCGTTGTCGTCGTAACTACCCTTGAGGGTTCTCGAGGATCTGGCCCACGATTCGATTGAGAGAACTTGAGGGCCGCTAGATTCCGTGCTGCATCATCCCTAAATTCGCTCGTCAGCACTCATGCTGAACTGGTGGACACCAGGCCACTGACGTTGTAAAGGAATTGTGGAAAGTACGGAAGAATTGTTTATTGGAGGTAAGCTCCAGCGAGACGATCAGCGTCGCAAACAAGTCAAGAGTGTCCTGCGGGGAGGATGACGTGAGGCGGGCATTTCACGGGTGCGGGCGAAGACGGACCTTGAGGAACGGCCTGCCTCGTTTTGTCGTCTTCATCATGTGGGACGAAGAGCCCGGCTGCTGCTGCGCTTCAGAGGGCATGGTGGCTCAAACAACAAGAAAAGAAAGAAAGACGAAAATGAAGATGAGAGAGGGAGAGCGGGGGCGGGGAGGAGATGGAGGGATAAGAAGCCTGCACGGAGGACGCGAGGGAGGATTGGCCGAGCGACAAGAAGATGATACACGCCGTGGGAACTCTAGTGACACGGCACATATTTCGCTGCGTTTTGCCCACGTGCTAAGCCCTCATTCGGACACTCCAAACAGGGGCAATCATTTCATTTGGTCTTTCTTGGCCTTAGCCGGGTCTTGTAACGGTAACCAGGTCCGACTTATTTTATTTTGATTCAAGTTTTATCTCAACACCTGGCCGGTCGCCATGCATTGTTCGCCGCCGCCATGCATCTCCGCAGCGTCCCTCTCTCCCCCGCAGGCACTTTTGATGGTCAACTTGGCGAGCGTTTCTCCTCCTCAACGGTAACGATGCAACCCTAGATGTGACCACCCCGTCGACTTGCACGTATGTCTGCGTCTCCTCACTGATCCCCATCGGTTCAGAATTTCCCGGCACCGATATCGATCAAGCCGCTTGGTGTTGCCCCTGCGCAAAAACGAATTGCATGCTCGAGGCTAAATTCGGGATAACCTGATACCAAGCCCAACAGCCGCCCCGACTTCACGCATTTGTGACAAGTTCTTAGCTTGTCTCAAGGTTTTGAAACATACATGCGCCCATCTCAAACCCTGCGCGGGTCGGGCGTCGCGACCGCTTGGGTTACACACGTCACAGGTATCCCAACCCCAGTCGGAGTATTGCCGCTGACGTTGCACCGCGCGGAGCCGACGATGCGGACAGACGTTGCACCGCGCGTGTTATGGATCAGCGTGGACTTCCGGCCCGTAGCACGCATGCTCTTCCAGATTTCTGAAAAACGAGCTTTTACTTCCGTCAGCCGTCTGAATCGTTCTTAGCCATGTTCCAAGTAGAACTCCTCTTTTCGATGTCATCAACGTTTATCTCCCGCCGGTTCACAGACTAACTACAAGGATTTCGCGTAAGAAGCAACACGTCCATCCCGATGCGTAATCTCTTATAATCTGCGGCGAGCAGTCATCGGTGCCTGTCTGTCCAAGCTACGACCTCCCCTGGGCCAATCTGGAGCATTCGGGACTGTCTCCAGGGCTGCTGTTTGTATGCGACGTTTCCATGGCTGTCGTATGCACAACGAGCGCTACATCAATCGGTCTTCGCGGTATTCATCCATGGACGACCCTTGTGTGAACTTTACGGCAGTCTGTCTTATCCATGACGTTTGGCTTGCTTTGCTCCGCTCTCCAATAGCGCGTATGCTCTTTTGTCAGGATGATACACGGCAATCAAGCTATTGTTAGAGTCAGATATCCATATACGTAGTAAGCGCCGATTCTCAGCGGCTGGGGATGTTCGGCAGAACTGACGTGCCTGTAGTAGATGAGGTTCTCAACTCTCCGAGATGAACCCAATATGATTGCTGTCGTTCTCTATATGAGTTCATATTGTTCTCCGCGCTCACTATATCGACCATGCCGCGCAGTAGCGATATTAAGTATGGGGCCTGTCAAATGCGTGCTCCAGGATCCAGAACAACCTGAATTCATTTCTGTACACCAGCTACCTGTTTCTTCGACTTTCGACCAAATCGATAAACAGCAGACTTGTGGTGATCCTCATGCAAACAGTACATTTGGCCAAGCAATTAATCTCGCTCACTCGTTGTATCCCGCTCCATGTTTCGTGCACTTCTCGGGTAGCAGCCTCCGCACGTTCCTTCAGCGTTGACTAGGTTTCCCCTAACCTCGACTTCTTCACAGGCACCGCGACTCGTCGACTTGCCAAGCAGGAATTTTTCATGCAGCAGGTACGCCCCCGCCCGCGAAGACCAGTCAAGTCGTGGTGGCGTCAAGGTTCGTTCAATCTCAATGTGTGCGATCTGCAGCTGATCGAAGTTTCAAAGACACCGATGGCGCTGATCAGATCGGGCGCCACGTGATGTCCAGGCGTCGAGGGTTTGGCTGTATTCCCACGATTATGCGCTTGGCCAGGATGTCTACCAACATCAACGTGAGTCGCATCTGCGCGTGTATCAGCACACCCACTGAGCATTTCGACTTAGGATCCTGCAGGCGTGAAGGCTCTTCTTGATCAGCTACGCTCTTCGCAAGCGTGGCAGGACATTGCACAGGCACCGCCGCAGCAACCACCACCAGAGCCCACGCTCAGGGTTCCCGATGCAAACACATCTATCTTACCTCCCCCGATCGCTGTGTCGCAAGCCACCGAGAGTACTGCCTCGCCTCTTGATGCTGCATCTCTGGGCGATACTGGCAATTTATCGACATCTGGCAGTGCGTCTGGGCCCCCCGAATCGCTACTGGCGCCCTCCGTCGCGTCCCTCCTGTCTCAGCTGCAGGTCGTCTCATCATCCGCACCCCAGTCGATATTAACACGCGTCTCACCACCTGTTCGCTCTGTTCAAACACCGCAACTTCTTTCGCCGTACCAGTCTATGCCCGAGGGGAGGCCGACCGAATCGCCGCTCGCGCCTCTGCCATCTCCGGCCCGAACAGAGGATCTCCGCAAGTCCACGTTCCAGCAAGCCCTCCCCCACCTGGCACGCCTATCGGAGGACCCAGACTTCGTCAATGTCATCTCAAGGGTTGGTTTATCTAGCTCAGGCGAGTAGCTTTCCGCGAATCTTCCTTGCTGACCGGGCACGTGCTATAGATGAAAAGGGAGCAGGCTGACCTGGAACGGCAACTATGGGACGAGAGACAGGGGATACAGAAAAAGCAGGAAGAGAAGGTGAAGATTGCGCGTACGAAGTGTGTCCTAGATCTTTATCTGCCTGCCTCTCAGCTAACCAGTTTCGTGCTCTCCTTCGCAGAGCGAGCATGGTTGGGAGTGGGCTGACGCAGTTCGAGGCTGATGTTCGTCTGACCCCGTCTAGCCTACATTCTGATCGAAGACCGCTCATTTTGTTCTCCGGGTGTAGATGCTATCAGACTCCTTTCGTAAAGAGTTACGCAAGTTTGACTCCGAGCGCGTCCTGCCTGCTTGGGATGGTCTAGTCGCGAAGCAGCAGGCGAGACTCGAAGCCCTCGGTGTCCCGGTGATGTATCTCACCAGCATAAAGACAGACCGAGAGGTGCGTTCACACGATTGCCCTTGCGGCATGCACTGAGCTTGCACCGCAGCGCCAGCAACGAGTCATTCAAGTGCTCGCAGGAATAGTGGGTAGCGAAGCATCATGACACAAGATGCTCGTGTATGTCCGGGTTCACGTCCCTTTTGATGATGTTTCACTTGATGTCGTAAGTCCTTTTGTTGCGGTGAGTTCATTCCAGCGCTATCGCGTGAGTTGCTTGATGTCCTGCTGGTTCAGTTTCTCTCCAAGCGGTGCCAACTGAACCTCGTGTGCCCAATAACCGGCCGTGGTCATATATCGGCATCGCACGCGAATTGATTGCCGGACACCTCAACCATGAATCCGTACAGACATTCGCTTTGCGTCTCATGGAGATCGTTCAAGTATCGCCTTCTACTGTCTGCGTCAGGGTAAAAAGCACACGTGGCCGCTCATTTTGCGCTCGCGAATCAACTGTTGTATGCATAGGGAGGTAGGCGATGAGTAGGCGGGCAGTTGTCTTCCCGCGGAGGACTTTTCTTGTACCGACTTGTTTCCTCAGAGCTCACTATATCGGGTTTCTGGCATGCTTTGCCCCTGTGCCCCGGTACAGCCTACTACCTATCTGTTGTAAGGCTCAGCCACTGACACAAAATACAGATTACGCAGCGCCAATAGCATGTGATGTCGGTTCTGCCTTTTAGCACTTGTCATGTTCCTGGGCCTGTCGAAGACAGTGCACTGATAGTCAAAATAGTAGAACCACTGCACGCTTCTGAAATTGAAGAAGTGTATTTGACCGCTGGCGAGGGGGTCACCGATAGTCGCCGATGTGTGGGCTTATGTGGGTTCGGATTGTCGGACTGCTTCTCCCGTCATATTGAAGATCTCCGGAGGACGCTGCACGAAATGCTTGATATGATGCCATGGCATGATAATGCACTAATTGATGGAAGTTTCTTTAGGCGTGTGCTCTAGGCGGATTGGCTGGACACCACCCAGGCACTCGGTAGTCTAACCGCAGATGGCTATTACCTCACGGAAGTCGACGACAACTTGCCCCAGTGGGTGCATACAGTCGGCAGTGCGAGAACATAGACTGCTCGCGAAAGGACCGGAATCTTGCTTGCAATTGGCGAGAAGGGAGTACCGCGATCACGTGGGGGAAGAGTAGGCGCGTACTAGCCTGATGCAGGCATCTCGGATCAGATCTCGCGTCCATGGTCGTAAATTGTCTACTGCCCAGCGGGCGTTTCCCCGCGCTAGCGGCCAGCCGCCTCCATTCTCCTCTTACTGTACATGCATGTCTTGAGTCGTCGCCACCCTCGCCACTCCTTATCCCGTTTCAACCAACATGCCATACGTCGACCTCGTCTCCGACGACGACTATGCGTCTATCTGGTACTACACCAACTCACCCAACGGCAATGTCAGCGGCTTCGACCCGGACAAACCAACAATTGCCATGTTGCACCCGCTATGTCTGGATTCAACCTTCATGCACCCGCAACTGGACGATCCACGGCTAGACCTGGGCTACAACATCATCGTGTTCGATACACGAACAACTGGCAAGTCTCTGTCGAGGGCCTCCGGTCGGCACGATCTTTGGGTCATCACTGCCGATTTGGCCCATTGCTTCCATGTGCGTCTTCGAGCCAACATCAGTGTTGCATTAGCATGAGATTTAACGCCCTTCGAAAGCATCTTCGTCTTCCGCCAGTACACTTCTTCGCACCAGAGCTTTACGGCTACGTCGCCTTGCGCTTCGCTGTCCTGTATGTCAAGAATAGTTCTACAATTTCGTCTACTTAACGGTCCACAGGTTCCCGGAGTGGGCTCTGAGTGTCACGCTCTGCAACATTCCAGCCCAGACAGAGTGTGTTCAAATTGGTGTCCGTGTCTCGCGTCGCTGATGTGGCGCTGTCTCAGGCTCAATGCAGTATTTGATGCGTTTGAAGAGCTCGTGCAGTTATGGGCGTTTGCAGAAGACCTAGAGTCATTTGAGTATTCATGTAAGGAGCTGCTTGACCTATTCGTTGGCACGGTAAGACTGAATTGCCATTTCGTCATTTTGAGGTACTGACGTTGCTCTTCATTCCCATGTATAGGAAGGTCATCCTGATCTTCTCGACGAGGTAAGTAACCGCACACATGGAAGCATTGCTATCTAACCGTCCGTATTACCGCCCAGTTGGTCGCTTACTGGGAAGTGCACTATCCACCGTTCCGAAGAAGCCAAGTGATCCAGAATATGAACGTTTTCATGAATGTGCGTTCCTCAATTTCATCCTAGACAATACACTTATGATATGCGCGTCGGCAGCGCCAGACGCTTAGCCCTGAGACGCTCGCACGCATCACTTGTCCCGTTGTGATCATGCAGGTTAGTCCGTGTGTATGCGTCTCCGCCGACCGCTTATCTACTCCCTCATGTAGGCAGAGTCGAGTCAGACACATCCGTACGGATACGCCGAGGAGCTAGCAGATTTACTCATAGGTACTCCAGACAACCGTGCGACTGTCTTCATGGTGAAAGGTAAATGTGTGTTTTCATAACCACTAGGCACGAAGAGGCGCGTTTGCTCAATGCAATCCGTCTTCCAGCGTCGCAAGGGTATCTTTCGCTTCTCAGTGCCTCTATTGTCAATCAGACTTTCCACAAGTTCCTCCGTCAACAGCGGCCAGCACGCTCAGAGCTCAAACGCCCTGAGATCTCCCTAGTAGATAGGATGAGAACAGCCCTTACGAAGCTCTCGCAGCTAGTGAAAAACTCGTCTATTGCCATGCGGGATCCACTATCCCCCCTGTCCTTTTCGTGTCTTTCTGCCGACACAGTCTCCAGCCAGGAGATAACCTGGCTGGCATACAGGAAGGAACAATCAGCCGCCTTCTCGCCTCTTGGGGCTGACGGGCGGCCGCTCCGGAAGTACGTGTAAACACTTGCCCACGCGCTACTTCATCCTGACGCGCACTCAGATTCTCTGAGCGCAAGGATCATTGGCTGGACGGGGATGCAGATGGCTTCTCGTATGCGAGTACGTCATAAGTGCTTCACATTCATGTCCCCTCATTCCTCTCTGATTCCCGCTTTTACGTGCAGAGACGAGGGAGAAGAAACAAGAGAAGAAGCCCCCGCGGCGGCGCGAGGTCCGCGACATTCGCTTCCTTTTGCCATATTCTGAGCCCGTCTCGGAGGAGGCGCAGCACGTCGCCCGCATCCGCCGCGCAACGATCTACCCTGGCGCAGTTGACAAGCATGTCATCAAGGGGTCGATGGCAAAGGTTGTCCAGAATGGCAACGTCCCCCTGTCGCGGCTGCTCCGATGATGGGGCGCTCACCCGCGCGTGCGTATCTCCGAGCTGACCCAGCGGTGCGGAGACTCGGATGTGCGGGTGCGTTACGTACGCATGGACGCGGCGGAAGCGACGACTGCAATAGCCCCCGCGCACTCACTTCGCGAAGACAGCCGCGGGCACATCATCACGGGCACGTCATCTGCTGTGCGGGCCCGCCGCTGGGCGCTCTGTGTATGGGAGCCGCACACCGTCACTTATCTATTACTCAAGAAAAGTGCACACGTTATTAATGTCGCTCCATCGTGCCCACCGCGAAGGAGGCGATCGGTGCTGGGCGCTGGAAAAGTACCCGGACTGTACGCGTACATAGGTGGCGTATTCTCTTCTAATCCCGACCGACTGCCCGCCATGGGCTCGAGGCAAGTTTGTAAATAGTAATAGCGGTTCCGACATAGACAAGGGAGGATTTATATATGCACGTTTTCGTTTGGGTCTATTCGTTTCCACAGATGTCCAGAAGCCTACGGAAGCAATGAGAGTTCAGGAAATGAATCTAGATGCTACCCTCCTCCATCTTTGTCTTGTAGTAGCGCACCATCTCCTCCAGGCCCATGCGCACAGACCAGCGCGGCTGCCAGTCGAGCACTTGCCGTGCACGCGTTGTGTCCGGGCGGCGCTTCTGCGGGTCGTCCTGCGGCATAGGCTTGTAGACGATCTGCACGCGGTGCCTTGCGGGTGTGCCGTCCTCGCGCTGGACCTTCTCAACAATCTCGCGCACGAGCTCGGCAAACTCGCCGATGGTGAACTCATCCGAGTTACCGATGTTCACCGGGCGCGTCTCGTCGGAGTTCATGAGCGCGATAAGGCCGTCAACGAGGTCGTGGATGAACTGGAACGACCGCGTCTGCTTTCCGTCGCCGTATATGGTCATATCCTCACCACGGAGGGCTTGCATGATGAAGTTAGATACGACACGCCCATCAAGTGGGTTCACTGCGCACATTATAATTAATCAATAGATAGAGGGATAATAGCGGATAACACGTACTACGGGGGCCGTAGGTATTGAAGATCCGCGCGACACGCACGTCGACACCGTTCTGACGGTGGTAGCCGTACGTGAGGGTCTCAGCGACACGCTTACCCTCATCATAACATGCACGGATACCAATGGGGTTGACATGCCCCCAGCTGGCCGGCAGATTAGCAAGTGCGATAATAGAAGACAAGATCACTTACTAGTCCTCAGGCTGCGGGTGGACCTCTGGGTCACCGTACACCTCTGTGTACGCAGCGTGTTAGGCAGTGTGCAGGTCCAATAAATCGGCCTTACCAGACGTGCTGGTGATCAGGAAGCGCGCCTTAGTGCGCTTAGCAAGACCCAGCATGTTCAGGGTACCCATGAACGATGTCTTGACCGTCTTAATCGAATTGAACTGGTAATGAGGGGGAGATGCGGGACATGCAAGGTGGTAAATCTCTATCGAAAGGGTTCAGCCCTGTAATTCCACCGACAAATTCAAACTTACGGTCGCATTCCGTCATGTACGGCTCAACCACGTCGTGGCGAACCAGTTCGAAGTTCGGGTGCCCGACCCAATGACCCACAGTCGTCTTCGAGCCGGTGAAGAAGTTGTCCAGCACGGTGACCTCATGCCCAAGGAGCATTAGGCGGTCAACCAGGTGCGAGCCCACGAAGCCCGCTCCGCCTGTGACGAGCACGCGCTTGCGCTTCTCCGGAGCCAACAGCTTGACCGGGGGAAAGCGCGTCAGGGTCGTGTAAGAGATCGACTGGGTATCGGGGTAGTAGATCGCATTCGAGTTGGAATCCTCGGTCGACTGCTCGCCAGGCTTCGGGCTGGTAGAGTTGGCGCTGCGCACGTAGTGGGGGTTCAGGTAGATCGAGCGGACGACATCGAGGGGGACTTCACAGTCGAAGCCGAATCGTTCGAAGCCGACCGTCTTGATCTCCTTCCCGCTCTTGTCGAGGGTAGCAAACTAGATACGGGGTGTCAGTTTCCGCGTCCATAGAGTCAGAAGGGGATGAGGGGGACACTTCAGCAATGTATTACGCGCTATGGACGCTGAGTACGCGTGGCCGTACAGCAACTCAGCTTTCGGTAGACGGCGCCTTTATAAGACCGTTCCGAGGTAAGCACTCGCGAGCAGCTCAATGCCAGCATAGCTGCGACGTGTCTTAGTTGTCAATAGGGCTTTCCCCCTCTTTCGACACGCAACGATTGCGGTCATTCACCGTTGCGTCGTGATCCAAGTCGATCGGCGCGCGACCACGACTCCCAACGGTGACCTAGATGTCCCCCACACGAGTGTTAAATCGTTCTGGCTCACCTGAGACTTCGAGGGCGCCATGGCAGACAAGTAGAAGGCAGTGGGGGGCAGGGGACTGCTCCTGACGCGAGGAGGGCGTTTTATGCGGGCGTCGATGCCGGCGAGAGCATCCATCCAGACTGATTGAGTGCGGCGATCGCCGGCCCAATCACGATCGGCTATCTCAATTTCTTCGAAGCTGCTATTGCTCCTTCCCATTGCCCGAGTCCCTCCCTGACGCTCGACATTCTCCTTGCCGCCTCCTTTTCCCCCTCTACGAGCACAAGAAAGCAACTCCTTGCCCCTCAAGATGCCTCGTGCCGCAAAACCACCGGCCAAGTCACGCCATGACCCCCTGCATGTTCAGCTTGGCGAAGATGAGGTTCACGCAAAATACGGTCGGATTTCGCAGCCTGGGAAGCGAAGAAAGTCTAAGGGGAAGGCAGATGATGAGGAGGAAGGCGGTGATGTGCGTCCCTATTGTCACTCATCAGATGTAGAATTCCCCTGACCGCTAGCCGTCCAGGTGATCCTCGACCCTAAGACATCCAGGCGCATCTTCGAGCTTGCGCGCGACCAACAAGAGGAGCTAGGGGAATGGGACGATGAGGAGCAGGACGAGGCAAATGATGAGGGCAGACCAAACTTTTCAGTCCCCCGCGCGCAAAACTTTGAGGATGAGGATGAGGATGACCTCGAACGGTATGAACAAGACGACTATGAAGAGGAGGTTGAGGAGATTGTGAGCGTAATCTATGTGTCGACGAGGGAAACGCTCATGGGTATCAGGAAGTCGACGAGGGGGACATGAAAACACTCGATGCGCTGCTACCCGCAAATGCCGGCGAGCGACGGACACTAGCGGACATCATCTTCTCAAAAATCGAAGACATGGAGTCGGGGAAGACGACAGTCATTCGAAAAACCACACAAGGTATATATGCTATGTTTATGGTGGATCCTCCGCGACTCACACGCTCTTATCCACAGACCCAGATCAAGCACCAGATCCTGCTGCAGGCCTAAATCCAAAAGTAGTCGAGTTATACACAAAGTGCGCATTCCCCTTTCCTCGTATGATCGCACTTAACGTCGCAGACTCACTCACACAGAGTTGGTCTCGTCCTCTCACGCTACAAGTCCGGCCCACTCCCCAAGCCATTTAAGATCATCCCCTCACTGCCCGCATGGGCGCGCATGCTTGCGCTCACAAAACCGGAAAATTGGACTGCACAGGCATGTCATGCCGCGACACGCATATTCGTCTCGCAGATGAAGCCGCCGCAGGCGCGCGTGTTCCTCGAGGGCGTGCTGCTCGACGCGATCCGCGAGGACATCCGCTTGACGCGCGAGGGCGCGCGCAAGAACAAGAATCACCGCAAACTCAACGTTCACTACTATGAGGCGATGCGCCGCGCGCTTTACAAGCCTGCGGCATTCTTCAAGGGGATTATCTTCCCATTGCTCAGCGTGCGCTTCGACTCGTTTTCCTTTCACTTCGGAAAACAATGACTGAATCACTGTACTTTCAGACCGGATGCACGCTACAAGAAGCTGCGATTATCGCGTCCGTGCTCGCCAAAGTGAAGGTTCCCCTCATGCATTCAGCAGCCGCGCTCATCCGACTAGCGAATATGGACTATTCAGGTGTGTTTTCGCCCCGTGTATCAACCCCGGGCGTCTACTTACGCTGTCCGCGCAGGCCCTAACTCGCTATTCATCCGCGTGCTTCTCGACAAGAAGCATGCGCTGCCTTACAAGGTCGTCGACGCGCTCGTCTTCCACTTCATTCGCCTCTCGAATACGTATAAGGCGCGTAAATCGGGCGATGTCGACAAGTTGCCTGTACTATGGCACCAGTCGCTTCTCGTCTTCTGTCAAAGGTTATCCTTCCAAGCTCCGTTCGTCTGAAGTGCGCCACTGACTGTGTTCACGTTCAGGTACGCCGCCGACTTGACGCCTGACCAAAAGGACGCGCTGTTGGACGTCGTGCGCGCGAACCCTCATCCCCAGATTGGGCCCGAGGTCCGGCGGGAACTGGTGAACTCTGTGACCAGAGGCGAGCCACGGCCAGACGCTGATGGCGATGTAGTAATGGCCTGATTGTGTATGCATTGTTTCTGGATATATAGTCGTGTATTTCGTGCTTTCTATGCATTCTATATCTGCCTCGTCATCATGCTGCTTTCCGACGAGAGCATTCCAGCAAAACACGCATGTTAAGCATGTACATTAAGGTCCGTACAGTATTCTACTTTTCTTGGCAGGCCTCGTCTCAGCGCGCACGCTTTTTCTTGCGATGAGCCCCGTCGTCTTTGGGCGCTGCCCGTATGGCACCAAGAACGTCTTTTAGATCCTTGTCGGCGGTATCCACTTTTGCGGCCTTTCCCCGTTCGTCATGTACCTCGTCGCCCTTCTCGGACTTCACACTCTTCTCGTCCTTGGGTTTGAGCTCTCCTTTCTTGACCTTCTTGCCTAGCCTTTCACCGAAGAGGACGTCGATCTCATCCTCAGGTGCCTCTTTGCGTCTGCGCTTCTTGTCGCGCCTGTCTACGGGCTCACCCGGTGTTGTTGATGTCACGGCTGGGGAAGCAGCCGTAGAGGGAACGGCAGGCTGCTTGGTGCCGTTCATCTGCATCTGTTTCCCAGGCTGTGTTCCCGCACCATTGTCCTTGGCGGCTGACTGCTGGTCTCTCCACTGATCCGGATTGCGCTGCAGGAGGTGCAGGTTGACGCTCCTGGCAAAGAACTTGCCGTAGCGTGAGCCAGCCAGCGCATGCTCGTGGGCGAACAGCGAACGTGCGATCTTCTCCTGTGATTATCGCAATCAGGGAGCACGCCTCACATATAATGCGTGACACTGACCTTCAGATATGGATCGGCATGGGCCCAACACCGTTCGCCCACTCGGCTGCCTATCCGGTCGTCGACGAGCTCGTGGTAGTGCCCGAGGAAGGTGAGGATGAACTTTCGCTTGAATTTCGCCGGGACTGTTGATGACTCGAGTGCGACGTCCAGTACGCGCGAACTTATGGGATGGTGCGCAACCGCAAGCAACGCGTCCATCTCCATGGCTTGGATGCTGAGGTAGAGATTGTCAGGGATGGGTTCAGTCCGAGGGGACTGGAACGAACCTCTCCAAAACCACCTCATTATGAGGAGCAGCTAGACGTAGCATTGACTGCAGAAGTATAGCGCCTTGTACCTTCGGCTCTAGAGGATCGTCAACAGCTTGATGACGTCCCCACCTTCTCGACTGGCTGTCTCCAGATGTGTTGGGTTGGTCGCCCTTTGAGTCGGCGGCTGTTTTGTAATCCTGACTCAAGCATGAGCGAACGGCTGTTGTATAGGTGTCCATGAAGGCTCACCGCAGGGGTCAATAGTCGCATGATGCATGGAATAACTAATGACTTGTCGTCGTTTTCTGACAGGTCAAACGCGATCATGACAGCCTGGAAAGGCAAATATAAACCATGAAATCTGACATAAGAAAGATAACAGACCAACCTTAGCTACTTGCGCTTCATGAGCGTGAAGAGCAGCAGCCCTATCAATCAAGGCACGGAGAACTCCAGTACGAGCATGCTCTGCCTAGAGATTAAAACGTCTGCTCTCGAATGTCTAGTTTGTACTCACTAATAATCTTCCCGAAGATCTCGTTCAGCTCCTCACACACTTGATTTAGCTGCTCGGGATTCGCGCGCTCAAGAGCCTTCGAGACGACAAAGTTCGCTACTGGATGCACAGCGAGCTTCGATAGCTTGCCTTGGAAGTACGTTACCCAGAGGATACTGAACACTTCCTCGGGTGCACGGCGCACGAGGGTCTCGAGTAGATGCGAAGCAGTTGGGTCGCGTAGAAGTGTACTCAAGTAGTCGGATGCCTCAGGAGTTGCGGTCGGGTCCTCATCTACGGATATGTAAGAAATATAGCGTCGAGCGGTCAAGTGCGTACGTACGAGACATTGTAATCAGTCCAACCAGTGCTCGGTCCATTAGCGAGCCAGGTTCATCCGCCATGGAAAGTCCAGCCTCCACCTCGACCAACATCTTTGCTTGACCTTCAGCATATTGTTGCAACTAACGTAATAAGGTCGAACCCACCTGTAATACGGGACTGGCGACTTTGTCAGCCGCCAGTGCTCGTACTTCGTTGTCATCAAGCTTTTCCCGAAGGATCTGCACAAGTTTCTTCGCAATATGATGGAATGTCTGTGGTGTCCGCTTGACAGTATGTTCAGGATGTCCAACCTCAGAGAACACAGATTTCATGGACCCTTGTTTGACCTTGTATGCTGCGCTTCGCTTGGAGCGGACTGAAGAACCGTGCCCATCCTCGGCTGGGAGGCAGTCGGGTGCCAGAAGGAGAAGGAATGCACGAACGACATGCGACGCAAATGGATCCATGACCAACGATGGTAGACTTGGCAGGAGTTCCTGTGGTGCACACTTAGCATGCAGTCAACACGATGACAACATAAGAGATACCTCAGAGACATCGAGAACGAGCTGCGTCAATGTCCTCAATTCGCCGTCCTCGGACGACTCCGGCGCGGAAGGCATGATTCCTCGACACTATGGTATTGGAAACGTTACTAATTGCGTTTAATCCGTCGCAATAATACTGACCTCGCGAGCAACAGTGTCACTGGCGACGGTAAACAGCGTCTGGCAGACATGTGATGCAAACCGATGTCTGCTCAACTGCTCAAACCTCCATTCTGGTATCAGTGAGACACATGAGGACGAAGAAAGCGGATACTTACGACCCGGTGAGCCTATCGATGAATACTCTGCGTACAAAGTCGTCCATAGAATATGACATTCGCTCGAGTACGGTGGAACAGTCAGGATCTGTAGCAAGTTGCTTCTCCTTCCCAGACATCTCCGTAAGGGCAGCAACAAAGAAGAGCCTACGATCTGCGGAACAACCAGTCAGTGTACCCGGGCCAAACAGACAGAGTGTTTGCTGCGTACCTTCATTGGGATCGTTGTCCTCATCCTGCTGCTCTACCGTGTTCATCCCTTGCTCCTGCCATTCGCGAATTTGCAGGTCAACTGTTCTGAAGTACGCTTTGACTTCTGCATCTACATATCCGAAGGGGGCCTCTAGATTGGCTTCGGGCCTATCAGGTGCGGAGACGATCCAGGATGGTCCGGCATGGGGTTCTGCGTCCGCTTGTAAGTGCTCTTCGTGCTGCTCGTGGACGGCATTGTCGTCTGCCTGTTTTTTATGCTTTTTTCCGCGCTTCCTGTTTTCTCTGGGCATGTCGTGACCAAGAAGGGTGAGCGGGAGAACCTCGACGGAAAGGAAGGCAGTACGACGGTCAAGACACGGGGGATTTCCTGCACGCAGATCACTCGATCACCTCCCTCATTTGGGAGGAACGTGATTTGTCGAGAACGATCATGCCGCCGCGGACTTGCGCCCTCTGCAACGACGCCCGTGCCATCCTCAAGCGTCCAAAAACCGGCCAGCAAATATGCAAGGACTGCTTTTTCTGGGTATTCGAAACAGAGGTGCACAACACAATTGTAGAGGCCGGCCTCTTCAAACCTGGCGATCGGGTAGCCATCGGTGCATCCGGAGGCAAAGGTCCGCAACGTCGCTGAGTGAGAATCAGGGTAGAGTCTCACCCAAATTGATAGATTCGACCGTGCTTGCCCATGTTATGAAGACTTTGAATGACCGCTACGACTATGGTCTCGAGCTGTTCCTCCTATCTATTGACGAGGGCATCACAGGCTATCGCGATGACTCATTGGAGGTCAGACTTCTCCATTATATTGTCTTCCACTGATTTCAGAGGCGGTCTGCAGACAGTAAAGCGGAATCAGCAGCAGTACGATATGCCACTAAAGATTCTGTCGTATGACGAAATTTTTGGCTGGACGATGGACGCAATTGTCTCGCAAGTCGGCAAGAAGAATAACTGCACCTTCTGTGGAGTCTTCCGTCGGCAAGCATTAGACAGGGGCGCTGCATCCTTGCACGTCGACCACATTGTCACTGGACATAATGCTGATGACATTGCCGAAACTGTCCTCATGAACAGTACGTTTAATGTTCTTTCGTCTTCGACAGTTCACTGATGGGCACACAGTCATGCGAGGCGATATTGCCCGACTTGGTCGCTGTACAATGATATGTACGCAGGGTGAGGATACCATCAAAAGGTCGAAGCCATTCAAGTATGCGTATGAGAAGGAGATCGTGATGTAAGGGGAGACCTTCCTATCTTCTCCTTTGTAATACTGACACGGCCCCCATCAGGTATGCTTACTTCAAGAAGCTCGACTATTTTTCAACGGAGTGCATTTATTCGCCCGACGCATATCGGGGACACGCGCGAGCGTTTCTCAAGGATCTTGAGGCCGCCCGGCCGAGCGCCATCATCGATATCATACATTCGGGAGAAGCCTTCGAGGTCAGGGAGGAAGTGAAAGCTACGCAAAAATCACAACGTGAGTATATATTGTCTCTGTGAGAAGTCTGTAAGGTTCCGGGTTGACAAGACAACGCATAGAAACGTGCAAGCGATGTGGATACATGTCTAGCAACGATTTGTGCAAGGCATGTACGTTGTTGGAGGGTCTGGAGCGAGGCATGGCACAGGCGGCAATCGTGCGTGGTGCTCTATCTCCATACGCCCTTATCGTTTACATTTCTCACAGACGGACCGCGCACGGAAGAGGCTGGATGCGGAAGGCCCCGCTCCCGATAATCTGCGGACAATTCCCTTCTTCCAGAATTCCACAACACCAGGTACAAGCACACCAGTAGCGTTGGAGACCCCGTCGTAATAGAGACATGTGGATCGGATCGACACTGTAGCAACTAGACGTATCATTATGGGTTGTTCCTTGTTTCCTCCCTCTTTCTTTTTTCTAGCCACATTGCCAGTGTACGTCTGTGGGTCCCGGATATAAGGTTCGGTACAACATGAAAGCACTCGTCCATTGTCCTCAAGGTTTCACGCGATTTGCATCAGCATACATCTCCGAGAGCATGGAGGTCCCCAATACTCTAGGCCGAGTCTCCCATCCATATCAGCCTCGGAGCTTGCAATAGTGTGAGTGCCTCGAGGCTGTACTTGCCTTGCCAGGCGGATACGGATTCCATGTGACACCTATTGTCCTCGTACATCAGCACTGCTGTCCTTCTATCGGCAAAGCGTCACCTGCATGGTTGCGCTGATTGCTACGCTATGACTCAGTGAAAACTTGTCAGGAACACAGGCGCGTAACTGTGTTGTTATTATAAAGGGAACATGTTGATACTGTGCCTAGCGGCAATGTGACAACACTTCGAGGCCTTTGCAACTGAGCAGTTCGCGTTTGAGAAGTCCAGGTCTCTCATGCGCCTATAGTGGCAGCTGAGCGTGATGGTCCGCGTAGAATGGATGTTGCAGCTGATTCCATGTCATTAGACCTGCTGAATTCGATGTGTGCGCTACCAGGCTTCCCGCAAGGATAATCAAGCCCTAGAAACAAAAGCTTAGTTTAGGAAAGTGCGGCTGTGATGATACTTCGCCGGGTCCAGCCAGGTCGAGGCTACGGTCCCGATTATTGAGTCCGACATCTACTCCAACCCCTCATACGCTCAAAGATTCTCGGATAGCCTATCGATATGGAACCAGCTTTGGTGTCCAGCTTCTCCACGATATAATTGACCATGGATTAATACTGAAAGCCTGTGCACCCAGGTACCCAACCCTTGTTTCACACGCGGTATTATTGTCTTACTTATCGGACAGTCGGGACTCCGTTCTTTCGTCGTTCCCCAGTATGTATGTATGTTACATCCACTCATCAACCAGTGGCAAAGCTGAGTTTTCGTTGGTACTTACTACTCTCTAATGTGCCACAGAGTCCTCTTGCCGTAGCAGCAGGCATAATTTGATTGGGAGAAAGACTCCACAGAGGATATCGACTCGACTTAATTGAAAGATTAAAAATTGATTCGCTCATGACTGTTCGCAGCACTGCAAAGTCGGCGCATCTTCGCCCGTTCTACATTACACTCGCTGTATCAACGCGTTGCTCGCACAGTGAAGCCAGTTACGCCAGCATCAGGATTCAAGGCCGTCCTCTCTGCCCATACACTCTTTACCGCATCTTTCGCCATTAGCTTCTGCTGCCAGCTAAAGAATATGCACGAAGTGAGCTGCTATTGCAGGGCACGACGAAGCGATATCATTATCACTTACGCATAGAAATACGGGAAATCCTTCTCAATATTGACACCTTCTACGTTGTTCAGGATCAAGGTGAACGCCACCCAGTTCCACCTTCGTGCACGACAGACGAGGCCATTAGAAGAGCAATATGCGTGAGCAGTGATGTGAACTCACGGAATGAAGGAAATGTCAGCGATGCTATACTTGTCGCCGACTAGCCACTCCTGCTTGGAAAGAACGCTCTCGAGGACACCGATCACGCGGGCGGTTTCCTTCTGGTATCGCTCAACTGCGCTGGGAACCTTCTCTGGATGGGCAAAGGTGAACCACGTTGCCTGCCCAAAGTACGGTCTATCCCGCGTTGAGCATATTGTTCGGAAGTGGAGGCGGCGGGACACCCTTACCCTTGACCAGAGGCCTGGAAGAATAGCCACTGGAGCTCGATTGTCTTGTCTTCTAATGTAGATGCAGAAATGCGGTGCGCCGTGTCGTATTTCTCGGTGAGGTAAAGGATGATGGCATTCGACTCCCTGCATTGCACGTCAAATGTTATTGCCGATCGTTGGGGACAACATCAAACCGAACGCACCAGACGACAAAGTCATTGTTGTGATGATCGATCAAGGCGGGAATACGTCCGTTCGGGTTGTACTTGGTGAACTCGGGGGCCTTGTGTTCGTTCTTTAGAAAGTCGAGGTAAATACTCTCGTATGTCAGACCGAGCTCTTTCAAGACGAAGGCAACCTTCCTGCAACCAAATAGTGAGCTTTGCCCTGTGGATATGCACCAGTCTGAGGTAACAGCGCACTCACCATCCATTGGGTCCTCTGTGGTGTGTATAAAGGGTAAACTGCTTGCTGTGGGACATGATGTAGAATTATGCGACGGAGAGAGCGTTGTGTGGTGTGATTGTTAACGAGGCCGTAGCCTTTTATACTGCAGACTCCGCATATTACAGCATCCTCAGTCAGCACTTGGTATGACACACAAAACGCAGCAGACGCTCGCGATGGCCGGGCCCGGAGATCAGTAAGCTATCTGGACTTCAGATCGAAGGGGCATGGTGGATTGTGTCCATCAAAAGCGAACTTGTTATAAGCAGGCAGTGTCAATGTCGCCCATCATGGAATTCGCCGACGCTTCTCCCGAGCTACATATGTACGAGCGGGAATAAGGAAATTCTCGGTCGACCCTGCATCTTTGAGCTCTCTGATCGGCGCGCCACCTGGCCCAGAGAAAACCTCAGGAACTAGCGACGTGCGCCGCAGTTTCTCATACGCTGGCTCGGGTTCGCCTGGCACCCGCAGGCAGCCTAATAAGCATCCAAGCCCTGCTCATGAGTCATTGTCGGGTATCACATATACAACCCGCGAGCGCACATCCATGCTCAGGGTCTAAATCACATCGCAATGAATGCGCGACAGCCGCCTCCGCACGGTTTTGACGCAGCCCCTGCGTCGTTCCGCGGAACCGCAGGTCATTCAGGAATCGCGTCGCAGAATACATGAGCCACAGATGCGGCGGTGGCGGGGAACTATGCGATGGGAACCGCTCCGCAAACATTACTTTTGATGACAAGCCTATAGAGCGGCCTGTTGAAATGCGCTGACCCGCGTGGTCAGGAACGAGCTCGCAAGCTCGGGCGCGCGAGTAGCCGGGGGCCGGAGGCCCCGTTCGTAGTATAAAATGACCGCGCGCGATGTATGTACACTACATGAATGTCCCTTACGGGTATCGCTAGCTCATGGACAAACGCGCTCGCCGCACCGTCGCACCGGTTGTGTCACGAGTTGGTACGGCGTCTAGCCGGTTTTTAATTTTTTCCCTTTCTGCGGGCTCAAACCCGCGACCTCTGTACTATACACTCTGCGCTCGATCGGACAAGTCTCGCTGTCATATTACTTCCCTGTAGATAGATTAGAATAGATGGGACGGCAGTGCGCAGCACAGCTCGGGCTCCACTGACACAGCCATACTGACTCACTGGCCCCCAGGGCTGCGTCAGCATGCTGCGCATGGACCAGCTGTGCACGGACCAGCTGTGCATGGACCAGCTGTGCATGGACCAGCTGTGCACGGACCAGTGCGCACAGCCTGCCCTTATCTTCCCCTGTATATAAGCCTGCCTCTGCTGCCCTAGGGACCTCATTTTTGACCTCTTGTCCCTAGGTCAGTAAGCCCCTGTACTTACTTACCTACTTATGCTAACTATCTTGTCCCTAGCCTTAGGTTTGAGCTTCGCTCATCATCGCTTCGGTGAGACCATGTCGAATGCTCCCAGCTTTTAGGTTTGTCCCTCCTCTGTCGCTTGACCTTAAGTCGCGACATTAGGTCAAAACTCCCCCTCGCTGCCGGCGTTCACATGCAACTTCTACACTCACTTTCCTTTCCCAAAGGTCGGGTGGTGCGCATCCCTACTATATTCTACAATATGTAGATAAGCGTACTGTCACGAGTTGGTACAGCATCTAGCCGTTTTTTAATTTTTTCCTTTCCACGGGCTCGAACCCGCGACCTCTGTACTATACGCTCGAACGGACAAGTCCTTATCTACTGTACGATTAGATTAGATGGGGCGGCAGTGCACGGCACAGCTCGGGCTCCACTGACACAGCCGCTCTGACTCACCGGCCCCCTGGGCCGCATCAGCATGCTGTGCATGGACCAGCTGTGCACGGACCAGTGCGCACAGCCTGCCCTTATCTTTCCCTGTATATAAGCTGGCCTCTGCTGCCCTAGGGACCTCAGTTTCGACCTCTTGTCCCTAGGTCAGTAAGCACCCTTTGTATTCCTTTTCTTACCTCACTAATATATTATCTTGTCCCTAGCCTTAGGTTTGAGCGTTGCTCATCATCGCTTCGGTGAGAACCAGTCGAACACCCCCAGCCTCTAGGTTTGTTCTTCCCCTGTCGCTTGACCTCAAGTCGCAACACGTACTATACATCACCACCACTAAGGGAACGAACTTTTCAGTACCTGCACTTCAGTGGGTGGTACTTGTCCTCACGGATGCGTGGACTAGGTTCCTGCTGCATACTAGCCAAAAGCAGTACTGGGCCCCACATGAATTGCGAACCCTAGTGTTACCTCAGGTGCCATAGGTGTAAGCTAGCTTATATGACCTTTCGTAGCATGCGCACCTTCCCCTCCTCCCTCCCATTGTGGCTGCCTGTCAAGGCCTCATCCACACCTTTGACTCCAAGGATCTTGCCAACGTCTTCCTCACCGACAACCCCTGTCGCGACTTGGGGTCAAGCGACTGGGGAAAACCTAAAGCTGGGGGCGTCCGACTGATTCTCACCGAAGCGATGGTGAGTGAAGCTCAAACCTAAGGCTAGGGACAAGATAATATATTAGTTAGGTAAGGAAAAAGGAATACAACTGAAGGCTTACTGACCTAGGGACAAGAGGTCGAAACTGAGGTCCCTAGGGCAGCAGAGGCCGGCTTATATACAGGGGAAGTTTAGGGGAGGCTGTGCGCACTGGTCCGTGCACAGCTGGTCCGTGCGCAGCATGCTGATGCAGCCCCGGGGGCCGGTGAGTCAGAGAGGCTGTGTCAGCAGAGCCCGAGCTGTGCCGTGCACTGCCGCCCATCTAATCTAATCGTACAGTAGGTAGCGACGTGTCCATATCAGGCATGTAGTACAGAGGTCGCGGGTTCGAGCCCGCGAAAAGGAAAAAATTAAAAACCGGCTAGACGCCGTACCAACTCATGACATTACCCCCCCCTCAATGGTGCATGACCTCATGCGAGGCGCCCTTGCCCATCTCCCACCCAGAACGGCAACGTGCTTCAGTCAGCGGCGAAGGCATTGGCTGAAAGTTGAGACCACCAAATGTAGCAGCGTTGAGGCGACGAGGGGCATTCGGATTCTTCCGGTGGAAGTCGGCTATGAGGGCCGGCGCATTCGCAACATTGCGCGCTGGTTCCCATGATGTGTGTGAGTCGTCATAACCCTTCCACTTGACGAGGTACTGCAGTTGGTGCCGGAAGATCCTCGAATCTTTGATCCGCTCAACCTCGTACTCCTCGTCACCCTCGACCTCAATCGCAGGCGGCTCCTCTGGCTCCCGGCCCGGGATCTCACTACGCGTGTACTTGCTAAGTAAGGAGACATGGAATACCGGGTGCACCGGCACCGACTTCGGCA